CGGGCCACGTGCTGCAGTCGATCCTCTCGGACCTGCTCCCGGACGCGACGCTGGGCAGCGAGGACGAGAGCGGCGCCGAGTCGCAACCGTTCGACCTCAACGGGGAGGGTATTACCGACACCCCTGCCGGCGTGCACCTCCCGGCGGGGCTCCTCGCGTCCGACGATCCCGTCTCGAGCTCCCCGCACCACCTGACGTTTGGCAGCCTGCCAGCCGATCTGGGCGACCTCGGGGCTGAGAGCGTGCACCCGCTGCCGCCGCAAAAGGCCGAGTCGGGGCATCCGCTCGGTGGATACTGGCCCGACTACCGACCCTCGCCGGAGGTCCACAGCCCTCGGATACCCTCTTCTCCGGGGCTCCCCGCCCACCTTCAGAACCCACCTTATATGCACTCCCCGTATGGGTATCCGGGCCAGGCCCATCTTGCTTACAACTCCCCCATGCCCAACATGTACTCGGGGCATCCCATCTTCGACTCTTACCCCGGGGGCCCGCACCTGAGAATGACCCCCGGGGACGGGGATTTGAGCCACTCCCTCTTCTCGTCGGCCCAGCAAGGTGGCCATCTTTCAAACCCCTCCCCCTACGCCCCTCAGCAGCAGCCTGAGCGGCCTGGGTCGGGAAGCGCCTTGGGGCAGGAGCAACATCCGGCCCGGATGCTTTTCATGGAAGAGCCATGCTCCATCTGTCTAGAGAGGCAGAAAAACTGCGCGCTGCTGCCCTGCGGCCATCAAGCCTGCGCGCTGTGCAGCCAGCAGATGCACATACGGCGGATGCTCTGTCCAATGTGCAACCGGGCGGTTGAAGGGGTGCTGCAGCTCTTCAGTTAGAAAGATGCGAACAGGCCAAGGAGGGCAGCGTGGGTTGGTTCCATAGATGCATAGTACACTCTGTACAGATGTATGTTGGGCGCCGTTGCAGCCAACTTTGACAGTTCACCTTTTTCACTGCCATGCGATTATTGTCCAGTCAACCATTTGCTTCACAATGAATCTTGTGCATATATTGGCTTGAACGGTCTCCTACGGCCTGATTGAGCCATATGAAGAACGCCATGACAAGATATGTTCGTCAGGTCTGCCAATGTATAAATACCACGTCACATGTCGGCCATGCTCAGCCGCTGCTTGTCATGCACCACGACCCACCATGGCGTTTGCTCAGTGCACCCGATCCGCTCATATTCTCGCTTGTCAGACACCAGTAGTGAAAGACCAGCTAGTGTAGCCAAAGCTACATGTTGAGCCGTACGTGCAGCACCATCCGATCTTGGTTTTTCAATGTACGTCTAGGTTAACTTTTGTGCCCGAAATCAGCCGTGCGCCCTCAAATTGGGAGTCGGCTGGCACGAGCAAACAGATCAGAATCCCCAATTCTCGTATATTCGAACCCAGATCTTCACGTGCTCTGCACCCCAACCCACCCTAACCATCGTGCTGCTTCCCGCGGGGACACATAGGCCCGAGTGGTCGGCCACTGCACGGCAGGCACGCCCCGGCGGTGGCCGCTACATCACACACCTACCATATAGCGCCTCTTCGCCTCTCGCATACTCAACATCAAGAGAGTGAATCGTTTTTTTGGTATTTTGAACAATGTATCTTTCAAGGTGTGCGCCTGGGCCGCCCGGCCTGCCCGGCAGTGCAAGATTCATCCAGTTAAATCGAGTGTACCGCTAAGCCGGGCCGGCCGGCCGCGGCCGTTTGCGGCCCGCGCCGCGCCACCCGGCAACTTAGGAGACCGCGGCGCGCGCCTTGCCCATGGTTTGAAGGTTGCAGCATACATGCCCCGGTCCATTTCCGAATCACCGCGGCTGGGCGAGTCTAGAAAGGTTTCGGGGGGCACTTATACTCAATTTGAACCGTCCGATCAGCAAAGTTTCGCATCCTTGACAGCGACCGAAAGAGTTGCTTTCACAATGTCCCCGGGCCCCGAAAGCTAGTGCTCTCACAATTTCCCCGGGCCCCGGGCCAGGGGTGCGGGCGGGGCGCAGAATGGGGCGCAGAGCGCCCCCGGGAAAAATCCTGCGCCCTCGGGCGGAGGGCCGGGGCGCAGAAGCGCCCCCGGGCAAATCTGGGCCTGAGCAGGGACATTGACTGTATTTGGTGCTTATATCTGTTAAAAAGTCGAACAAGTTCAAGCATCTGAGCGAGGTTCACTTCCATAAGCGCTGGCTGGATGATTGGACATCTATAATACGTGCCTACAATACCAGCATTTTAGATTTAATCGTCCTTGTTCTGACCTCCCTTCTCAGCTGAATGTAAAATCTCTGAGTTCCTGAATGCATATTTGCATTTATTACTCTCATATCCAGACTGGACTTAGTAGCATTTTAAATCACGAGGTACCATAGCTGCTTCAGGAGGAGTATAAGGAGGGCCAGGGTTCAAACTTCAGGGCCCTCCCACAGCTTCCGCAATATATAGCACGTGCTAGTTGTACCGGGCACTATTGAAGGCCCGGTACTACCATGTGCGCCCCAGGGAAGCTGGCCTGCGCCCCAGGGCGATGGTCCGGGGCGCAGAAGCGCCCCGGGGCAAAATCCTGTCCGCACCCCTGCCCCGGGCCCCCGGTCGGCCGGGAAACAACTTCAACCAACAAATTCGATCAGGAGAATCACCTGAAAACCGACGAGAGGCCCTGCGATTGCCAAATGGCACGCTCAGAGCACTTCTGACATGACGTCGCCAGCTGGGTGCCTTCTAAAGATATTTTGACACTTGTGACGGCAGTCCGTACGACGCGTGGATCTCATGATCACTTTCCTTCCAAAAGGCGGCAGCTGGAGGAGGAAGCAAGCGGAGGTTCTTCAGCATGCACAGCTGAAAAGAAGAAATGCCCTTCCCGCGCTGCCTCCATTTTGCATGTCGGTAGAGGCCAGTGGTCCAGGAGAAGCCGTTCGCCATGAGTGGCCGGTGCCCACGCGTCATGCAAAAGTGAAGGCCGGCCGGACGTGGTGAAGTGGCATCTCCTGTGCAAGCCAGCGCTGCACAACTTGGAAAAAGAGGATAGCTTTCAAGATCTTGAGATCGCTTGAGCCCTCTCGCGTCCTCCATGTCAGCTCTCGCATTTCCTGGTCCGCATTGGCAGGCCCCCTCGTCGGATCCAGCACACGCGGCGGACCAGAGCGTGCTTCCCTCGTTCAGCAGCTTGGAGGAGCTCAACCATGCCTGGCAGCTGGATGGGAGCAGGGCTCAAGGCGTGGGCAGCATGAACCTTGGGGACCAGCTCCCTGAAAACGATTGGAACGGTGCATCAGAGGGGGCTGGCTTACACAGCGTGCGCATAGACAGGCAAGTGAGCCTGGGCACTGCGCTGCAGCAGGCAATAGCGGGGTCGTCATCAGCCAACAAGCCCAAGACAATTGAGGAGACGTGGCGGGAGATCCAGCAGCATGCACTGCCAGCCAGCCAAGCCGCCAGCAACCCCAACAATTCTGTCAAAGTAGAAGGCAACGCAAATAACACTTTTCCTCAAGGGGGGGGGTGGAGGGGGGGGGTGAACGCACCTCCGTACGGAGCGGCTGCATACCCAGGGGTCCCTCCCATGGGGGTTGCGCCTGCGGGGTTGAACACAGGGCTGTTAGAGGAGATCCTGCGCAATCAGAGGATGGCGGCATTTGCAGCGGCAGCAGCTGTCAATGCAAGCCAGGCGGGGCAAAGGCAAAGCACCAGCGAGCAAGCCTATGAGGGCGTTCCGCAGAGGAACACTCATGCGGGTGCGGGGATGAACATGCCAGGGGCGTTCCTGCCTGCACCACAGGGGTATGCCGGTGAGGCGAATGGGGTTCAGTCAGATTTGAGGAACTTCCAGTTGCCAAGTGCATATGGCAATCCAGCTTCAGGTCAGCCACGGCAGCATCAGCAGCAACAGAGCCCCAGGTCAGGTGACAATGCACAAAATCCCATTCTGGTCCCTCAGCAGGGGCCAATGGGAATCCTTGCTTTTCCTGGTGCGGGAAACCGGGGAGGTCCAAATGGTCAGGGCGCGCTGGTCATGCCAAAGAATGATCCAGATGCTGAAGAGGACGACGACTCAAGCCCCAGGGGCCGGGGGAGAAAGCGGGTGAGGGTTGAGAAGGAGAAGGATGCAAAGATAGAGAAGAGGACGCTGCGCATGATCAAGAATAGGGAGAGCGCTGCGCGGTCGCGGCTGCGGAAGCAGGCGTATACGCAGGTGAGCAAGGAGGCATTGTATACTCGTTTGTTTTTACCGGGGTGCCACATTGTACTTGTAAGAAAATGTGTAGCTTGCTTTGGATCTCATGCATGGTGGTATGTCTGCTCAAAGGTCATGCTTGAGCTAACCTGACCTGTGTATATGAAGATTATCGTCTGCACCAACAGTCCTGTCGCATACCTTCCGTATGCATTGCAAAGATGAACATTTGACGCTGCATTCCTTCTGTTCTCTTTGAATGCATATGAAATTGACACAAAATGAGGCATGTCTGCATGTTCATCCGTTTCAAAACAAGTTTGCAGTCAGGCCTCATATGTCTCGTTCACTTTCTTCAGGTCCCTGATTTGAGAAACGACAAACCGGAGGAATTTTGTCTGTTCGCAGGTTGACATTGGCCTCTAAAATTAGTAAATCGAGATTGATTGACTTGTAAAAGTACTAATTTTCACAATCATCACGTTGCAGAGCTTGGAGGCAGAGATCAACGAACTGAAAGAAGAGAACGACCGGCTCAGGAGGCAGAAGGAGGCAATGGGGGTGAATAAGCAGTCTCCAGAGGCCAAGGTCTCGACCATGAATAGGCTGAGACGAACTAGGACAGGACCGTGGTAGCTGTGCATAATCCTGGAGCAAACTGTAACATATGGGTAGGGGGAGCACCAGCAGGGGTTTTGAGCCTCTCGCCCTTGTGTGGTAAACAGCCGGCTTACTATTGGTGTATCTTCCTCAGCAGTGATTTTGACAAAAGCTAGTGTGGGGATACTATGACGGATTTGGTTAGTCTGCAGCAGAGGGAAACTGGCTTTTGTGACTCTTTGCAAAGGGATTGAATCACAGCTTTATGTGGAGGTGATCAAACTCGGAAAGAACCACCGAGTAAGAGCTAGTGCACGCGGGCTATAGCAGTCACCAGGAGTTGAATGAAGTTTTAAACGTTCAGACCCAGTATCATTGGGTTTAATCTGCAAGGATTAACTTTTCCATGTAGGTAGAGGGATCTGCCAGTCATTGAATGTGCGCACGCGTAGGTAAAAAAATTGAACTTCAGTCCTAATCTTTAAAAGAAACGGAGACACTGTTTCTAATAATCCGGTCTTAGCCTTCCAATCAAAGAATGCGTTGAACGTAACACATAGTTTTTCACGCTCACATTGGGTGATTCATCCTGACTGCTCGCTTCCAGTTAAGCTAGAACTTATGAATCGCCTTCGTTGTGTGTAGAGGACAGCCATGCTGGTCAATCCATGAGCACTCGCAAGCTTTAACGCCCTTTGCAGCCAATTGCAATGAACGCACATTGCACTTTATTCCATATGACGTTGAAAGTCCTTTCATTCAGTACGGCACTGTAGCATCAATAATCGTTGCCTTACCAACTGCGCATGTGCGTCGAAACGAGCGTTATACTCAATCATGATTGCACCTAAAATTCAGAAGTTTCAAGCTAGCTAGCTAGCACAGGAACCTATTATGTATGCCATTTGAGAAGCAGGCTACGGCGTCACACAATGAACCATGTCAAGCATGCTCTCTTACGACCCTTCATATCTCATACAGGCTCGTGAAAAGAGTACCTTGACAATCTCCTACGCCGGTGTCAATAAAACTTGCGCGCGTGTCAGCCCTTTGCATCAAAAAGAAACATAGATCCATACATGGGACCTCAAGTATCATTTTCGAAGGAATCACTTCGAGCTCACCGTACGCTTTACAGTGCGGTAGCATTCTATTCTTGAGTACAAGAGACACTCAAGCCTCGTTTACCGGTTGGCGAGAATCACGCCGGTTTCAAGCCCTCATACAGCAACCGCCGCCGCGGCATGGCCGCCATGAAAACTCTTGGCCCAGGCCGAAGCACCATCTGGCACCTGGAGCACCGTCTCATGCAATACCCCCTAGAGGTGTTGAGCGGGTCGGCCGACCAGTAAAATGCCACTGATCGGTGACACTGATCATCGAAAAATAGTGCAGCCCACATGTAGTGCAATCCTCAAATCATATCGCCACAATCAAATGGATACATGGCCGGATTCGTTTTGATTGTTGGTTCTGTCACGGGTTCCGCGTTCTTGGTACAACTACAATCCTTTCGATAACTTCAGAAACAAACGCTGTAATGGTCGATATCTCACATGACCGTCGTACCAAGCTAACAGCTTCGAGCGGGCGTCGGATTCCGCGATACTGCTCATACGGAATATCCTTCGTGACTATAGAGCATCATACTGTGACTCACAGCTCGAGCAATCGTTCACATGAACCGGCTGGAACCGGCGTCGAGTTAGTGCATCGCGCCTGCGCGAGTGACCTAGGCTTATGACGGTGCAGACCGCGCATTTAATTTGGGCGGCGGCGCTTTCACATCGAGACGGTTCGCAACACGGACCATGCCCCGTCATGTGCACTCTGCGCCTGCTGATGGCTCAGAGCCGCATATCGTCATCACCATGCTGCAGGCGGCCATGTCCTGCATGCTTTCCGCTCAGTCTTCGCCGAATCAAGCCCCTTGCCTGCACACAAACGCTAGCAGCAAACGCCTAGAAAACTGAGGCGTCGAACCCGGTGACTTATGCTGACATCTCAAACTGAAGCACACATGAGAATTTATAAACGAGAGATTGCACGCCGGGTCAGCTTCACACAAACGCATGCATGAAAGTACCCAGCGTCACACTTATAAAGCCTGGCCGCGACAAGCAGTCGAACACAGAACCGTTTTGGGACAAGCAAAGGTCATAGCTCACAACAGAAGCATTCCATGTCACAAGACGCGAATCAGGACTTCCATCCTGCTAGCTGTCACCCACTGCTTCTGCTTTCGCTTCTAACTTCGGGCGCTTGGCAGCTGGAGGCTCTTCGTCCCCTCCGTCGATCTCTGCGATACCCGTGCTCTCCGCTACTACACTACCAACAATCGGTGCCGGGATGCTGTTCGACGAAGATGGGCCGCCATTAACGGCGGCCTCCCCCATGAGCGACGCGTGCTGGGGCCCAATTTTGCGGCCCGCCTTGGGCTTGGGTCCCCAGTGCTGCTCCGGATTCGGCAGGAAGCGAGGAACCCGCGTTGCCTGGGCTTTGCTCTGTGCCGCATTGCTGCGCGCAAAGTTCGCCTGCAAGGAAGCGCCGAGCTTGACCCGTCAATGAAACAGCTTGGCTGATGACGTTTCGCGCCAAACGAAGTATACACAAGTTCCGCATTCGACGAGTTGAGATGCTATGACCCGACGAATTTCAATTGCTATCTGAACCATGATCACACAATCTGGCAAACCGTTCGCTTCAGCTCTACAGTCCCGACATTGCCGCAAAAGATCGACAAACACTTGAGGCCTGGCCCGTTGTGCACTGACCTGTATCTGGGGCTGCTGCGCCAGGATCTTTTGTCCCGGCGTCTCGTCCTTCTGCGGCTTCACCGGGTGGTCTTTCACCCAGCACCGCATGATGTCCCACAGCACTTCCATCGGCGCATCCGTTTTGATCCCGAGCGGATTGGCGTGCGACGTCGACACGCGGTACCCTGCGTTGGCCACCGCCGAGCGGAACAGGATCGCGGAAGGGGGAGTGCACTTGAGCGTTGCGCTCAGGGCGTGGAGGCTGACGTAGAGGGGGCAGTCGGGGAGTTCCTGCAATGGGGAAAGGGATCGGATGTTAGCGACGATCTGCAACGGCTTGACGTGCTTGCAGGTGTAAGAGCCACTACTTTCTGGAGGCTCGTGACTGAAGGTACCAAGCAAGGGCTATCTGACGCTTAGGGAACCGTCGCGGATCCACGTTGAGGCAGATTGCTGATCTTTTGGCAGTAGATGACAAGCTCGAAGGAGTTCCAAGCAACAAGACGCACCCCCGAGTTGTGTGAGTGCATCAATGCAGACAAGATTGACATCTTGGAGGTTTTCTGTCAGAAACTTCGTGCAGCGGCACGCGAGGCCATCTTTTTCACGCGTCGATCAAACGGTCTAGACGCACAAGCGGACACCCAATCCACCCAGACCCTCGCACGCTGCTGCGGTGCCTCACCTCAGAGACTGCAGTGAGGATGCTGTGCACTTTGTCGTACGCCGGGTAGCGGTGCTTCATACTGCGCACGCGGCTCAGCGTGGCGGCCACCCAGGCGGGGTCGTGGATGGGCTCCGACCAAATGGGGCCGCCCATCAAAAAGTGCTTCCCGCAGTTCTCGCACGCCTGCCCGACTGCGGGGCCGACGCCGGGAGTGTACCGCGACTGGTTGTTCTGCAGAGACGGACTGCTGAGTGTGACGAAGTGTGTGGACGAACTCCGCTAGGCGGAGGCCAGACCTCAAAGGTGTGCGCTTGGAGGAGGAAAGAGAGAGAACAATGAGGGTTTTGGAAACCGGACGCAAGCTTGAGCTAATGGAGATGCTACCTGGCTTGTTATCACAAAAGATTGCTGGCCGCAAGACGCGACAGGAATTTGTCCATCGCTTGTCATTAAAAACAAATGTGCACGAATTGGGCCGACTCAGTCCAGTGAGCCCTTGGAACAGCTAGTACCTTCTGCACCAAATAGAAACTGAAGCCACGAAACGAGCGACAAACAGCCAACAGCTTTTCTCCTACACCAGCCGAGGCCAGCTGTGGCTTCTCACCTTCTGCGTGACCCTCCCCAACGGCTGCAAGTAAAACGAGTCGCACCCAACGCACTGGTACACATACGAGAGCTTGCTGGGGCTGGCTTTGACTATGTTTGGGGACCTGGAAATAGAGATAACATAAGCATTTGGATCTAGTTTCTGCTTGCATCCGACTCCTCACTCGATTGAAGCCTTGCAAACTGTACGCTTTTGTTCCTTACTCAAGTCGAACTTGAGATTCAGCAAAGCCAGTATCCAGATAGAACATCTGCGCGTTTGTTATTGTGGAACTTTATCGAGAAGCAAGCAGACCTTCAGACTTGATGACAGCGAAGCAAGGCGCTGCACTGTTAAGATGGCTCGATTTCGACAGCACACCAAATCGTATGCTTCTTTTGTCTCGTCAAGGTGCGGCAAACTGGTTTAGCAAGAAAACTCACGTGTGGATGCGAACGAAGACCCGGATGTAGAAATCGACGGACAACGAAAGGACAGGGACGATGTAGCGCTTATACCGGTTGGCATGGCTCTGCAAAACGGATCAGAAGGTGAGATCACGAGTGTCGCAAGTTTCCTCCACACAAAAACTGCTCAGTCACGAAAGAGTAACCAGAACTTTAACCCTGAGAGCAGGTCATTGAAGTGCCTTTTCTAAGAGCGCCCGTGATGAAGCGCAGAGGAGTTTGTCATATTGAGGACATAGCAGCATCTCCCTATGAGACGACACCACTTCAGAACTATAATGATGGCCCGATGCGCACCTCGATGCATTGGAGGAGGATCCGGAGAGCCATCTCGTGGCAGTACTTGGCGCGCAGCGGGTATGCCCCGTACTTGGAGTAGCACACCTCGCCGTTGTTGCCGCACAGGACGGCCATGTCGGTGGCCGTGCACAGAAAAAGCCCCCCGTCCGCCACGCTCTGAACGGCCGAGTCGAGGAAGATGGACGGGGAGCCGTACGGATCCAAGTCGACCTGGGAGTAAAACCGAGGACGGAAGTTACTAGGACGACCAATATATGTCCACGATATGCACTCCGCAACGCTGTGCAGGGGTGGACTTCGTAGCTGGCGGCCTTCGCGAAACATTCCAAAGAACGTTTTACGCCTCCTTTGAGAAGCCATACTAACCCAGTAATCCTCTTTAGCTGACTAGCCGAAATGAACTCTGCACCCATGCACGGCTCATGCGTGAATTTTGTTGAGAAGAATTGACTGCCCAGGTCGAGCCAGATCCTGGTGTGCTCGAAAATTCGTGGACCATGTGGCATCACCCACAGAAGTTTTAGTAAAGAGAACAGAAGAGCTGATACTCACGATGTCGAATGCCTTCTCGTGCTGCAGGCACAGCAGTCGCGCATCCTGTTCCCGCACTTGGACCAACGCCGCGCGCCCCCCGTTCCATTCGATATTTCGTCGGCACGCTTCAACGGCGACTGCATGCAGAAGATGCGCACGAGCTGTGTGTTGGAGCAGCCAAAATGCATACCATCAAGTGGCAGTGATGTCTGGTTGAAGACCGAACAATCTGCTTCAACTTACATCAGGAGTGTTGCTGAAATGACTTCGAGGAGGCTTTCCCTGATGGAACTTTAATGCTGTCTCTTCTCTGATGCAGGTTAGGTGGACCTCTACTACAGGAATGCACCCTAATCTCAACAGCTACTCGGAGGTGATGTTTGACCACCACGACTTAAGATCTATCTATTCACACTAGAGACAAGAGGTACTTTGTGAGGGTTCGCTTTTGGTGCAGGACGCCCCCAATAAGAACCAACAATATGATGTATCAAACGTTTTTGATAGAAGCCAAAGCAGTCACGTTCATACTCACCTTTGTCAATATCGCTGGCAAGGACGGCCCCGAGCCCGTCCACTTCAATTGCATAACGGAGGGACCGTAGACCGGATGCCGCGAGTGGCTGCATACAGAGATGCTAAATTGACCAAACAGCTAGTGACAAATTTTTCAAGACATTACAGTAATTGTTCCCGACCTTGCAAATGCAGCCGCACCTGCTCCAGCAACTCCGACCTTCTAGCACTGCATTATGGTGCGCGCAACTGCTTAGAAAGGGCCACTCTCGATTGTCCATCAACGCTGGGCACCTGTGCGCTGCCATAACACAGAAGGGCATTTATCTCTTCGCAGAAAGAGACTACTCCGATGCATACCTCAAGAACTTTCAGCGGGGCCAAACCCTTCCCCCTCCCATGCGCCGCACCCGAAGACGAGGCTCCGCCATCCCCGTTGGCCGTTTCCGTGCTTCCACTGGCCCCTTGCACTGCTCCCTTCTCATTGTGAGAAGGCCCCGAACCGGCTGCATCGTCCGAGGGACCTGGCTCCGGCCCACTCTCTCCCCTCCTTTCCTCAACCTTCCCTGCGTGACCACTTTCCCCAGCACCCGGTGCACCGCTGGCACTGGCGACCGGACCATTACCAACTCCGCCTGGCCCATCACTAACACTGCCACCGATTGCTCCTGGCGCAGCGCTTGACCCCGCCCCGCTTGCGTGCTGACCAGCTTGCTTGTTCTTCCCCTTTCCTCCACCACCCTGCCCTTCTCCGCCTCTCTTCTTCTTGTTGGCTTTTGCCGCGGCATCCTCCTCTCGGCGCTTCTCAACAAAAGTACGCAGGATGGCGATCGAAAGGTCGCGGTTCACAATCTGCGGAGAAAGCAGGCAACAGGATGAGAGTGCTCTTCCCTTCCAAGTCCTAGAATGAACAAGTTTGAATTCTTCTGGAATCTACATGATCAAGACTGGTCAGATATCGACAGATGGAGATGCTGAGTGGCAGACGAAGGCCCACCTGAGTCTTGTTGTAGAAGACATCATTACCATGCTGTAAGATCTCAACATCGCCCTCCTTCAAAACCTTGAAACCCTCTGGAACTTGCTTCTTCCTCTGCCCATTGGGGGCCGACATCATCGCAGAGTACTTCAAACCACTCGGCACGATTATCTGTTCCGATCCTGAGAAAGAGTCCAGAGTACCCCAGAATGCGGCCTTGGTTCTACAAGTTGAACTAGCAAACAAGCTGTGCTTTGTTTGAAGAAGATCTGCCACCTGCCAAGCCTTCCTCAGGCGCCTCAATCGTGTCCTTGGTCGCGAGAGGGCGAAGACGACGTTCATGCGCCTCCACAGCTCGCGTTGTCCGCTCTCCCTGATGTCACTGCCGAAGTCCTTGAGTTCCTAGTTCAAGGGTTTGGGCAGCTCTAGCTCAGATCTTGGGTACCGTAGAGCGCCCAATCTGGATCACCTTATTTTTCGTACCGCTTATTTGCAACAATATTTAACGATTTTACGATTTTAAAGTGCGGTTTTCTCCACATATCCAGGTTTTCCAAGGGCTATCTGCCGATGCACTTGGATCCAGATTTGACCAACTCTAGGTCATGCTCTCGAGTCAAAAACCTCGGTTTTCCGCACAAAAGAGCTGATCCAGTTTTGGCACAGTTGGAAATACGAGACTGGATCAAAATAGGTCCAGTTTAGGGCGGAGGTGATCCAGTAAGGGAAGCGTCATTTTGAAGCTGTACCCCCCGTAGTAACTGTTGAGCCCTTTTGAGTTGAGGACCCTTGTCCCCCCCCTTTCCCAACTTGCCCCACTGGCTCAAGTCCCAAGTCCCCCCCCCATGCCTTTCGAGCCTTGGAAGGTTTCAAGTCCCCCTCCCATATACAGGCTTGAAAAAGGCGAATTTCCGCTATGTTTTGAGTATATTTGCCAGACTTTGATGGCACCGATCCTTACAGAGAGCTGCTTGCAAGGTCTTTTTGACCATTTGGTGGAGAATTCGCCCAAAATAACGCGAAAATCACACCAAAACCTACAAGAACGGATCAAAACTCCTAAATCTGCCCCTATGACCTTTCCATCTCAAGGCCTGCAAAGGCTCCCCCCCCATGTAGCTACGAGATTCTTCACAGGCTGCCGAGTCCCTCCCCCTTCATTACCCTGGGATTCAATCTTGGTCCAAGGTACCCCCCCCTTAACAGTTACTCCGGGGGGTACCGCTATACAAAATGACCCTTCCCTAATGGTACGTGATCCGGTTTTGGGCGCTCTACGGTACACTTGTTTTAGGGTTTTCCTTGGGCTCACAAAGTTTCTACATTGCCCAGCTTAGAAATTGCAGTCCTGGAACCGGTGAAAGCGCAGCTCCTGTACGTATTATGGTGGTGACACACGGCTTCAAGACGCCTCCAGCGATACAGTCTGGGTAGCAAGGTGGTGCAGCCATTGTAGGTTGTAACAGACAAGAAAGGCGTCAAAGTTACATTGGAGAACGATGACCGAGCAGCATTGAGAACAGTCCATAGAAATCTCTGCACGCGATAGCGAGGAAGTCTGGCGCGGGACCTTCGCGGATGCTAGAGAAGCGTACAACTCATCCAGAAGGTGGAAGGGGTTGAATAGCAGGTTGAACGCGGTTCCCACCGTTAAGCTGCGAGATGCAGGAAGGACTTGGCACAGGCATCAAGAAGGTTTCCAGCTCAATGTGTGCGGACTTTTCGGCAGCATCTCTGAAATGTGAGCCCATTCTGTTGATCCTTCTTCAAGCCCTGGGTCAGGTGGTGATTGGAGGCTGTCTGCATGAGGGGATTGTATGAGTTGCCACTTTCTCAATCCTGTGGGTCTTGAAAAAGCGCTACCTTCCATTGAACCTCCAATCGTGCCCTTTTGCAGGTATAATAGATGCTAACTATGACAAGAGCAAGTGTCAAAAGGAGTTTCTAGAGTACAAGGAGTGCCGAAAAAAAGAGGTGATTATCCTTCCATTCAATCTTACCAACGTGTATACAGTATATGGTGGAAAGAAACAAGATGAGCAGTCATCAATACTGCTCCGTAGTTCTCGAAGTTATGTTAGAAGTATTTACGCACTGCCACTCGGGCTACACTGGCGCCAGTGCGTAAATACTTCTAGTTAAATGTAAGTTAAGTTGTTTCTCACTTCTATAATCATGCATTCAGTCTTCAAAGCCTATATCTCCATGTTTTGCGCTCAAGGACAGGAGGTTTGAGGTTGATATCTGGGCATACCACCAGCATGCCCATCTCACTTCTCCTCATGTCATCCTTCTTGCAGCGAGCAGCCATGTTAGCCACGAGGCAGCAAGGAAAAGCCTGGTGACTCGCCCTGGATTGTCAAGTGACTCCAACCCCCATGAGAGCATGGTGCAAAGACAGAGGTGAATTTCCCAGAATCTCAACTATTGCTTCTGGTGAACATCTAACTCCCATTGCTTCCAGAAACCTTGATTGGGAGCATACTTTCTCTTTTTGGTTCGTGGCCAAAAGCTGTTTGTAACTTTGGTGATGTAGCCCCTTTTAGCAGGTTGCAAATTGCAGATGCGCTGCAGAGTGTGCAAGTTTTTCGATCTGATAGTTCAAAACGTTTTTTTGCAGAAGTCATGATTAACGGCCTGGGGGTGCAGAGACTTGACCTTTTTCATTTGTCCTCTGAACATCTCAATGGGGTGTCGACTTTTTCCAAGAGCTTTCCAAACCAATAATTGAATCTTCGAAAGGCTGATTGTGGGCCAGCTTTTGCAAATATGCATCCATGTTCCGGTGGCAGCCTGTGTTCTCGTTGCATGGCAATTCAGATTCTCACAGACTGGAGACTACCGAGTATCCACATGGCCGAAGGACTCAATGACGGGCCAACGTATATAGCCACCCGGCGCGATCGATTGCCAAGTTGAGCGCCGTAACGGAGCTGTCGAACCTTTAAAAGGCAAAAACTTTTAGATGTTGCACTCACAAGGTCCCAACCCCAACCAGTGACATGTATTCATTAGCATACAGTGGTTGTTTGTGACCTCATAACCCGATTTCTGCGGTCATGCATAATTCAATCTGGATAGTGTTGAGTAAGACTCAAAATACGTGCGCGGCTCTGCGCATATGGGCTATACTTGGATCTTATTTCTCGGCGTCATTCGAAACTACTTTTCGTCTGGTCAATAAGTTCGAGCATGCAGTGGCCCGTGGTCATTCATGTGAGCTCTCGATTCTCGAACGACCTTTTAAGAATTCCATGCCAAGGTTCACTAACGTCGCGACGAGCCTAACAGGCAATACAAAAAGTGTATAAACGGACAGTTACACTGCAATATGATCTTAATCTCGAGCCTGGCTTATGTTTTTTCAATAAGCTCACACTCTTGTGGATTTTCACATGGAGTGTACCTAGTAGCTAGCGTGATAACATGCAACGATATCACAAACCATGCTATATGGTCGATTATAATCCTACACAGTGATCGAGGAACCCAGATCAGCTAGCGGGCCTGTGCTTGACGTATGCCAAATGGTCTCTAGTTTCAAATATGATCAATGTACCCCATGGTTGTATGTGATCTACAGTCGATCACCTGGCAGATGTTTTTTGGGCAAGCGCAAGCGCGCTGCCACATCATAATATATTCCCGCATATGTGCAGTGCGTGCCACACACACATGCGGAGGTCAAGCTCCGTGACAAATCGCGCAAAGAGCATGATACACATATGGGGCTGCCATGCTTAAAGTGAGCTATATAAGATTACAAATCTGAGACTTACCGTCAATACTTGGAGCTGGTAACGCCGACGGCGATATTGACAGCTACATATTTGCCAGCGCCGGATCTTACACAAGTTTACTTGATCTAGCTCGAACGTTCTACACGACACCCTCCGCATTTTGCAATTCTGGCGTTCACGACCGTGACTCTACAGCGCTTGATGAGTCGGCCCCACCGCATCGTTCAAATCCTTGCCCCCATCAGCCTTCCGTTCTTCCGCCTGACCCGTGCTCTTGCTGCCCGCAAGGTCCTCATCTGGAACCAGCGAAACGTTGCCCTCGCTCGTTTTCTCTGCTTCCGAAGTCTCCGCTGCAGATCCCGCGGTGTCCATCCCCGAACCAGGTGCCTTGTCGACCTGATCGGACAGGGCCTCGGGGTGACGCGTCGCTTGCGCTTCGAAGTTTTCTGCCATCGCCTCGTGCTTGGATCTACAGTCGCGAAGTCAGGAGTAACATAAGGTCGAAGACTGTCCAAAAAGTAGTTGGAAGCATTGTGAGATTCAGCGCATCGCATCGTGCACGTTCGCTACGGTCAACCTTGCCAACACAAGCACAGAAGGAACGAAGAAGCAATTGATTGGAGGTCAACAAGAGCTCCACAGCAAGAAGCCTGATACGAAGTGGGCGGATGTCGCGAACTTGAAGTTGCGACAGAGAACCCCTCAGTCACTCCAAGTAGCACAGAATCAGAGCGGCCTTCAAAGTCTTACCCATTCTCTTGGCCTGAGAAGCCCTGCGCAGCAGGTGCGGTGTCAGTCTCTTGCAGCGGGGACTCTCGACCTCGCGGAGCAGCTGAGGCCGCTGCGGAAGGAGGTCGGGCACCTGGCTGGACGGTGGCTTTCGAGTAGTCGATCTCGCCGGCGCTGTTCACACCAGGGTTCAATGCTGAGGCCCCTGGGCCATAGTCACCTGGAAACAACATTCGTTTTCGATCGAAATAAAGGTCTTGTACTCAGTCTCCCCTTTGGTCTTGCCTGGGCATCTGGTGCGACGAGCGGAGCAGTCTGGTTTGGGACTAGCATCCAAGGTTGTTGCGAAATCTTTCTTGTGCTGCCACAAGAACAACTTTCGCTCTGCATCGATGCGATATCTGAACGCATTTTCCAAATAATTTCAATCTGGCGCTTTGACTAAATCAGGTCCATGTTAGCACGGGCTTTCTGCCACCACACTCACTTGCAATAGCAGTCTTTGCTGGCGACCCAATCTCTTCTGCTGTTTCATCCGCTGCTTCCAGTTCTTCTGCAGAGCCAACAGTCCCAGCTACTCCAGCCGCAGAATCTCCAATGGGCCCAGCCTCCCGCATGTGGCGCAGATCAGCAGACATTCCGTCTTCGCCTGTGGAAAGGTCCCTGCTTAATCAACAGTGAAGTACGCTCATCCAAGAAGATGTTGAACTTCTAATTCATGCTGAAAACCCTTATCACAAAGATCAAGGGATCATACTCAACTGGGCAAGAGCTTGCCATTTTAAAGAACAGATCTTCAACAGTCTCATGAAATGGAACGACGAGGAAAGAGCAGCTATTGCAAATCCTCACTCTTCATTTTTGGTCACTTACCTGCGCCTACAACAAGAAGGTGGAGGCTTCTTCACTCCATGCCTAACGCAAAATCATCATCATACAGGGATCATGAAATGCTAATGAACTGCCCATTCGATTGCCCTAGGTAAAGCTGGCTCAACCTTGCCTTCCCTAGGTTTTATCAGCTGCTCTCTGGGTTTGTTCAGTAAGATCAGCTGTTCGGAAGATTACGCGCATTATGAAGGGTTCTGGAAAGAACCATTGTAAGAAAAAAAAAACTAAAACAAAAGCTCCGCAGATAAAAGGTCTGAAGCTGGGCGTATGTACAGAAATGCCTACATTCCACGTTTTCTGGCTGCCTGAAGAGCGCTAGCGGATGCAATCATGGCCAGAAGTATTGCAAGCATGGCAGTCATGACCGTGACACAGCAATGATGAGCAAAACCAAGTAGCATGGCTGGTGGGATCTAAGACGCTCCTCAGGTAGCCTTGTTGCTGTAACCGGGCAAAAGCAACGACCAAGTATCCGGTATACAGCTGAAACCTTGAATCAACAAAAATCTGTGTCTGCTTTTTAAGAGTACCTCAGAAACTCGAGGATTGAATAAACAGCCTTCAAAGGACTTGAGACTAGGTGGCACATTGATGCCCTAACCTGCAGAGCCTCCTGGAGAGGGCTGCACCTTTTCTCTCGCAGGTGCTGACTGAGCTCCATCTGCTGCACAGGCCAAGTGGATGCTTTTCCTTGTATGGATTTTCGTTTGCGGCAGGGTCTTAGGACTCTTGATCAGCTCCCTTGCGTGAAATTGAAGCGCGGACTGAGTGCTATGGCGAGGGGCGCAAGTAGCTGTTACTTTGTGCTGAGAATTTGTGGGTCTTTCATTGGCAGGGATGAAGAACGTTCTGGCACCCCAGCATTTTATGGCGGAAGTAGCACTCATGTTTGCTGCATGCAGCCTCCCAGGATGCAGCTACCGGATCTAGGCTACTGAACTTTCAAGTGCGCGCTGACTGATCCAGTGGAATCACTGCAAGAGGCAGCTCTCCTGTGAATCCTGAAGCTAGCAAGAAAGGCGCTCTCTCTTGGTTGCCTTGGTATGACCTCACGTTTGAAAGCAACATGCCACTGATAGAGTTTCAGGGGGGCCGGAGTTTCAGTCTGAATGGAGCCACTGTAGCCCGCACTGCTGCCGCATCCCACATTCTCTGCTCAGTGCGCCCAGATGATCATATTTCCTGGCCAGAGAAGCATCCGCAGCTTGACACTTGGGAGCGCCGGCCACCAGCTGGATGAAGGGCCGCCAGCTGTTGCCCTTGGTCGGAGGGATCCCTCGAGAAATGATTACGCGCAGCTCAGCGCGCGCGCAGTCAAGGTGTCACGCGATCTCTGTGGGAACGGTTTTGCCACGGCACCACAGGCAGTGGTAATGGCTCTTTTCGAGTTGGCGTTCTTCTCGCACCAGCCTGGTGCGGCCACATTGCATCAAAATTGGCGATTGGCAGCCACACCCTTTGGTTGGCATGGCAGCAGAAGGTCTCGTCCCCGACGCTCCTGGCGGATTGGGGTTCCACTCAGCTGAAGAAGCAGCTGCGAAGCTGGATGCAAACAACAGGAAACGTTTGGGGGATGCCAGCACGGAGGGAGATGCAGAAAGGCGAGTGAGGCCTAGACTGGAGCTGCCCCCGGAATCTGCGCAAATTGAGCAGGCAGGAGGGCAGGAAGATGCAGATGCAGAAGGAGGACCCGAGGACGAGCTGGACAAGCGGCTGAGGGCCCTGGTGGAAGTCGCTGCTCAGCGGAAAGGCGACGTAAGTGCATGGTCCCTCCTCTCTCTATGCGTGCCCAATTCAGCCACTTTGTCTTGCTGTTCTGATAGAGACAGCATGTTCTGATTTAAATTCTGCCACCTTGAGCTCAGATTACCGCTCTGTCATTTGCAGAGCCCCCTTCCCAAGCCCCCCCACAGCTTGTTCCAAGCATCTGTTCCTATTCCCTTCGGGACAGCAGCCCCCCCCGCCTCAGCATCTCTGAATCTACCCACTCAAGAAGCGCTTGGAAGGGGCAGAGTTGGGGAGCTTCCATCGGGACTTTCTGTCAGTGGGGCCTCAGGAGAGGCAATTCTGACTGGCGGTTTCTTGGCGGGCGCCCCTGATGGACTGCACAGTTATGCGGCTGCCAGGCAGCCCCTGCCGTCAGAAGATCGCCTATTATCACAGCCACCGGACCATCCCCAGTCAGCTCAACACCCATCGCAGGCGCTTACACCTGCGGAGCCCCTCGGCCCTGACGAGGACGTTCCGATCTCTCAGCTCCAGGGGCGCCCAGAGCGGTTGCGAGCGGGGGAAGGTGGGGGGAACAGTATGCAGATCAAAGAGAGCGCCGAGCATGACACGAATAGGGGCACTGAGGACCATGGGTTTGGGCATGAGCATGGGTTCACTCAGCACGAGTACGCGGGCTATGGGGAGCACCCTCAGTACGAGCCTCACCAGCAGTATGCGGCTACTGCGGAGGCGCAACAGTTAGCGGAGCATGCGGGTGAGGCGTTGAATTGCATAGAAATCTGTGCTGGACCATAGCTGCCCCCAGGGCAATCCACCCTTGACGGGCTGCAGCCAAAGGATGAAACTCACTAGACCTTGAATTTAGCATCTAGACTGTGTTGTTCGAAAATCGTATAGGAAAGACCCACCCTTCCAGGACTTGTTTTCATTCTTACCAACACACTTGAAGATTCAAAGCCCCAACTTTGGAGTCTGGCACTAGTACACTAGGCGTTGAGCAAAGTGAGTTAGGAGGGGGGAGGTCAAGCTCCATCAGATATGATAGACTCCTACTAGATTCATCTCAAGTAAACAGATTCTGAGGTTTCAGAGATTCCACGTAATCCAGAACCCAAGGCAGGAAGCGTACAAGCGAAGGGAGTGATGCTAATGTAAAACCTCGATGTTTCACCACCCTAGCCACTTGGTACACTTGGCCCACTCCTTACTCAGGTCCCGACTTGCCTTAACCCGGTCCCTTTCTGCGCCCCTGTGAATCGAGTCACTGCCCCCCCTCTCGTCAATCTGGACATTCTATAAATCCAGGCCCGATATCCAGTCCCTGGCCGATGTTTCAGGTTTTGGCGGGGGCCACATGGAGCAGGAGGAGGACGAGGGCGCGCTGGCTGCGTTGGACCTGGTGGAGGTAGGTTTCCCGCGCAGCAGCGTGGAGGAGCTGCAGACGCTACCGCAGCACGACCTCATCACGCGCGTGCTCGACCTCGAGGAGCGCATCTCCGCCGTCGTGCGCGAGAAGCAGCTCGAGGCCGCCGCGCGCCAGGAGGCCGAGGACAACGCCGCACGATATGCAGGTGGGCTGCAGGCTGTTCCTCGTTGCGTTGGTGGTCTTTGGAAGCTAGTGATGTACCTGGGGGTCGAGGTGTAGATTTGATAGCTGCTCGCTCTGCCTGTAGCGTTCTAGTGGGCGCGGAAGCATAGGATGCGACTTCACCTGTGGAAATAAGAGTATTCAATTGCTCGATCTGTGTGTTAAACCAATTTACAAGGCGCTCTGGATGACGTTTGGGACGGGAGTCGGAGTCGGTATTCGGGGGAACAGGTGAGTAGAGTACCGCTTTGGAGTGGGTTGCTGAGGGTGGTCACCCTTCACATTATCGTTCAATATGTACTCGTTCTCCAAGAATGGTTCTCGGCATTCTTTTGAAGACCTAAAAGACATAGAAGGCCTTCTAATATTTGAAGGTCTGCCGTTCTTCGAATGGCCCAACCAGGTTCGTTCGACAAATTTGAGCTGTGACTTCCCAGGGTCAAGGGTCCAGTCACTTGTGAAGAGGCCAGTTTCATCCATATTTGTGGTTTTATCACGAGCAGCGAAGATTTTTCATGAAAACAGACCTCTCATCTCTAAAGCCCTTGTCCCTACGTTTTGCAGAGGAGAGCCGACACCTGCGTCATGTGGTGCGCGAGAAGAACGGCTACAAGAAGGGCGTACTCCAGGAGATTGCCGCTTTGGAGAATCCGCTCGGCATCCCCCAGCTGGCGGGCCGCTTCACCATCACGCGAGAGGGATCCCCCGGGGGCGGCCTGCGCCTGGAGAAGGGCAACAAGGGCAGGTCTCTCTCCCCCGTGAAGGAGAAGTGGAAGGCCGAGTGGAAGAAGGCCGCGTCTCGGAGCCACTACGTACCGTCGGCAAGCCTGCTAGCGGGGGCGGAGTTTGGGAACCCGTATGCGGGGTTGGAGGAGCTGAGGAACCCGGCCAACGTAAAGGGCGCTCGAAGCAGGAAGGTGGGGCCGTCGCAGGCCACACCCGCGAGCAGGCTGCTGGCGATCCTGGGGGCGCAAGGTGAGGGGCCCGTTGCTTCTTTGTGCGACACACGCCCCATGCCTCGAGTATTATGGGCGGAGAAAAAGCTTGATTGTCTCTTTCGTCGGCCTACTTTGATAAATAGTCTCACAGAGCCACGTGTTCGGACCGGCTGTTCTCTGTCACCACGTGATACGAGCAAGTGTTGTCACAGCAGCCTGTATTGCCGCTGATTGGTTGCAGGTTCCGTTTCATTTTTCGGGGCCAGTTAATCTGGTGATATCCACTATCCCCGTTCCGCTGTTGAAACAAAAAGAAATGGCCTTTGCGAGGATGTAAACGAACAGCAATATTACTGAGGTCGAAGAACCTCAAGTCTCGGCCTACGAGCCATGTAAAAACCACCGGCAAAGTCTCAAGTTGTCGCAGGCCATGCTTTCTTTTTCTTGTTTCTTCAACCGGTCTTTTGGGTCGAGACGTCATTCTCGGAAAATGCACTCCTCTCCGAGTCGGTCGATAATCCTTAAGTTCTATCTCCTTTGAAACAGACGACGATGACGACGACGAGGATGGAGACAATACGTATGTGGCCCCCATACCCCCACCGCCGCGACTGATCGGGCCAGTGGGCCCCGCTCCAACGCGCGCCCCGCGCGCAGAATCGACGGTGGGCCTGGAGGACCTGAGCGAGTTTCTGCGCACGTGCTGCCAGGCGAAGCAGACGGGCCACATGACGCTGCACCGCGTGCTCTGGTACACCTACCTCGCGTGGCGCCAAAAGATCGCCTCGCCGCGCCCCTCCGTCTCCAGCGGCGGCGTCGGCCTCAGCCAGTGCATGCAGAAGCTGGGGCACCGGGAACGGCTGTTCACGCGCGAGATCCAGGTGGGCGGGCAACGTCGGGCAGTTCTGACGGTCCGACTTGCGCGAAGAGGTCGTGATTGTGCGTTTTTCGTTTTGCACTGCCGTCTGCTTGTTTCTTGGCCCAACTGCCCCGTGCAAAGCTACGTGACTCGGAAGAGTTTAAGTCGTCTTCTGTTCTCAAACTCGGCGCATAAAACTAAACGCCGCAAGACAGGGGAATCTTTGTGTGTTGTCAAGTCCCAACAGTAGACTGAGTCTAACAGCCACTGAAAGCGACCCGCCGTTGTGCAGGCCAAGAAGGCTGGGTGTAAGGGCTACGAGGGCGGCGGCAAGTACTGGATGGGCCTGGTGGTGCTGGACAAGGCGCTGGTGAAGACGGGCCGCCAGTGGCTCGCCGAGGCCAAGCGCAGCGGCGGCAGCAACCGGGTCACCTTCTCCCGAGATGCTGCAATCAAGGTCCAGGCCAGCAAGGACGAGCCGGCCGACGAACAAGGCGCCCAGGGAGAAGCTGCGGCAGAAGCGTAGGCTGACGCGCTGCAAGTTGGTGGCGAAAAGTGGGCGGATGCGGTGGGCTCTGTTATCGTGGAAGGGGACGATATGTATTTGTAGCGTATGGAAAAGCTGATTTGACAGCTGTTGAGTGGGATGGCGAAAGACTAGTCGCGGCTTTGCCAGGCACCATGCGCCGCTGTCTCCCTGACAAAGTCGAGCAGCTTCTGGCAATAACGTTCCGTGTTGTAAGTTAGCTCTATGATTCAGGGAAGCTGATTTGTTTGGCCGGGACTTGCGAGGTATGTTGACCGTTGCCTGGAAGCTTTAGAGTTGCTTCGTGGTTGGAGTTGTTGAGGCTGTTCGCGTTTGACACAAGGAACATTTCATCTTTCAGGATCATGTCACTGCGCTGGTTATCAAGGTTCCTAAGTAGACATATACAGTCATGGCGTCCCTTTGCTTGATCCTGGTCCCGTACAAACAGCGGGGCGGTACCAGGTTCAGTTCTGGGTTTTAACTAAGCATCGCCGAAAAAATATCTCGCTTTGGATATGTTCTCTTTTCACACGTAGCAGCCACATGGGCCATAGACTTCCATGGCATACATGGGAATCAATGCATGTTCAAGTTTTGAACGTCTCCGCGTTCTAATATGAAGCTCCATCATGCACAAGTAGGACGTCACTGCCGCCGGCTAAGCCTGGGCTTAGATCAATAGTAATTGCGTAAGCTGATGTGTTTTTGCAACTTTCCAAGGATCGACTGCTCATGCCAATTGTGCGGTGTCCACTCAAGTGTTGCAAGTCCGCACATATATGCCAGAGCACCTATATGGATACTGGTACGTGCATGATGACGCTTCGTACTGCGCCGCGATTGATCAAAACAGAGCTAGGCAATGATGCAATCACAGTTAAGTGCAGCATTCTTTGAATGACTGCACATCATTGCCATGACGGCCAAATACATGTGCGCACATGCTTGGATGGTATTAGCTGCGGCGGCTGGTTGTTAGGTTTCGAGGTTGCATGATTTGTCATTGGCAATATCATGTAGCCTAGCTAGGTAGCCTTAATCAACATATAGCAATGGGCTTTATGTACCACTTGATGGTTTGATCATATTGTTGAGACCTCAATCATCGTACGTTGTAAGTCAGTATGGTTACATACCTTTTATAACCACACGTACCGCGCCAGATCTTGCAACTGGGCACACGGCATTGCATGGCTCAAGCTACTGGATAGATGCTTACTGGCCCGATGTGCCTAAAGATCTCATTCATGCTGCAACCTTAAATCTGAAAACTGATCTTGCTTTCCTGAATCAGACCGTTTGTTAACAGGACTAAGTGGCGACAGCCAGTAGCATTCATTCACGAAGCCTTCTATTAACTTTTCCGAGCTTTCTTCGCTCGTGTACTTCCGTCCTCGTTTGACTCAACAAAGCACATGAAAACATAACCAAGTATCCAGAGAAACACGTATCGAAGAGGTGAGTATGGCAGACAACCTAACAAAGTCATGATGGAACCACAGTATTGTGGATCCCTCACCGTCCCAAACGGGAATGCTGTAACCCACGGTATTTGTTTGCCAAAGCGGACGCCATAGTAGACGCCATCTTCTCCAAGAAGTTGGTAAACCCTGCAACCGAACCAAGGTGAGAACTCTTGGAACCCTTAAGGCAGATAAATCAAGAAGCAATTCTCGTTCCCTCGCTCCCAAACAGGACAATCGGGTGACAAACAGGCCGAAGCATGCACAACGATTGGGATGTTCTCAAAAAAGCATGCAAGCTGGTGCAATCTATGTTGAATGGTGGAGCTCTGGACGCTTTATACAAGTCTTGCCCTATGCTTGATCATTTTTGCACGCGCCCAGGCGGTCAGAGTACAGAGCAAGTGTACTCACCTTAAGTTCAGATATTGTCCCGCGACAACCAGAAGGACAGACCACCAAGGTGGCCAGCTAAAACTGGATACAGACAACAGCGCACAGATTTGCGCAGCTTTCAGGACTGCCGAAATTTGAGCCATTCGGTGGGAGGGGTCAACATCTGGTCCGCAGGCGTCCACAAAGACCTGGGGCCACCGCCAGAGATACCAATAGAAGGGAAAGGGAGAGACAACAGCCAGGCAGAGGAGTATGTCAGCCACCATTTTTGCCCAAGATGAACCTGCTTCTTGTTCTCAGGATCAGGTTGTCTACATAGGTACATCTCTATGAATCAGTTGGTGAGTTGGCAGATTCCCTAATTAGATTTTGGGCCCTACATAGTGGTAGGTAGCTTTGGAATGCGTCCTGACACCTTTCCTATGCACGTCCCCAGCTCGACTTTTTAAGATCACAATTCTCGCCCATGTTCAAGACACCAGTCCTTGCCAGATCAGCAGCACTCTGACATCAGCAATGAATTTGCGCGGCAGATTGGCAAGTTAGAAAATATTAAAGAACTTGCGACGACGTTTTAGCCCTTGGGGCCAATAGCAACAGCCTCTTTCTACCCACGATCTCACAACAATCGAGTGTCCTTGGCGCCTCCTTTTAACCCGATGTCACTGTCAGAACACGGCTCCTTGTTCCGGTTGGAGAAAAGTGGTGGAGGAAGGTTAATTTACTACCGACATAGGTACGTACCACCCAGTTGGCGTTGACCTTCACAAGTTCACAGTCAATATTCCTAAATTTCTCAATGACAGTACTTCTGAAAACACCGTAGAGTGAATATTTTCTAAGAAACTATGTGTCAACTTGTCAGGGTCCCGAAAACAGTCTCGGCATGGATTATCCAAATTTTACAGGTCGGAGTCGGTCCCTACTCCGAGCACGGAGTAGGGACCGGCAACTCCCTCTGCCTCCAATGCCGAAGCGACGAAGGGGCTTGGGCCTTGGCAATGGTAGCGGTGGCTTGGTGGTTGAAGGGTGGATGGGGTTGCGGTCCGCGGAGCGCCTAAAGTTTTTGGTCAGGTAGGATTCTTGGTTGAGGTGCTTTGGGGCTTCGGAATCTTTGGTAACAGATGTTGACATCAAGCTGCATCGAGCTGCGCCCTTTCCAAGCATTGGACTGCTGTAGAAGACCCAATGCCACTAGTACTGGCACTACTACGCACTAGTATATACCTGTCTGTGTAGTATCTTCTCTCCTGGTGTGCAGCGTCACCAGTGCTTGCAGCTTGAGCGGGTTATAATGCACCAAACTGGATGCTTTCTGATGGCGCCTGCAGGCCAGATGCTGTCCCATCACTGTGCAGCTGCCTCGGCATTGGACACTTGGAATGTGCAACTAACCAGACGGGTGCACGTAGTGGCGCAGCGGCTTTGCCTAGCTCGCCAGCCTTCCAAAGCAACTGCCTACAATCACCGCAGTAGGAGCCTTCGAGGCAGTCAGCTCCCAGCATGCTTCTTTACCGCAACAGGCAAAGAGTGTCATCACACAAACAGTTGCATTGCAAGAAAGACAAGGCCCACCTGGACGGGACACTCCTATGGAAGAAGACACCAACTCCCAATTGTTTGCGGCCCAATCGGTGCGGAAAACAGGAAGAATGCTTCGCAAGCTGCGGAGCCAGAGTAAGTACACAATGGACATGTAACTAGGTTGAGGGCTACTGCAATACTTTCTGTGCCCTCTTTGAAGAGGAAGGGGGCACTCGGATAATGCAGATCAATTTCACCTTGTCCCCTTCTGAAAAGGGAACCCCCTTCCTCAATTTCGCATTACTGTGTCCAGCCAGGTTGATTCCTGTTTGGGTTTCTTAAAGTGGTGCATTGTACGAAGGTATAGCGAGTCAGTTCACTCTCCAAGCAGTTGTTGAACAGATGCAACTCCTAACAACAGATAATCTGGTGCTTCTATGCAGTCAGGATGTGCTGGAGGGAGTTCCTCATGAGGTGTTGGACGCACATCAGTCAAGACGTACAGTCCTGACAACTGTGTTGGCAACAGTCCTGGCCCTTCAAGCTCTACCATCTGGCGCTCAGGGCCTGCCCTGCGAGAGCGTGTCCTCTTATTATGCACCACTTGCTGGTCTTAAAGGACAAGCTTTAAAGACAAAGCTGCACGATATTGTGGCAAAAGATGCACGGTCCTTTTCATACGCCCAGGTAAAACGCTGTTCCTCCATTGCAAGGTCTGTTTCTCATGATGCACAATGTATGACGTCATGGGGAGGCTGTGAAATTTGGCAGAGTTGAAGAATAAGATAGAGATACATGAAACGAGGAAGATGAGGTCACCTCCTTAGGTCAATCTCCTCAGGATGACTTATGAAATGAAATTACCGTACAACATCTGCTATCCCCCTCCTGTCACGATGCAGCTATGACCGACCTGGCCTCCCGCATATGTTTCTGAAAAGGAGGTCTCAGCAGACATCTGTCCGCCTGGAAAGTGGACTTAGTCAAATTGACAATTGGAAGAATTGAGCCAGACTTCCATATGATCAAACTCTACATGGCAACAGATGGATTGCAGAGGACGAATTCTGCCCAATACACGAGGTTGCTAGATGCGGGCAAAACCTCAAAGCCTACTCAAGCTTCTGCTTGTCTCACCCTGTCTCGTCTTGTCTTACCTGCAGGTATGGGACGCACTCTATATCCTTGATGCAGCGGATACGGCTAATCCTACAGCTTCCCCGGATGTGTGAGTACCATCTACTGTTGTACCCTTGGAAGAGATGGCACCTTGAGTGTCCCAACTTCCTCTCTTATTCTCCATCTCCAGCGTCTCTTGATTGAGCCTAAAGTCAGACTGAGGTTCTTGCTGAAACAGCTCTGAAGGGACTCAGTTGCCCGAAGGGCCTGCTTTGCTGCAACCTGCTCCTGAGGGTTGGAAGAGTCAGAGCAGTACCTTAAGCACAAACACACTGTCCTTTCCTTCATATGAGGATGCGATGTTACAAAACTTCGAACCCTGTCCTTCTTTCTGTATCATTCTCTGTTAGTCACCTCCCTCATCGTTGCCCATTCCCGCACCCACTCCTAAGTATGGCAAAGACTTTGTGCAGCATTGACATCTACAGCAAGAGGACATTTCCAAAATTGGCAAAAGGCCTTCCGACGGGATGGAACAGTGAGTAGTATCACCACTGGTCTCGGCAGTGCGCAAAGATAAGGCGTTTTGACAAAACCAAGGTCAAGTGACCACTTGATGTCCTTTGTCCTTAGATACATCAAGACGAATGGTGCAGTCTGTCCGGCTGTCCTGACTGGTGCCAGCTGAACATCCAATGAATGGCCTCTGTCTTCGATTCTTTCATCTCCGAGCTTGAATGTCCAAAAAGACAACCTTGCTGGGTATCTTCTTTCTCAAAGCGACTCTCTATTCAACATTATCTGGATGCCCTCATTTACATCCTAAACGACCATGGAGCCCTTTCCTGAAAAGGCTCAGCTGCCACATATATCCGGAACCTCTGTCAGGCCGGCAAACAGCCGTTGACTAGCTTCAGCCTGGCTTCTTCTCGCACTAAAATAACGTTTCTACACCTCTGATGCTCAGGGGAACACTTATGGCCTCGCTCGTATGGCCTGCCGGATGGAACGCCCCAGTTCACCGACCTCCACAACCTACGGCCCGCAGACACCAACGGTAAGGGCCAGCCATTGCAGAGGAAATCGAAACCGTTTTGCAGGCGAGTAACACATTTCCCATTATAAGATGCTGCACAGCGGCTCAGAGTGCTACTAGCGTCTTCAATTGGAGTTGCCAGTCGTCAGAGTACTTTTCTTTGAGTCCGTTCGTAGATGATCACGTCCAAATATTCACAAATTGAGACGCTAGCCTGCATTCGTTTGCCTCCTCGCAACGTTTCTCGTTTCGGGACAAGGCAAAGTGTTCTTTTGCATATCTTTGCCCGTTTATCGATTGTCAGAGGGCGATCCTTCAAAGACCAGATACCGATTTTCGACAACATCGTCTCATTCGAAACGAGCTGCTTTCCCTTTGTGCGTCTCTTGATCTTTATCTTGTCGGACAGCGTTTCCCTCATTTCCAACACGAACGGCAAATTGCTTACTCTTCGACTTTCGGTCGATAGCTTCTTCTTAAGCCTCAGAAAAGTTCGAGGCAACTGAACGAGTGAACGGCGCGTTCTTAACCTCTCTTTCTTGTGAGGATTTCAACCTTTCTCCAATTAGACGCAGCAACCCATTGCCGACCTCTGGTTATGCGTACGCTCCCCCTGACAGCCTCTTCGTCTGTACCGCGCAGTCAACTCTTCCCGTGGCAACAAGGCCTTTGGCGAATGTAGCCGCGAGACGGACGCCACCTGCTTGATTCCGGCCAACAGGGAAGCCGGAAGCGACACTGCCGCTAACCGGGAGATCTGGACTCCTCCCGGAGAGGTGCGCTGTTTCGACGGTTCCTCGTCCTCTTTTGTTTGCAGTCGTTCGTCTCGATTGTGTGCAAATGTGGAAGCCGCCGTAGCTGAGGGAACCGAATCTGGTCTGAGCCCCTCGCTACCGCTGGAAAGGATCTTTCACCGACACTTTGACACAAGGTTTCGCGCTTCCGGGTGAACCCGAATTTCAATCGGTCTGCCACCTCTATAAGGAATGTGTAGCAGCTAGTGCCTTTTCAAGTGCTTAAAAAGGAAAGTCGTTGTTGAGGCTTCGCTTCACTTTGACATTACTGTCAAAGAAACGATTTGAAATCAAATTCTCTTCGAAGAAGCTGGCCGCTTGAATCTATCCCTGAGGCTTCAAAAGTCTCCGCAACGCATTCGCCTCTTTTCCATTTGCTGAAGCATCCGTCCTCTGCGTACTTCTGTTTGGCCGGTCCGCTCGACCAAGTATCCGTTGCAACTTATACCAAGGACCAGAAGATTTACGGAACAGGTAGCTAACAACTGCACGATTGTCAGGTTCGCGGCGACATTGCCCGCGCTCTTTTCTACATGGCCGTGCGATACGAGGGCGAGACTCCCGGGTCTAAGGACCTGGAGCTGTCAGACGAGCCGAGCATAGGTTGGGGCCCCATCTGACCACCGTCGTCTATTTGTGTGGACCAAGTCTGCTTACAGTTGCTTCTCGCAGAATGCTTGCTCATAGAAGACCTCGAAGTCACATCAATCTACTAGTTACTGTACAGCTCTGGCGTTCAAATGCATCTTATGAGCGCCTCCAAAATCTGGACTCCGCAAAGCTAGCAAGATTCCAAGTCTGGAAGGCTCTGGAAAGTTCCAAGCTTTGCCACCTGAGCCCAACTTGCTTGTCGCTATTGGAATGCTGCAGTTTGCCCGTTTTTTGAATTAAACTTCATTGCAGAGCGGGGTCAAATGGGCCGCTTGTCGACACTTCTGAAGTGGCACGCCGCCGATCCGCCGTCGGCGTCCGAACGCCTTCGGAACGACCGTGTGTGCACCATGTACCAAAAGAATCGGAACCCGTTTGTGGATCGGCCGGAGCTCGTTGCCGCGATCTGGGGAACGGGTCCGCCGCCAACTAACGGAGGCAGCTCAGGTGGGTCCCGTGGTCCTTCGCCTGGATCTGGACCTCTTTGTTCTACCTAAAGCGCATCTTCCTTCTCTTGCTCATATTTCCCCTGACAGCATCGCTGGCCCCATTTCACGTCCTCAGACCTGGAGCCTTTCAGAATGCAATTATCTGGGCTAGCACACTCCGCAGGGTCCTGCTCTTGCACTCCGTCATGTATCACGCTTTAGTAAGGACTGGGCTACTTGGATCGGCTCACGCCTTGCGGTACCAGGTTTTCCTTACCCGGCTCTCTGCCTGTTCATTCTTCTGAAAGCCCTTCTCCTTCCAAGGACAATCTGTTGATTCAAATGCACAATGTGGCACACCTGCATTCGGATTTGACTGGCCGCAGGCTTTGTCAACTTTCTGCGCGTGTGTACTGATGGGCACGGCGTTTCTATCCAGAGCCGCGGCTTGAGCCCTCCAAACCGCAGACGCCTCCCAAGGTGCCGGCCAGTAACCAGCCCGGCGCTGTGTGGGTGAACGAGTTCCACTACAACAACACCGGCAGGGACGAGGGCGAGGTACGCTCGGCTCTGATCGCACATTCTCATCCCTGGCTGCGCAGACTCCTTTTCCCCTTTCCCCTGTGAAAGCTTGAAAAAGAAACCCAAGATTAAGTTTCCCTTCCCAGCTCTGCGTAACGCACGTTAACCCATGCCAGCCGGTATTCGCTCTTTGAAGGCCCAGTTTCAAGGGCTCTCAGAGAGGTAGACAGGTCTCATGTGCTCTCTTCTTTTGCTCTGTGCTCGAGCGTGGTGACTGACCGAAAGTTGAACTCGTGTTTCTTCGTCCACGACGGTGCATAGCGGCAAAGCAACGACAGAAAGCTCCGAATTAACTCTGGATGACCAGCCGATATCTTGGAGCCCTGACTTTTTCAGCGCTGGTCAGACGCGGGCGTCACATGCCTTCTTGCCCGCCTCTTCGCATGACTCTTCCACCTATAGAGTACCCCCTTCAGAACAATTTCCACCATCTATCTCCGCAGTTCATCGAGATTCTCGTTGGAGCGAACGTTGACCCGCGAGACGTGGTGGTCTACTTGTACAACGGGGCTGACCGCGGCGTGTATCGGACGTTGGCAGTTGGGGACGGCTCACTCTTCGAAAAGGGAGAGGTGACGTCAGGTAGGCTGTGCCGCCTTAAAAATTTTGTAAGCGCGTCTCATGCCGCAGGTATTAAGGCAAGCTTTCTTCGAACGTATATGTGCGCAGCCGGGTGGTTACCACAAAGGTAGTCATGCCATAACGTGCGGAGTTGGGGCTGCGAACGCGCACCGACCATGTGTAGAGCCAGGCTGAGAACAGTCTTCGGTCTCGAATGCTTCGCATCCTATCCCTGAAGGGCTCTCTTAACAAGAGATTCACCGAAATATCTGCAAACACCAATCGAAAGGAGAGCCCCGCTTTTGGTCTGCAGGCGGCGCGACGTTGTACGTGTGCCAGCTGCCGCCGAACGGTCTGCAGAATGGGCCAGCGGACGGGATCGCCGTCACCGTGGGGGGCAGGTACGGCTTCGCCAGATTCTGGCGCTTCGTGTCTGGGGCCTTTCAAGTCTGTCGTCATTTTCCGGGGTGGCTGGTAACGTCACCCGGCTTCGCAACTCCTCCTGAAAGCTATCAGACGCGCTCCTCATACGCGACTCTGATGGCTTGAGTTTCGAAACGGAGTTAGCAGATTCGGTCCATCTGGCGGTTCTTGAGCCTAACAAAAGCCTCCTCTAGGAGGTCAATACGCTCAAGTCGAGCAGTGGCTTTTGTGAGGTTGAGGAACTGAGGCACGAAGGGAACGGTGTCGTCCTTGACAGTCGCATTTTCCGCACTTATGAGAGACATTGTGTGTCTCTTTCGCACTCTTTGAGACATTGTGTGTCTCGTCCCGTTGCTCTCTGCCGTGGGCAGGACTGAGATCGGCAATCAAATTGTTAAGTAAAGTGGCAGCTTTCGGTAAACCGACCTTCGTCTTGGTCGGTGTCTACGACTTAGGTTCCGATGCATAGGTCTATTAGCCACTTCGAGGCCATCCGCCCTCATTTGTCAGCCTCTCAGGAGTCTTGTCTGGCACTGCATGGTACTTGAGTTCGAGAGTGTAAAGGTTGAAGAAGTGCTTACTAGTGACGGTTCAGAAACATTCTCGGCTTCGCTTGTTGTTCTCTTGCGAATCCTGCACGATGTGAAGTAGGCGGGGTGACAGGACAGCCACTTAGCTGACGTGAGCATCTATACCGTTTACAGGGTTGTTGACTTTGTCTCCTACGATGGAACACTCACTGCTGCTTCGGGCCCAGCGGAAGGCTTAACTTCGACGCCGATTGAGGTTAGAGAAAGCGAGCAAACAGAGAAGGGGAGCTCCGTTGGGCTTGTGGATGCGGTGAAGAAGCTCTGGCAAGTCTTCAGGCAGGCGACACCAGGGTTACGAAACCAGTAGGCTGGCACTCCTTCCATTTTGGAAAGGGGAGCTGGTGGTGCCGACAAATTTTGCTCTGGTCGAAAGTCAACCATGCACTCTGGCCCCCAAGGACCAAGTGCTGTGTATGTTGTGTGCTGTGTGTTATTTAAACACCCGAGTGCTAAATTACGTAGTGCGTGTGTCTGAGCATAGAGGTGAGCGCGGCAATTTGCACAGGCTTGAAAGCAGTACGATAGTACTATCAAACGAATTTTGGCATTGCAACTACCTATATGGTTTCATGAGCGTGAGTTGATTTTGTTGTTGATAATGTTTATTTGCCGTCTTGATGCCGGCAGTGAACCCACGTGGCGGCTTGAGGCGCTCGATCAGCACGGCTGAATGCATTGAAGATGGCTTGCGCCACCAGCAACCCGGCGTACGAAGACTACTTTACGCGTTGACGTCAATGAGCGTATGGTGCAATATGATCTCATTGTTACATAATGATTTTAACGGCTATCGCAGAGACAGGCGACGCAGCCCGCGCATCGAATCTGCATGTGCAGATACGTGCATCTTTCTGTTTATGAGGTGCAATTAACATCGATATCGAATCAAAGATTGGTTTGCAAAGAAGCTCATGCATGAAGTCAAGAGCCCTAGGCTCAGGCGGGATCATATAGGTATCCTCCATATTGAATTCCGCGCGGCGCACATGTGTATGCTGGCGGGGCCGGCCCGCGCGGCCTGCATGAAATATAAGTGAGAGTGCTTCCGGCTCTGCCACTCGTATTCATATGGTCACGCATGCCGCGCGCTGCAGTGACTGGGACGTACATAATGACCGCGAGCGCATGTCATTGCGACGGTTGCAGCTGTCACTCAATGGTATACTGGGTGGCGGGCATGGCCATGCCACATGTGCACAATCAATTGACACTAAGCCTGAAATATTCGTAGCCTCCGAGTCAGAGTACTCGAGAGAGATGGCATGACATACGGGTAATCCTACTATATTAAACGCGATTGAATCTTTCTACGAAGTATAGCGCATGTGAGGCATGGATGTGTATTCGAAAATGTATCATGAGGACTTCCCTGTGTTAAGTTGGACTTACATCGAATATCTCAATCATTGAACAATGATGATGCATGTTGCAGATGTGCTTAATGGTGCCTGGCAGCTCAGCTAATGAATCCCCATATAGAAAGTTGCAACCTGGCGAGTGCCATTTTCAACTTAATAGCCGGCCCTTCCAAGACTGAGCTTCTAGATTACGATGAACTGTGTACGAGCCAACATGTTAAACGGCGGGTGGTTGTGAACTTCAGGCTTTCGGCCACACATCAAGAGAGCATACCGAAAGTCCGATATCAAGCTGCTACCTTTCGATTTTCAATGCGGTCAAAAAGAGGGACTCCAGATTTGCTGATCTACAGTACGACGCTAGTTCGGACATTCCTCCTTCTGGGAGCTCCTTGATGCCAATTGGGAAGCGTCGAATGCATTCGATGTCTTTTCCCTGTTCCGATTCCTGCCCCCGTTGTTGAAGGGCCTGCCACCGGAGATGTTGAAGCCGTTGCTGATACTCGTGAACGTCCTCTTCTTGCCCCTGCACGAGTGACTCCTTCAGGGTCGAGCAAGCTGAGGGCAAGTGTTCATATTTGCAAAGTCGTCTTCGTGGCAGCAATTTCCTTCGAGACAGCTGACACGTGAGAAAGCAACAGATTGCTATCCCGTGGGACCCTTAAACAATGTTCGGAATCATCACCAACTCCAACCAGAACATGACAACAGCAAGCTCGGCCCACACAGAAATAGCAGCTCTAGATGACGGCTAACTCAGAGTGGAGACATCAGAGGCTTGTCAAAGTTGCCTTAAACGGGCCGCTCAATCTCACCTCGAATATGAGGACACCTGGAAACCCAGGCTTGCAGTAGCCACCCAGCCGCAGCTCCTTGCTCCACTCACAAATGGCTTTCCGTTTGCTCAACGCCTTCAGATGGTGGAACCACAGTGCTCGTCTAAGGATGACCGCGTCTCTAGGCCCCTCGAGAGTTGGTTCAGAGCTGCTCGCACTCTCTTGAGCAACGTCTTCCTTCAGGTCAGCCACAATCTCCTGCACGTCACTGTGAGCAGAGTTCAGTCGTCATATCGAAGTAGTGACAGGCTCACAGCTGGTGCACAGCTCTCAATAGCGAAGTTTCGTCGCAGGAGAGTCTCCTCCGCACGTGTGAGAGGCGCCTGTGCGAGCGGCAATCCCATAAAGGATGACAGCAATGACTTCAGGTGTAGAGTTTGTGAGTTCTGGGTTTAGTAGCTTCATCTTGCTCTGAACTCAGCAGCAATCAATGGCTTCTCTCAGCTCTCCACTCCACAACTGAACTGTAACTCGTGAGTCACCATACCTGCGCCTTCTGCAGGAGGTCAAGGATTGACTCCTGGCCTACGAGCTCCCCCGCAAGCTGTTGGAGTGCGCTGCTTATCTCTTGATGCTGCCCTCTTGTCACGAGGCCAGAACAATCGACTCTGATAGAAGGGGCCGCAAGCTGAGGGTATTGGCGGGGGAGTTGGAAATGGATGCTAAGAGGCTGGCCCCCGAGGCAGGTGTCCAGCAGATTGATTGTGAAAGAAATCTCAGGAAGGCTGGCATCAGGAACGCTCGCGATCAGACCTGCAGGCAGCCAAGACGTCTGCATGAGATCATGGTACCTTTCTGCTGATCGAATCAGGCCGTATTGCAAATGATTTTGAAATCGTGCCTCTGATTCCGAGCCTAGATTCTGCAATAATTACGGTCTGCTACTATCCTGTTTCCTGCTTATGAGTAAACGGACGCCACAAGGTGACCCATGATAACACTTACCCCAGTGTTGTAGTGATCTCGATGCTCATTCAAGTTCAAGCCTGAAGTACACTTTGCTTGAGAACAGGAAGAGTTCTTACGGTTGTTGTTGGACGCAGATTCCGCCAGCTCCTTTAGGATCGAGACTGCTTCCGCATCCGGTTTGGCCATCACGAACTCGCCATCCCCTGGGTACATGGATTGAAGAGCCTCCAGCTGCAACATGACTCCTTTTCATTGAAAGAATGATCAAATTGATTCTTTCAATGCCGCACTTATTCTTGGAAGCAGGCATATGCATCACGACTTTCTGTACCTGGAAGCATGGCTAGCATCAGTTCACTTTCTGAGGCAGCGCACTGATAGGAGGGGCTTAGCGGTGGCTCATGCTCTTGCGCGCACCCAATGCCCCATCAACAGTCTTTCCAGACTGACAGAGGGGCAGCTTTTTCCTTGTAAGCAACTGTTCAAACAGCACACTGAGGCATGGCCTCTTGTTTTGTCTTGTCTGCGAAGACCAAAACAACATGAAACCACTTTTCTAAAGCTGTAATCAACCACTTTGACTTCAGAAGTGAAGAAGTGGCACCAATGCATGAGACACGAATCATTAGCTTTGAGTAGGGCCAGATCTTATTGCAGCAAACCCAATGGAGGATGACAAACTGTCGCCCCATATGCTTGTCGGCATGCCACCGGCTGCATTCAGAAGCAACACATGAACCTACTTGCAAGGCTTCTGAGCAAAGTGCTCACCTCAGCCAACTGGCGCTGAATGCACTCCAGCACGACATCCTCAAACGGCTTCTGGGAACCCATCAGACGATCTGAGTCCTCCCAAGGAGACAGGTATTTCCTTGCGGACCGCAAAGGTATCACCCAACACTAGTGCCTCCGTAAGCAACGGAGCACCTTTTTGGAACGGATAAGGTTTAGCCTAGCCCCACCACCAAAACGGAAACTCATCAGCCACTTTAGCGCTGTCACTACGCACACCAGGGGCAGAATTCAAAAGAGAAAGGGGCGTATGAGAGCTCCTGGTTACCGAACTTCTCAGCTATCGGTGTTACTAGTACTACTAGAATATTGCCCTGTTTCTACATAGTTTTGCGTTTATCGTCGAAACCGCCGGGTTTGATGCCGCGCGCTCGGGCAAAATCACATTTAGCGACAGAATCTTGTGACGGATCGTACCTCACGTCAATGCTATCAAACAGAATCTACAGCCATTGAACAGCCCGTCGAAAATGAATACTTGGGACGTCTGCATATGGCGAATGTTTTGGTTAAAGAGTACTCAATAAGTCGCCGGAAATACCTAACCGAGGCGCATTGCGGGAGTAGAATCAGGATTTTGGATCAACCGTAGAGTTTACGTACTTGGAAAACAGGTTAAATCCTCAACCAGATCTATATCGACCGGGTTATCACTCCCGATATAATGTGGAGCTGACCGACCACTGCAACGTGTTCAAACTTCAGCTTCGCATCCCCGGTGGTTAAAGTCGGTCCTTCGTTCCATGCTTCCGGCCCACCTTGGACAGCGTGGGTTAAGAGGCAAGTTCAGTATCACATCGTAGATTAGTTTTGCAGCCACATACCTACCGTAGTCCAACGTGATGATTCCGAACGATTTTATTTCGAATTATTTTCCAACAATCCGACCAGGAAAGCGGAATTATTTATGCAGATTCCGACAACAATCCGAATGCCCTATGTTCCTGAGAAGAAGGGGATTTTAAGGCTGATTTTGGCCGTTTTGGGGCTAAAGAGGACCATTATGGAATTATTTAATCTTTCCGAATTTCTACTTTCCGAATGGGAAATCCTAATTTCTGACTTTCCGACTGCAAATAATTATTTATTTATTCGGCATCATTACCTTGGACTACGGTACTTGCTGAGGGTCTTCGGCTTTAGGCGCTGACTTCTGGGACTCCGGTTTTACTCGGCACTTTCAAGTTGTGGGCTTGGGCTCCCGCTGAAAGTGCCCGGGGAGTCAGCCGAAGTGACCGTCGATGATACTGACTATGCCTTTGAACCGTCCGATGTACATATGTACCTGAACATTCCAGGGGACAAAAAGTTCATGCCCGACAGACAGAATGCAGAATGTTGGCATATTTAAGCAATCCTCTGGCTGCTGGCCAATGATGGGCTGGGAGACTGGAGTTGCAACTACTGTATGGTACTACTTACCCGTACGACCAAGGTATGATTCCGAATAAATAAATAATTATCTGCATTCGGAAAGTTGGAAACTCCGGATAAGCAGTCGGATTCTGCTTTTTCGGAAACCGATATTAATTGCTAAAATGCATTCGGAAAGTGATTTCTAAGCAGTCTGAGCATTCGGTACGTACCTTTTACCACTGTAATCTTGAGACAGCGTGGGTACCGGGTACCCTCTCAGCGATTCGGATTTAGGGTCGGAAAGTAGAAAATAATACATGATTTGGCCTCGCATTCGCTAAAATAATTGCTCTTTTTGAGCATTCGGAATCATACCTTGGTCGTACGGTACTAGCAATCTACACCCCGATTCAGAAGTTTTATAACGTGGACTTATGAACCCTACGGGCAATTGAGGCCATTCTCAATTGGTTTGAAAATTTGGAAAATTAGCCAACCCCTATTATGAGATGTTTGAGGTGCAAGCACCTTGAAAGTTGATGTGAGGTGGCCAATACAAAAATGGCAATAAAATACTAGGACATTTGCCAAATGGCCTTATTTTTGCCACGAATTGTGGTGCCCCTTGTGCGGTAAGGCTCCATTCTTGACACCTCAAATGGATTCTTCTTCCTCCCAATGGTGCAATTTGTGAACACAATGGCTTGTTGTGTTTCCCCATCGGCTTTTAGGCTTTCGCCGGAAAAACCGTACTCGAAAGCCGGTGGCCGCCGTACAAAGTCACATGTCCGCCGCGCGAGCTTCGTTGATGATGGAAAGCTTTGCATTTTAAATTCCAGGAGTCTCGTGTTAACCCCAATCCATTGGTAATGGACCGTTTTGCGAAGCACGCGAGTTTTGCCCATCAAAAAGTGATCCATGCAAAAAAGCAAAAAATGCATGGAGTCGGGCTCGAACCTGCGACCTCGCGCTAGGCGCTCGGACGCTCAGCTCGGCTACGGACTACGGCGCGGAGGCAGAGGCGTCACTGAGAGGCCATGATCTGGCGCAAATGCTGGCGCATTAGTGGCCTAATTTATACTATATAGGGTTGTGCCCGATTTGGTTAGGTCAAAGGACACAACCTTATAATGTATTAACCGTAACCCGGTGAAGTTGCCACGTCATCCGGGTTAGGTTACAAAACTTGTGAATCGGGGTGTAGGTGAATTGCGGCGACGACTATTTTGAAACCATCAAACCAAGTTCACTTTCTCGCTTGATGCAGACGAGTTTGATTATAACCCCGGTCTGGCTGAATGCCTTTCTGGCAAAAGGATTATAAGCCTTTTTGGCTTACAGCCCTTCCGGCTTGCGGCCTTTCCGGCTCTCAAAGCCTTTCCGGCTCTCGATCCTTCCGTGGCATTGAACTTGGGCCAAGCAAGCCGTTCAAGGGCATTTCCATGGCAGCCTTTCTGGCTCAACAATTAAGTTACAGACGATCTTTTCAACTACAAGCCCTTGGATATACACGCCTGCGCTTGTTGAGTATGTGCGTATACACTGCACACTGTACATTCTCCACATACCTCTGTTGAGTGACCGCTATCATTGCATTCCGACAACCTTGGTAAAGCTGCTTGCAGCTTGCACTATGGAATATCCTCGGATGGATTCAGTACTGGGTTGTTGGCTCCGCGCCAACAAGCGGGTTCCCTGCTTGCGAGCACACCTCCTTCACCGACAGCAGTGGTACCTCAACTTCGGACCGGGGACTCCAACCAACAACGACCATAGTCAAGGATCTCAATATTGAGTAGAACAGTAATGTTGGTGCTTAAGAGGGAGGTGTAGATAGTGCTTGATAATGCATCTAACGAATCGTTTAGTGGCATAAACGATCCTTGCTAGATAAAGCCTATCAAAATTTGCCATCTAATATGGTAGAAAGATCTTGCATGCAGGTAGCTCAATAGCTCGTTGGACAAAACGCGGCCCTGACCCCATGTACTCAATCAAGCCCCATGCTTCGGTACGGGCTTTATAATGTGATGTATGTATTGGCAGTTAGAGAGATTTTCTCAGAGCCATGGGGTTTGGTTCCATCATCTGGTTTATTGTGGTCGGGTGTGCCAAATCTCGTCTCGTATTCGCACATCGGGAGCTTTGGGGAGGCATGTTCGGCAGTACACCACTTGCAGAAATTGTTTCTTAACTTGAGAAGCCACTTTCCATGCAAGTTGCGAGCCTGATCGATCCTTCATCTGATCATGAATTACATGAAGCTAGTGGGTCTTGAGACACCGTTGTTCAAAACACGCCTGCTTCTTTAGTAAGACAAAGGCGGGTCTGTCGGAACCCTGATTGCAAAGTTGCAGTTCGACTCTTATCTGCAAAGCAGTCGTCCTACGTGTCGCTTTTTCTATCATCTTTGCTAACATGATCCGTTCTAAGGCTCACCTTTTTCCCTGTCAACTGGATTGAAGTTGGAATTGATTGCCTTGGACGGTCAACAAGGGCGTCCTAGCCCGGATACATGATACTAAGGCAAAATAGAGTGATCGCTGAAGCTAGCACCCCGGATCGTATTAAGGTCGAAGTAGTGAGTGAATTGTGCACCACATCTATATTCTAGCTAGCGGACCATGGCCATACACGGCCCACATGCAAGTCGTAAAGATAATGCAAATAGCGCAGACTTAAGGAGTACTCATTCAACCAACAACAGGGAATCTTCTAAGCGAGACTTGAGTGTTGTTCTTCACCATATCCTATGCAGCGTGTGCAACAAATAGTTACAGCTAATTCGACATGGCCGCCTGGCCGGCACACTATGAAAAGCCAGGCAGATATCGATGCCCATTATGTTGCTTTTGCGGTGGTCAAGGCTTTGCTTGGAACAGGTGCTATGTTACACTAGACGCTTCAATAGTGTGATAGCATGAGCCTTGCCTTTTTAACGCAATCAACAGTGCTGGCAGAGCTTTAGCAATCGCACTCCCACAAAAGGGTATATGTGTCTTTGTCCCCTGTGTTGCCAACCTAACAAGCCGTTCCTGTCATTGTAGAGTGGCGTGCATCGGTCAAAACCTCTTCAACATTCTTGAAACCCGCTTCGCTTAGCATGCGAGCCAGGTTTCGTCCATAAAACTCGTCGCTCCAAGGCTCAGTAGACTTCATTAACGTGTAAACAGGAGCAGGCAGACTCTGCAGTTCAAAGAAGTTGTGTCATGTTTACAAATCTGCAAAGCAGGGTTAGTTCAAGAAGGTACAGTAAAACCCGAGACACGGAGTCCAGAAACAGATTCTCGTAATATTTTCAGGCTTCAAGGAACAAGCAAATGCTGATGAAGGGACAAGCTAACGGCGTACAGCAGATTAGGTGGTTAAGGAGAACAGCCACAGGATACGGAAGGGCGACAAAAGAGGAGACGAAGCTTCAGAACAGCTTCGAGAAGATGTTTTACCTGGATAATCTTCGATCTCGGCTGCACAACGAAAGAACGTCATTAGTGGACACTGACTACAGTCGATTCAATCCATTTCACAAGAGATATTCCAGAGGGACATCAGTCCTCATACCGTTGCCCCGAACACGACAAACTTGATCAAGCCAAAACTGGCGAATCAAACTTGGACCTTCAAATCGTGAGTTTGACTCTTTTGAAGCGGGTGGCGATGCAAGGACGGAACGAAGTTGAGAAAGCTCTCACTTACCGAGTTATCGATGATAGCAATCGTCCCCCCAGGCCGCAAAATCCGCTTCGCCTCCTGGATGAGGTCCCGTGCAGCTGAGTTGGGACACTCGTGCAACTGTAACCAACGACCACGCAAAGATTCTGTCTTAAAATCCTGAAACATTGGACGACGGAGAAAGGTGCAATTCTACTATAAGTAGAGCAGCAACAAAACGAAAGCCTGGGCGACTTCTCCATGACCAAGACAACTTGAGTAGCATGTCAACCTAGAGAAGATATATCTTATAACGGTGCTACACAGCCCCAAGGGGACATGGCTAACAACTAGCCAGTACCTTTCCACCAGGTTTTCATGGGGCCCCCACTGCTTACCACAAAAGCTAACGAGACGATGTCCACGCTATCGTCGGGCAATCCGGTATTTTCCCCCAGCTTATGCATCCACTGAATCGGCCGCACGGGCTGGCCAGCTTCCCGAGCTTGCCGGTCGCGAAACTGGGCCACCGACAGGAAGTAGGGGGAGAGGTCCAACCCCTGACGACGAAGAGATAAACAATCAGGAAAATACTCTCGACTTGGGTAATCTTGGTGATGACCATAACAAAACCTTGACAGGTTTCTCCTTTCCTCTGTGCTTGTGACAGAAGGAACGCCCTGCCTGCGCGGTGTCAAAGTGATACAGCTACTACATTTGAATCAAAAACATCTCAGGAAATAGGTCAGTAATCTAGCCAAATATCTGTGTGGTTTGTGGAACAACTTCTTCCAAAACGTTACTTAGGAATGTGTTTACACCAGGAGTTAGGGCCTACAGTTATCACTTCTCTCTTGACACGATATGCAAAGCTGATGAGTTAAGCTTCGTGAGCATAGCGCTAGCATCTCAAGGAGGGACTCGACATCCCAACGGTGAATTTAAAGGTTGCTGTCGTGAAAGTACAGATGGAAAACCAACGTTTTAGTAGGGATGCTGCCCGTGCAGCCTTGCTCCATGGACGTTCTCAAACTGAAAACGTAATGCATTATTTATGGCACGATTCAACACCCCCTTCTTAAGGGAGCCTCTTACCAGCACCTCTTCAGCACTACCAAACTTGTTGGCCAAAAATCTTGTGCTGATCCCTGTGGCACACCCAACGTCCACGATTCTTTTCACTGGCAGACCACCTGAGTGCATCTCGTGGTGTTCTCGAATGCGTTCCAGCCAGTTGCCCCGCAAGTATGCATTCGCCTCGTCCACTGAGCTGGCTTGAGGAACGCCACGCAACACCATCGAGGCGGAGGCAGAGTCGACTTCAAAAGCAGCCTGCGGCAAGGGGCAATGAAGAACTTGGAGCAAAAGGAGAAGGGCTAGGAGGTAAATGGCTCAATCAAGGCCCTGGTTTACCAAAGCTGAGGCTGACAACAAACATAGGAAGGCTTTGAGGCAAGACGATTAGAACGTGCAGGCAACGCCACATGATCGCACCGTGGAAAGTACACCGTTTTGGGACCATGAATGAAAAAGCAGCTGATGAAGTATCTTGTGGAGAGGAAACTCCTTCAAACAATTGTGTAACTCCTTCAAACAATTGTGTAAGTGAGGCCACCCACATCTAAAAGAACAGTATGACTTATACCAATACATGCACATCTCTTAGAGGAACAGAAAACCCTGCTTTAGCCCCTTCATTTCGCTTTCCGGAAGCATCTTACCTGCCAGCAGAGGTTTCCCCTGTCGTATGCATGAAATGGCTGCAAGTAGTAGTCTGGGTACAGAATGCTCTTGTCCTCAATCAGCTCCAGTTCTTTGTACACGTCTGACGTCTCAAGCTCCTTGAAATGTCGCCGCCAAGGTACACCATTCTTTTCGGCAGTACTGAATAAGGAGAGAAGCATATCAGAAGGCGCCCCACCTTTCGAGCACCCAAACTGCTATGGTTTTGACAAACAAGTTCTATAATCTGGCACATGCGATTGCTCACCACCTCTTCTTCAAACAAAAAGCGTCAGATAACCAGAAGAGTCAAAATGGTGAAGAGACAACCAGACAGGTAACACAGTCTTGACCACACCCGAACAACACAAATGATTTGTTCAATAATAATATACTGACCTGATCATCATTCGTCTCGCCCCTGCCTTCATCAGAGAATACAGCGGTTTGATGCCAATCAGAGTGTTGATGACCTTGCTCAAAAGGCTGTCTCCGGACCAGTCAGGCTGCTCCAGGTCTCCCCATTCCCTGTTCTGCTTGACAGTAGTGGTCGCCTCCATAGAGGAGCGTGGGGGCTCAAACCTTCTGTGTCTGTTAATTTTATGATGCTTCAGAAACCCTGTTCCAAGACCTTCCCTTCCAGGCAAACCACACCGTTTGCACAGCCGTCGCCGAAGTAATTGTTTCTTGCTGTTTTGAAGGAGCGCTGTCCTGCCCACCAGCATTTCAGTGCAACCTGGAGAAGCATTCAGTGATAAATTGGGTTTCCTACCAGCAGAGAGTTGTGTAGGAATGCAGTTGACAGACCCTGCTGCAACATTGAGAGCCATGTCTTGTAATAGGTAGAAGTCTGCCGACACCGTCCTGCACCTCTCCTGCACGAGAGCGCTGGTTCTGCACGCTCTCTCTCCGTCTCTTTCTCTTTCTCCGAGTCTCTCTCTCTCTCTCGGGGTTCTGAAGACTGAGACCACCCAAAACCCGTTCAGGTTTGTTTTGTTTGTTCGAAGGAGAATCAGTTCGCTGTCAACTTCCATGTTGGCCAGCCCGGGTCGGACTGCATTTCTCTTTGAAGGAGCCCGGTTCTGCATCAGATCTCCGTGCCAAACCTTGGAACCCCAAACCTTGACCGCCTGTGGCCCCACCTTTCCCCCACCTCGCTTCTCCCTCCACCTTGGACTCATGAAGTTGAACTTGAAGTTGAAGGTTTTGGCGCTCCTCCCAGGTGGACCTTGCGCTGCTGAAATTCACTCCTCGTCAATTGGCACTAGTTTAGGAGAAGCAAAAGTGACGGGGGAGGCGGCTGCTCACACTGGTCGTTGCGGCGGCTTTCTTGCATGGGGCGGAGGTATCTGTAAAGGCGCACCCGGTCAACATGTCGTCAAGAAGCTTGCATGTGTCTGCATCGCAGTTGAATCTCGAGAGAGGCTGCATAAAACAAAGCAGGTCGTCTGAAAGGCCACCATTACCAAGTACTGGTTGGGCAACCTGCTCAGGATGCAGACAATTCTCTCTTGTAGAGTTAAGCGGGTCCTGTAAATTGCGTCCCCGTAGAAAGTTGAGCGAGTCAGATGGCGTTGGTTGGAGAGGGGAGGGTGGACAGCTCACTCAAGGCTTGAGCCGGATGAATTGGGCCCTGCAATGTAGAGAATGGAGAGCAGCTCGGAGGTTGCTGTCTGGGGTGGTGAGAGCAGCGATGGTGCAGCAGACACGGGCAGACAGCGATCACACTAGTCCAGGCGTTGAGTTGGCGTCCTCTCTATTAGATTCGCTCGCTCCATATGTCAGCATGTAAGTCGGCAAATCGGTTTCAGAAGCTTCGTCTCCACATTCATGTCATGCTGCTGAGTTGTGGTTTCCATAAGAATTTGAGGGAAGTTGGCACTCTACTTCTCAAAGCTCGTTCCCACAACATACACAACAGAGACAGACAATGTGCTGGGTGCAGTGAGCAGATGCTCTAGCTGCTCTCTGGCAAGAACGACGCTAGAAGTGGTGGCAGGTCCTCAATGTCCTCACAGTGACACTGCTTGAGTACAAAGTGTGTGACCTGAGTGAGCGGACCCTTTGTTTCAGGTACGACACCACATTACGAGATGGCGCCCAGATGGTTGGCATTTCACTAACCGTTGGGGACAAGCTCAAGATTGCCCGGCTGCTCACAGAGTTAGGAGCGGACTATATAGAGGGGGGTTGGCCTGGTTCGAACCCCAAAGATGCAGAGTTTTTCCTCCGATTCCAGGAAGCCATGGCCGGTGCACCTTGCAATGCGAGGTGAGAAGACAATCAAGCAGGTCCGCATGAGTGGTGTGATCACAAGATCGGGCACTGGATTCCAACGCCCAAAGTGTGATACAAAATGCCCATAGGCCTTCTGAAACGCCCATATCAAAAGTTGCCATTGGAACTTTTGATGAACCTCGTGTACGTCAGGCCTACTTGAGCACTCTCAGCAATGTTGTCGTGTTCACGCTGTGGTTATGCACGTTCTGATGAGCTTGGAAAGAAGCCGGCAATTGACAGCAGATCCTGTGCGACAGGTACGGCACTCAGAAAACCAAGTTGGCGGCCTTTGGGGCGACCCGTAGAAAGTACTCCTCCTGCGAACAGGACGCCAACGTCAAGGCGCTCGTGGACAGCGGTGCTGATGTCATCACTCTAGTAGCCAAAGCGTGGGACGTGCAAGTGACGAAGGTACTTGAGGCCAGCCTGGAGGAGAATCTGCTTATGATAAGAGAAACAGTGGAGTACTTCAAGGTGAGAAACAGGCTGCAACTAAGAAAGTTATGGGTTGAAGAGCCTCCGTTTGGAAGTATTTGCTTTTGCGTCTCGTTGGTGATTGAAGAAACAGCGGTATCTTCTCAGTTGCTCTCGAGAGACTTCTCCCGATGAGGTGATCTTCTTGGGGTAAAATGGACATATCCTAGTTTCTCAATTCTGTTTGAGCTGTTTGCATGGTTCTCCAACTGTCATGAAGAGTCAGATGACTGCAATCTCCTCTGGCAATGCGTACTTTTAGCCAGATTCTTACTTTCAAGCCCCTGCCCGCTTGCGAGACGCACCTGTCATAGTCTTGTAGGCAACCACTGGATTCCCTTTCCCCCCTTATTGTATGTAAAACTTGCACTCCTTATGTTGCAATCGTTGAGTTGCATGGTCTTCGTTTCTGGCCTGTTGTCTGATTCCTCGCGCGCGTGCGTTGCTGTCAGGCCCTGGGCAAGGAGGTGATGTTGGATGCGGAGCACTTCTTTGACGGCTACAAGGCCAACAGCCAGTACGCGCTCGCTGCCCTCCGTACTGCTGCGGAGGCGGGCGCCGATGTGGTGGTCCTTTGTGACACAAACGGGGGCAGCATGCCCTGGCAAGTAGAGGTGAGCGGACATGGGCCGCCCCGGCAGTGCGCCATTTGTTGCTTCTTCTCTCCTCAAGCACCGTGTTGTTGCTTGCTCATCAAGGAACTTGCAACTGCGACCTTCGTTTGAGAAAAGCTCTACCCTTCACTGCCTGGTTTGTAGATACGGGGGTTTGCGGCTGACGTGGCAGTCTTAGGCATTCTGCTCCCCTGTCTCGAGCTGCACTTAAACCTCTGTCTCTTTGTTTGTCTCCCGAATGAGGGCTCAAGCACGGTGTTGCAAGAACCTGACAAATCAGCTATCTTCTTTTGGACACAGGACTGGACGCGTGCGGCCAAGGAGGTGCTCCAGGACTGGCCTCACGTTCGCATTGGTATCCATACGCATAACGACTGCGACATGGCGGTAGCTAACAGCCTGGCCGCAGTGAGGGGGGGTGCCACTTTGATACAAGGCTGTATGAACGGATATGGGGAGAGGACAGGGAACGCGAACCTGGTAAGGACGGGCTCGTTTTTGGGCCTTGTTTGTTGAGTTTACTGAAGTCAATCTGTCTGAAAGGTTTATTGATGGACAGGGTTCCGTCACTCGCTGCTTTTGAAAGGCTGTCGATTCAACCCTTGCCATGCGTGGGGGTGCCGCCTCGTTTCAGGAAAGCTGTAGTTTGGCCTCAAGTTTTGCGGCTCTGTGATTTTGAACTTGGTGAGACGTGTAGCTTTGAAGGAAGATCCTGAAAAATGTTCTCAGCAAATGCAGCGAAGCAAACCGCAGAAGCACTTAGAGCTGTTCCCACTTATTGTCGCCTGTACTCGTAGCTCGGCTTCGCAGAGCCGAGTCCTTGTGGTCCGCAAGCTGAAGCTCTGGCTTCCCGCAGACGCTCCTGTCATAATCAAATTTGCTGTCTGCCTGCAGGTCTCCGTGATAGGCGGGCTTCAGGCGAAGATGGGGTACCGCTGCATCCCCATGGAGTCCCTGAGTCGCCTCACAGAGATTGCTTCCGAAGTGGGCGAGATCGCGGGGCAGCCCATGAGGCCCAGCCAGCCTTTCGTGGGCTCTAGTGCGTTTGCTCACAAGGGCGGCATTCACGTGGCGGCCGTTCGAAAGGTGGGCGAGGGTGCTCGAGCTTTCTCTCGAGAAGAGTGTACTTCATGTTGTCGTGTGGCATCGCACAGACGATTGGACAGGATGCTCACGTCAGCCCAGGCCTCCTTTCGTACCCAGTGCGAGCTCACTCACTTATAGACAGAACCATTTGGACCTGATTGGGGCACGAACGTCCTCCTACGAAGGAGACAAAATCTGAGTTCGATATAAGATTGCGGAAGCTTCTCAACACCTGTTTTCGGGCTTCAATGCTCTGTTGGCACAGGCAGCCACTCTTCCGCTTTTGCCGCTCGTCTGCATTCAAGTGCTTACCTGTGCCTCGTTCACGATGCCCTGTCCCGTTGGTGCGCAGATGCCCGAGTCGTACAACCACATGGACCCGCGCAGCGTGGGCAACACGATGCGGTCGGTGGTGAGCGAGCTGTCGGGGCGCGGCAACATCCTGGACAAGGCCGAGCAGGCGGGCCTCCTGCTCGACAAGGACGTCGCGGGGAGCGTGCTCGCGCGCATCAAGCAGATGGAGAACGAGGTGCGGCAGCTTTGGCCTGCTTTTAATTCTCATTACGAGTCAAAGCCGCAGGGACAAGTCTCGAAGGGGTCTTGGTTTTTTGGTAGAGTGACCGGTCGCTTCCGGAGACGGATGGGCCCAGCTTCGCAGCAGATTGGATGGTTGCGACGTGAACTGCAAAGCAGTCATTGCTGCTGCCCCAGAAGCATCAAAGCTGCTCTGCATTGGGAGCTCAAGTCGTAATAGCGCAAGTCGTGGAAGACGTGAAAGTAGAAAGCTGAACACCGAGAGCCTGCAAAGATGCTCGGTGCTCACGTCGATCTTCCATCCAGACGTCCGCCCCTGCCACGTCACATCCTCCAGGACACGCAGGTCCTTGCCCTGCGCCGCGCCCACCGCCGCGCCCACGTACTGCCACTGCTTCGTAGAAATGATACATGGCACGGGCCGCTTATAGAGAGATAATGATTGGAAGAGTAAAGCCTTCTCATCCGTTCGAGCGACTGACAATGGCAAAGGAAGACTCCTAACGGGTGGAAACCCAGGGACTGACCGAAATTGAGATTTCGTGGTTGCGCTTGTGACATCCACAAGAATCCTCTTGACTGGCTATGACATCCTTGCACCCTCCTCATAGTGTGGAAATTGACTATAATTTGCAACAGGAGCCGTCTCTGCACAGCCCTCTCAAGGGGAATAGCCTTGTCTGACCTTTGGATCCTTGTCAAGTTCGTAGTGACACTTGTTAACGACACGCCCTCCTGGCCGCAGGGGTGCACGTTTGAGAACGCGGGCGCGTCGGTGGACATGCTGATCATGCGGCGGGACCGGCACTACCGGCAGCCGTTCCGCGTGCTCGAGTTCTCGGTCATCTCCAGCAACCGGGGCGGCGCGCGCGGCAGCGACTCGGAGGACGACGAGGTGGGCGAGGCCAGCAGCGGGCACTGCGGGGACTGGCTGGACGCTAACAACAGCCACGTGAACCAGGCCATCGTGAAGCTGCTCGTCGGGAACAAGGTCAAGGTGCGTGCCGTGATGGCGCCGATGCCTTGCATCGCTGAGTCCACGTTCATAAGTTGTTGCCCTACTTCGCCCGGGACTTGTCAAAACGGTGACTGCAGCAGATATGAAAGTTGCGGTGCTTTCTGTGCTTATCACTTCTGCGATCAGCAACTTCGAGTTAAGTTCATTGCGTGTGCTGGCTCAGCTCAGTTGATTGGTTTGAGGCTCGTCGTTCGCATTCTTGATTGCTTTAAGCAGAAGTGGGTAACCAAACTTCAAGGCCTCGGATCGTTCAGATCTTTTTGTCGGGAATGCAGGCTTGCCTGGCCGCTTCTCGTGGACGTATGGTTACTTGTGCTCACATTCACCCTTTTGAGCCTTCCGTTTCTCTCCAGTTGAGCGCGGCGGAGGGCAACGGCCCCGTGGACGCGCTGAACAAGGCCCTGCGCGAGCCGCTCGAGACCGAGTACCCCCAGCTGCGGCAGACCGATTTGGCGGACTACCGCGTGCGCCTGCTCGAGTCGGACATCTCGGGCCGGTCCGCGTCCGACAGCGCGTCCACCACGCGCGTGACCATCGACTTCGAGGACGAGGACGGCAACAAGTGGACCACCGTTGGCGCGCACACCAGCATCGTGGAGGCCAGTTTCCGCGCGCTCGTGGACGGGCTCGAGTTCGGCATCATCAATTGCGACGACGTGAGAGCGCCGGCTGTTTGGAGACTGTCTTTGTGTACCAAGTCGTTTGTTTGAGGGGCAGTCTGAGGTTTTGGGACTTCAGGACGGAGTCTGATCTCAGAGTGCCTCCTGCCGTCTATAAACGCGAACCGGGACTGCTTCTTAGTGGAGTGTTTTTCTTTCTGTCGGTGCTTTTGGGTTTCTCAGCAAGGATTCGTGGTGCCGAGCTTCCTTAATAATGCGATTTGACGCTGATCTTTGCACCATAATGGATAAGCGTAGGCCAGTATGTTGCTGACTGCTCATTTCGAAAGTCAGAGTTGGTCTTGGTTGGCAAAGGTTTGTAGGCGTTTGCGACTTCTTTACTGCTCCATGTTGCTTGACTTGCGGGCGTTCCGGATTTGGGCAATCCGGTTGCATTGCTCGTTGTCTGCGCTCTGGCAGGCTTGGGGGCTGTGAAGCCTTGAAAGAACGATATATTTGCTAAATGTGAAGCTTACTCAAGCTCCCTGACAAAATCTTCTCTCTCAAACAGGATGGGTGTGACATCAATTAGCGGAGCTATGGTCAGAAGAAAGGCAAGCGTGTTTGTTCAGCCCTTCTGTAGGACAAAGTACTCAACCTGGAGAGTTCTTAGACAAACGGCGTTGAAGAGTCGAAGCGACTGGTACCTTAAGCGAATGGTATCCAGATCCTCCAAAGCTGGTGGAGAGTTCCAAGAGAAAGTGATACTCGTACGACACATAGCATGCGAAGTACCTTAGAATGGAAGGCTGACAGTATGTCGGCTTGAAGAGCTAACAATGGCTGAAGCGGCCGGCCAAGGAAGTCCGATGCCGGCCTTTGCAATTTGCCTATTTTTACCTCTGGTTTTATCATTCTTGGATCGTGCCTCGATAAGGAGGGATGTTAGTATGCCCCGAGCTGGCCAGCATGTGGCGTTATAGTCGTCCTCGATGCTGCATGTCACCCTACAGACGTTGAGGTGCAGCTTGCGCAGCCATCCCTTTGATGGCGCTGCAGTCGCAAATAATCATGGTTGCACGCACTTATGCCACGCCACCCGGACCGTACTACATCGAGTTCCACATGGCCTGGTACTGTAAACACGGTTCATTAAATAATACTTTCGTGAGAAGGCCGTAGCTTTCGCCATGGACCTAACGGGTGCCGCGTACAGACATGCAAGTCACGACTGCGACCTTTGGATTCGAAAAGCTACTCTACCACTACAATATAGCGACGTACCGGGTTCATTTTTTGCACACTAAACTCAGATCTGCCTCGATCTCGTGCTAGATCTCAATTAATTCGGGACTCAAATCGATTCCTTTCGTCAAGCCACATCCGTGCTACCTGGCAGTCGGGCCGGCCATACCTTGTTTTTCGAAATTCATACAAGATGAAATTGAATCCGGATTCATTCGAAACAGGAATTAAACCGCTGAAATCGGCGCTTTGTCGAAAAAAGATAGCGCCCATTGCAAATCCATACGTCAAAGTTTCTTCAAATATGTTCCAAACAGGTCTCCACTGGTCGAATAACAAGTTCCCCCGGGCCCCTTTCTCTTAACTCCAGAACATTTGGTCATATGATCCTCGGGCGGCGATACATAAAAGTGCCCGCTGCTCCAAAACGCCCTAAAAAGCATGTTTTGACTAGAGGTTTATAGTTAGCATTTCATGTGTCCTTGCATATGCAAAAGACGGTTCTCAAAAAGATGAAGCGAAGCTCAAGATATGAATGAAGACGCCTTCATGATTTTCAGTTGCGGGCAATAGGGTTTTGTATCTCCGAATTAAGGAAGTTCGAAGAACACTCAAGTCTCGCTTAGAAGATTCCTTGAAAGTGTACTCCGAGTCTACGCAAATTGCATGCATCATCTTTAAACGACTTGCATGGCCAGGCGGGCACTTTCCATTGTACATGAGACTTTGCGGCGCACATTTCAAGATACCGAGTTCGATCGAGTGTGATTGAATCTATGACTTCTTGGAACCCAATAGGAGCACCAACAATGGCACTTGAATGTAATGGACTTGCGCAGACAACATTAACTTAGGGATAATTACACAGTGATACAAAGCGGTGTTTGCGAGAAAAATGCGGACTGCTTCTTGTGGGACATCTTCACAACCATCAACTTACTCCAGAGCAAGCAATCTGTACCACTTGGCCAACACTTAGATGGTTCCACCTCCTTACTTCAAAGTGACGAGATTGGGTGTGTTTCACAAGCAACCGATTGCCTGGATGAAACTCCTGGCTTCAGGCGAATTAGGCATTTGTGATGCGACGTTGGCTCCTGCCTGCGCTTCACAAGAGCTCTCCAAAACATTCATGCTCCCTCGAGACAAGTTGCAATCATGGCAGTCCAATGCTCAGACACCGTGCAAACTTTCAAGACACAATTGAATGCTTGCACGGTGTCTGAGACTGCAGCTTATTGACATGTCCAAACGGGCACCTATGGCGGTGGTGGCAAGCTGACACTGAACCGAGCTTGTCAGCGCAAAGTCGAAGTGTAACGCTCTCTCTTATGCAGGGCTGTTCATATTTACAAGATCGACCTAGGAATAAAAACGTCCGCAACAGTGTTGTGCCACGGGTCCGACAGGTGCTGTGCGAGGTTCTCAAGAGGTCCAGTGCCTGGCCTTACGGCTGCTTGCACGGCAAAGCCAAGGAAAGCAACCAAAGCCAACCGTCCTGCAGCAGAACATGACGTATGTTAAGGGGGATGCAATGTGCCGTCAGAAATCCTATCCAAGAGACGCCATGGCTCGCATATGCATTTGTTGTAAGCAGCTTGAAAACAAGAATGCACCTCCCAGAATAAAGCACTTTGAATCTGAATTTTAGTAACTCACGAACAAGACTGCTCAAAGACTTGCACACGATCTCAAAACGATTCCAATTCATCGAAGACCTCTCACCATTCTTAAGCTCCTTCAGCTTCAACTCGTCCAGCTTAGCGGGGTCTTTGGAGAAACCTGTAGAACAAGAGAGCACAACTGATAAGCTGAGACCCTCCATCACTGGCGTCCAGCCCTGACTCTCCCACCTGAATAGAAACCCTTGTGTTTTCATCTTTCTGTCACATTGCTTTCCTCATTCCTTGTTGCAGCCAAAGTAGCCAGCTGAAGTTGAAGGCGAGCTCTGAGTCTCACCAAGGGGATCGAAGGCGCCGCCGGGGTACTTCTTCTTCTCCGCATCGCTCTCGTTGTTCCTCTGGGACTCGGCCCAAGCAAGCGCAGCGAACTCAACAGCGAGAATGGTGGGTAGATTGCCCCAAGGCACGGCGACTCCGAGGTAAGTGGGGATGCCGCCCTTGGCTGCCCAGTCCTGTGCGTTCAACCAGTTGCCCAGACCGAGAGCCTCAGGGACGAGGACGCCCGCCTACAGGACGCGACCAATTGGTAGTGAGAATCTTCAAGCGCCGTCTGACTAAGGTGCCAAAAGAACCTCATCGACCAAGAGAAGCCAAGCATGATGCAGTGATGTGATCCCGAAAGTGGTCTAAAAGAGGAAGTGCGGCAGTAACAGATGCCGTTATAAGAAACCTCCCCGTTCAGAGAGAGCAATTGTACGCAGTTGCAGGTCATCGCAGAAGCGAGCTAAAAGCTGGATTCTCTTGCTTCCCAAATGCTAAAGAGGGGTCTGGCTTGTTGTCAGCATCCATTCGCAGAAGGTTTACTTGAATGGGTTACTTCTTGCAGCCTCGCCAGAAGGACTTACTGCGATGTTCACCAAGCCCACTCTGTACAGCAATGTGATGCAATCTGAAGCCCTTCATTTGTAAACAATCTGCTTTTACTGACTTTTCGTTTTGACCCTCAGAACACCATTGCTTTGCTCTGTCATTCTTTGCCATTGAGGACCAGGTGTCTGGGGGCGCAAGCACAAGAACCTGTAATGGCCTTAAGTGCAGTTCCAATTGCGGATGCTTGCAAGCGAATCTTCGTTGGAGAGAACGTGCACTTTAGTCAGGAGGCACGAAAACTCACAACTCCAAGCATGGCCCACCGGCAGTGGATCAGCTCTGCTTCTTGAAACCGGGCCAGGTTCTCGGGAACCTCTCCAAAACCCAAAGGATCGAATCCGAAGTCACTGCACAGAAGAGAGTGGCATTCTGAGGGACAATCTAAGTGGGTGACTTGAATGCGATGGGCAAGTGCAGATAATAATGAGGCGAATAATTAACACTTTCTGCACATTTCTAATAAAATGCAGACACCTTCAGCGCAATTTGCTGATCTTCATTTGCTGACAGCAGATTAAAGGGGTGTGATATACACCAAAGGAGTATGTCTTAGCAACTGCAAGTGCTGCTTTGCCACATTACGAGCAGTGCTGGCAGCAGCTACTTGATCCATCATTACAGCATGCTACCTCCGTTCAAATGCAGCCTGTTGACAACCTTTTGGTTGGCAAAGCTCAGATCCTTCTAGGTCACATTGAGAAACTTGTGATTTAGGCTAGGGCTTTTCTGGAACCTGTGGATGAATCAGGCTTACCCTGGCAGGCCATCCAGGTATTCGGGGAGCTTTGAGCCCGGCAGCCACGAGGCCCTCATGGATACCTTGGCGGACCCTGCAATGCTTCTGCAAAGCACAGACCTGCTCCCGCTCAAGTAGGTGCTCTTCTGCGAAAGAACCGCCTGGGTGCCAGTAAGGCCAACCAATCCGCTGGCCGCAGCGCGGGCAACCACAGCCTGAGCCATCCTTCTTGGTAGCAAGCACGAGACGAGCTTCTCGAAGGGCGATGCGCAACAAGAGCCCTTTTCTTCCACCAACGACTCGGAGTTCAACTTCGAATGCAGGTCAGGTAGCCTGTAGGTGCCTGGCCAGTGGCAGAGGAAGATGCACCACAGGGGTACGTCGTACGATGTTCGAATTTCTTGAACAGTGCTCAGCGCACACTCAAGACTGGCGAGAAGAGCCAATCGCAGCCGTGCAACCTGGATGAGATTTCCTCTAGGTACTTTTGAGGGCGGGGGGATGTCGGACCCGCAACTTGGCCATATTAAAGTTGGACGGTCGAAAAGATAATTATCTTCTCAAATCAACGGCCAGGTGGCTCTGAAAACAAGTCCACCCTCTTGACCCCGGGACCTTCCAACAAGTACAAACTTGCGCATCTTCACTTCGATCCTTCGCTGATTCGCTGGTATCTGGCCCCTTCCAATCACCCGTCCGCACCTTCGAAGGCACTTCGCGGAAATACGAGCTTGGCGTCGCACGCCGACTGTCATGGTCTCGCTTCGCAGAAGTTGAATCAAGGAACGGTTACTTACAATAATACGAAGGGCGGAAAACGGAGAGCTTACTAGGCAAAACAGTGGGAATAGGCAGATTAAAGGGAAGACAAAGAGGCAGACTAGCTCGGAGAAGAGGAGGAGTTTCCGAAGGAGGGGGTCAAGGACGCGTATGGAAAGGGGGGTAGTTTGTGAATTGAGGGTTATTTTGCGTGGTTACATGAGCAGTCTGTACACTTTTTCGTATAGCATAAAAATGTCGTGTACATGTGAAAAGCGTACTTTTTGGAGTCTGAAGTTGCTTATCTAAGAATCGAACAAACCGGAGTCGTACGATCTGTGCATCTTACGGCTCCCATTCGCTGACTGCCAAGACTGACTTTGCGTTGCATTGTGTGTAGGTAGCTGGGTGTGTGTCAGTGTGTATATTTTGTAATCCCCTTTGTTTCGGGCGTACATTTTTTAGTCTTTTAGCGCATTGAAGTTCCTAAAAATGGAAGGCTGACAGTATGTTGGCTCAAAGAGTGAAAGAGCTAACACTGAGGTGGCTGAAGCGGCCGGCTTGAAGGATGTCCGATGCTGGCCTTTGCGTTTGCGTCTGTTTAGAGTCGATTATATCACTAATTTTGAATTGTGCCTGGATAAGGAGGGATGTTAGTATGCCGCGAGCTGGCCTGCAGCATGTGACATTATAGTCGTCATGTGGTCGTCCTCGATGCTGCAGAGCACTCTGCAAGCCTGAGTTGAGGTGCAGCTTGCATGCCATCCCTTAGATGGCTCTGCAGTAAATAAGATTATGATTGCACGCAGTGTTATGTGCCACCATAACGTGACCATAACACGGAGTTGCACATGGCTTGCTACTGCAAACACGGTTTATTCATTCATACTTCTGTTGTGAAGGCCGTAGCGCTTTCGCCTGCACTTAACGGGTGCCCGTACAGACAACTTACGACTTCAATCTTTAGATTCGAGAACCAGGCTTTACTCTGCAATTCTATACACTACCAACGTAGGGTTCACCTTTTGCACACTACACTCATATGCCTCTTACGATCTCGATTCGAGGTCGACTCGATCTTTCTTTCTTCAAATATATAAGCCATAGCCATGCTGCAGCTGGCAGTCCGGCCATACAGTGTTTCGAAGTTCCAGTAAGATGGATTCAATGAGTCCATTTCTTCGATACTCGCCCGATACTCGATGATGCGTAGTGACACAGCATGATAACAGTACAAATTGGACACATGATGGGTTGCAAGCGGACTCGAATCGGCTTTGACGGCTCGACCCTTACGCAGACATAACGTGACAGCAAGGCCGCCTCCGACTGCTTTAGCATGTAGGAAACGCATTTCAGCTGCGTGCACCTGAGTACCTTGCAAGTATCTCACATGCCGCGGTAGCTCTGCAATCTATCACTTGCGAGACGTGACATGGAGCTGCATGGGCAATCATCATGCAAAGTTGTGCATGTCCGGATCAAAACAATGATCAGAATCACGCGCTTAACATATATCATGTGTGGTCGATAATGCAGTCACCACAGCTAATGCGGTTCGACGCGTGTTTGCTGAGTCTCATCCTTAGAGAAGTTGCACAGCGGCCGGACTCGATAGACACAAAGCTGAACAGCATCGATAGCACTCGACCGACTCTCTTGCTGAACATGCAAGCATTCACAACGCCCACAGTCGCAAAGATGAAAACTCGTCCGACTAAATGCACTAATTTGTCGTCACTGAGTAATGCAACGTACCGCACATGTTGATTCTAGATACGAAAAGTCAAGAATCTTGTGAGATATGGTTGCCGCCACAGGCCATGATCAATTCACGAGGGCGAGCAGATGCATTAACACCTCACGAGATTCGTTTCCCCCCTAGTACGGATTGATGGACACGCGTCTTTGCCCGAGCTTGCCCACATCTCAGCATGCCTCGTGAGCCGGAAACATTCCTTTGCAAGTTTTTCTAGAGGACTGTTCCGAAGTCCGCCAGGCACCGGAGTGAGGATGCATATATGGCTGCGGTAGTACTTTGAAAATTTCAGTGAGGCTCTGTATTTTGCCAACCCGCTTGGCACAAGCGTTTCTGGTTTCTATTCGTAATACGAGTCGACAAGCGCCGCCAGGTCGTAGAACATGGACGGCACGAAGAAGGCGGCAGCGATGATCGCCATCTGCGAAACGCGCAGCAAGCAATCAGCCAGGCAGCAGAGAAAACGTTTGAATGAGCATTGTGAAAAGCCCTTTCGGCGCCATCGAATCCTGCGTGATAGCAGCATGGAAGGGCACAGTCATAATCACGTATCGGGCACGTTCGCGAGCAGGTAAACCAGCAACAAAGTTGCAACTCGCTGGCTCTTAAAAAGCGGAGGAGTATGATCGTTTTTGGCCTCCTTCTGAGGACAATTGTGATCCTTTTGGACAGTCTGAATCCCCTTCTCCAGATGCAACAAACCCGTTCCTTTAGTTTTAGGGGATGCAGAAACCAGCCAGCAGGCGGCGAGGGCGTTTCCCTCCGTGGCACTCACCGCGGTGGCCGCTTTGGTCCTGGCGCAGAAGCTGTTGAACGGGGTGGAGCCCTGGCAGGCCGTCCGCACGTAAATGTTCTTCAGCCCAAAGTCTGCACCGGGAAGGGAGTTTTAGACACAAGGGAAAGCCCAAGTGAGCTGAAGCTGGTGAACTTGTCCTTACCCATATCCGTCAAATCACTGCCTTGGATCCACTTTTTGCGGGCGTTTGCCCCCTAGCTGCTGACATGTTACCGCCACAAGGAACCAGATTGGTAGTCGATCTCTCCAAAGAGAATTCCAAAGGTGATAAACTGATTCCGAGCTCTTCTGGTATCTCGAGATCGGGTCTGGTACAAGATGAGCGCGGGGCTCGTCGATCTCGACGATCTTACCGTTGAAGGTGGTGATGCCCGCAGCTGCCGAGCCTGCTCCCAGGGCGAAGAACAACCCTATCTGCAGCCAACACGGTGGAGAGGGGGTGATTGGCATGAAATGTGCCAACGTCTAGCCGCAAAGATCTCGTTTATCAAAGACAGATGTTTCGTTCCTGGTTGCGGGCCGACCAATCCTGTAACCGATGCGAATCTAATTTTGACCTCTACACGGACAGTGCACTGGTACTTTGTTGAGAACGATACGAGCCTTTGAGTATCAGAAGTAGTTTGGAGAGTCGAAAGCCTAGCTCTGCTCGGAAAGGGCATGAAGACATTCAAAAACAAACAACAAAAACAATCCTTCGTGAAGAAACACATAGGCACTTGTTTCTGATCCGACAAGGTGAGGTTTCGGAGACTCGACCGTTAAAAAGGTGAAGCTCTTGCAGTATATTGTACTCACTAGGGTTCGCGCCCAGAAGGACCAAGGACTCACACAAGCTCGTAGCAATCATGCAAGAACAATGTAGAGGCGGCTGCTGGAGGGTGTTTCTGCAGCGTTTTGGAGGAGCATAACCGTGTAATTCACCTTTCCAGGATTACTAATTAACAAACTAAGAAACGTCGGAAGCGCGGTTGAGGGCTTTTGGGGTGCGCTCACAAAGTCGATGAGCGTGACGAACCACCAGAAGAGCAGCGCACGCACGGTGCGGCGCATGCAGCAGAGGATCAGGTCGACGCAGAGCATGAGCAGCGCCACCGCCGCGCTGATCACCGTGCCCGCCACAAGGAACGAGAAGGCGTAGTAGTTGCTGTACTTGATCCCGCCATTGCTCCTGCGCAGGGAAAGGAGAAGCGTGCTGGGAGCTCTGACAAGAGGCTGGTGGGCAGGTCTAGAAACAATCTGATGACAAGAAACCAGTCTTGAAGCAGGCATGGCTCAGGGGCCGGGTTACAGGCACCCGACAGGTAGAGACCGCAAAGCCTGATTATCGAAAAGAGAGCGTCAGAGACACAGCGGCGAGAATGCAGCGTCGATGGCGCAAGATATGTCGACGCACCCGGGCTGTCTGCGCCCAGATAAAAGACACTCTTCTTCCAAATGTCATCTGCAGCACCAGACCTTTCTCTTCAAGGGCATTCTTCTCCACGTGCAATGGAGGCCAGACTTGCCCTCCATCTTCTCTCCTCGCATCCTTCCTGATCCATCACAAATTCTCATTGCTACCAGTCCAAACCGTCCTTTCAAGGGCCGACCACAAAACCATACATGCTTTCAGAAGTGCCCACGAACCCTGGTCGCACTCACGGCCTGAGCGAGACCATGATGCCGAACGCGGAGACGGAGGCCGCCAGCTGCAGGAAGCGCAGGAGCGGGTCCAGCACGTGCCACGCGGTGAAGCGCTTCTGCGTCGCGCCGCGCTTCTTCTTGCCGCCCGGCGCCTCCGCGCGCCGCGCCTCCTCAACATCCAGGGCGCCGCCCTTGCGCGGGGTAGACATGGCGGCTGAAGACTGTTGGCTTCACAGACGAGAATCTCTGAAGAAGGTCTATAAGTATCCAAAGGACTGTCAAACTTGTCGCGTCTCAGGATTTGCGCAAGGGCGAGCCTCACAGAATGCAGGGTCAGGACTTCCGATATCTGCCAAAAGGAACGGGGGTCTTCTCCTGGGGGCAAAATCGCAGCATCTGTCAAAAAGCAATTCTTTCTTGCGTTTCTGATCCCTTGGCGAGCGCGCCCTTGATCCGCTCTGCGGTATGTGAAGGGGAAAAGAGGAGTTCGGGCAGAACCGTTCAGGAATCTCGTGATTTACCTTGATGACTAAGTTCATCGCGGGCTCTTAATTTGGCATGCCTTCAGCTTCAGCATGTGAGCCTCGAAGTCGCATGTTAGATTCTGCATCGGATTCTCAGCGGGTCAAGGGTGCGGCACAAGCGGCTAGCTTGCGACCCGGGTAAGCTCATCAGGCCGCAAGCCCGCGTATGCATCGGGGAACGTCAAACTTTTCGAGTCTGGCCCAGGCTGGCGAGTTGACCATGCTGGAAGAACGAAGTTTGGTTGGGGTGTAGTCTTACCTTATGCGACATGAAAGAATCGCAATGTCGTCCGTACGGAGGAGGGGACTCAGCAACGCGCTGCGGCCACTTGTTTTCGAGGTCTATGCATGGCAAGTCAAAATTTAATTCAAACCGCAGTCTCTGAGCTACTGAGGGGAAGAAGGAACCAGCTTTGGGACAGAAATTGTTCCCTTGCGCCGCGAGCAGAAAAGCAGAGCCCCCAGCGGGCAAAACTCAAGAGACCGAGTGAAAGGGCAGGTTTTGTAAAAGAGAAGAAGCATCTCGGGGCCAGGTGAAAAGCACAAGATTTTGGTTGGCAAGAAAGGGGAGGATCGCGGAGTTGCACGGCGTCGAGATACTGTTGCTCGCGCGTTCTGCTTCTCGAGTCTTGCGTGTCTTCCTGTGCCTCTCCTTGCAGATTTATCCAGCCACATTTGGGAGTTTTTCTGGAGTGACCCGTGTTGAGAGCATCATACCTGGCTAAGACAGGCGTTTGCTAGCATGGCACGCGGCGCGCCCCGGGCTGAGGAAGAAGCGCCGGCGCGGGGGACCGCCCCCGCGGGCAAAAAGAAGGAGAAGAAGGCGGGGGAGCACCGAGGGGGAAAGGGCAGAAAGTTAACGAACTGCATCCGGTAAGGTGCCCGGGCATTGAAAGCCCACAATTGACCGGGTCTTGTGCGCTGCCAATGTGCTGCATTGCAAAAGATAAACAAGGAAAGGGCACAGTTGTGGACGATGAGAAGTGGATAGCTTGCTCTTAATGTTCTGCTGACTGCATTGCATCAGATGTGCTCCTGTCAGAATTATTTCCCTGCCTTTTGTTGCATGCAACTTGATTCGAGTCTGCAACGGAACCGATTCCCAAAAATCCTCATGTGTTATGCTGTGTGCTGTGCGGTTCTGTGCTTTCAGCCATTTCTCGCTTGTGTGAAGGATGGATTTGAATGTTTACATGAAAACTTCTTCAAAGTAAGACGACTCTTGGGTTAGATAGTGTGATTCTTTTAATCTCGACACGTGGCAAGGCTGACGGGCACTTCAAGTGTCCGTGATCTTTCCGATTAAGGTCGATATGCGTACACCCTTGTCAAAGGCGTCCGGATTGACACGGTGGTTTCTGTCCGTTTGAATTGCCCCAGACTTTGGCTCATGCTTATTTAATCTCTTTCTACTCAAAAGTTCATACACAGTCGACATGATCATGGAAGCAACTGTCTCCTCTCCTTGCAGCTTCGTGTGCCGGTTCATGCAGTTTGCGTCGGGGGTGGTGACCATTGGCGTCATCTCCGCCACTAAGGAGAAGGGCACCCACTTCTACGACTGGCAGGTCAGCGCGTCTTCTCGATTGCTCCTCATCGTCTGTTCTATCCCGAGACCACGACTTTGGAAAGATCGGTGTGGACACAGCGGCCTCATAAAGTGCGGCTCAAAAACTTTCTGCAGCGAGTACCGCGGTACATATCTATCCAATCTGCCTGCGCCAGTGCCCACTTGCTGATAAGTCAGCTTCTGGAAATGTTTTCTTTCCGTTCAAGCCGACGCAAGGACCGCTGTAGAGTCTTTCTCTCTACCTACTTTTTAAGCCACGAGAGGTCTCATACCCACAGACTGAGAGACCATCTGAAAGCATCAGATGCTCTGAACTCCTCAGCAAATCCACGCCCAGGAAGCTCGATAATGCTATTCTATGAACACTTATTCCCCTTGCCAAAGTCCGCCCGGGGGCATGTTCAAGAACACATGCCCTTGCAGTTTTGAATTCTTTTCGTCTCCGTTCCGGTCCCTGCTCATCTTTCTCGCGACTGCTGCCAATCCCACCTGTGTAAACAATCTGAAACAAATGATGACATGCGCGCAGGCGTTCTCGTACTTGCTGGCGGGCGGCTGCTTCCTGGCCTTCTGGGGCCTCGTCACGCTCTTCTTCGACTGGTTCGACACTCTGGCGTGGCGCCTCATCATCTTCCTGGGGGACTGGGTGAGAGGCAAAAACCCCGTGTTCCTGAGAAACCGTCTTGCAAGCTTACATTCAAGCTCCCTCTGCCGTGCGCTGCACTTCATTCACGCAAGCTATACGTCAGGGGTCCCGGTGCTAAGGCGGCCGCGATCAAAATCCTCCATTCAAGATACTGAACGATTCCTTCAGACCTTCTGGTGCTTTTACTCTGGAAACTTTTTGACGCGTAGGAGTAGGAGAGTACCCTTCTCTTGCCGCTTAACATAGTGGAAGGTAAGAGTCGTTCCTAATCCTGTTCTGAAGCCGCCTGCTTCTGAACACCTGGGCACCTCGATTTTTGCGTCGCTTTCCACCCCGAAGCTCTCCTCTCAAGTCCTAACCTTGGGCAAGTCCTTTATCTCTCAAAGACACTTCTGAACCAGGTACCGAGGTCATTTGGTGCATGCCCGGCTCACGTAGGTGGATATTTGCGAACACCGGCACTCGTGATTTATTTTGATCTACTCTGCGCAGATTGTCGCATTCATCGCGTTCAGCGCCGGGTGCGCGGCCGCAGCCATCACGACGTTCAACGATAAGGGCGCACCGCCCTACCAGGCCGCCCTCTGCCGGGTAAGGACCGCCCACCACACAGGCCAGTGCAAGTTTTGAGAGAATTGATCGGAGAATGAGCCTTTCTTTGAGAGTAATGAGGGCAAAGCTTGTCCAACAGTCTGTACCGCTTCATTTGGTTCGCCGTTTCAGTTCTTCTGCTTGACCGTTTCCGCGCTCAATCAGCGATGTTCGCTGATGGCGTATTTCAGCCCACAATCAACTTCCGAGCAAGACATTAGGAAGAGTGCTTAAACGGTCGAAAACTGCCGAAATTACATGCTTTTAAGCGGTTTGTAAGCTCTCGTCTCGTCTCAAGTCCAATAGACTGCAAAAGCAGACGGGTCTTTCTCATGCGGAGCGGCAAGCTGCTGCTCCTTGCTTGTGACGGCGCGCTGGTTGCAAGGTGTGCGCCTGCTGGTGTTTTGGTTAACGCAGAGGTTTTCCGTCGCAGGACACGGGCGGCGCGTACAACAAGATCTGCTCCTACTCGAAGGCGGCCACCTCGTTTGCGTTCATCGGCTTCGGCTTCCTCATCCCCACCATGTTCATGTCCGCCTTCTCGTTCTTCTCGAAGTACTATGAAGGGTAGACTCGAGGAGGCGAAACGACGTCTGCCAAGGACCAGAAACGCGCGTAGCAAAACATAAGCAGGCAGCTCGATAGGTACGGCCGCGCATGTTATACAGACTCTCCTTTCCACACAAGACTCGATACTGACTGGAGATACCACTACTTCACGTGCAGTATATTGGGGTTTGAAAATCAACGTGTGAATTCTGACGTCCCAACTCCTCTCATTCAAGCTAGACGCAGTCCTGTGTCTCATGGCCGCCATGAGAGGTAGCCGGGCTTCGAATGCATGCCAGCTAGGCACCAAATGCGCATATCAGGCTTCAATCGCTGCGGTGCTAGGAAGGTGGCGTACATGGCCTCACGCACTTCTAATCAAGCACTCCGTTTTAATGCAAATGACTGGTGTGTCAAAAATTTTGGCACTTTTCTAATCACGTGCAAATGTCCCCCAGTGATCAGATCCACTACTAAAGCTGATGCTATTCAATCGTTCTCATTCTGCGTTGATCAGTGTCTGCTACGGTTCGAGTCAGCGGCCTTCGGACTTTGTAGATCTGCGATTGACACACCTATCCCGCGCTCATTCTTCTAACCCGCGATTGATCTTCTGTTGTACAGCATCTGGAAGTCTGATCTTGCGCTCTTGATCTATGGCGCATCTGGCACCTATACTAGACTTCTTGATATCTTTCAACTTCCCAAGCCTGTAAGAAGATGGTTCTCACATCGTGTCTGGCAGTCGATCTACCTAGACTGACATTTCTTTGATCAAACAGTCGGGCCTTCGAGAGGACTGCTGTCCTTCTCAACACACCTCGCAATCCACAGCTACCTAACTTACGCCACCACTGTGGCATGCTTATTGGCCCTCCCGCGTACGGTTTCTCGGATCGTTCTCCCTAGAGCATCAAACCTTCAACTCCGACCGTCCCCTTCTGAAGATGCTGGCAATCGAGCTGCTACATTCTTCGCCCTGTATCCCGACGCAAGCGGCTCCGCCCTGCGCCGCAGTTCCGCCAGCAGTCCGTTCTCCTGTTCAGAAGGGATCCTTTTCGTCCGCGCTTCCCGGCGCAGCCACTCGACCCCGAACTCGACCATGCGCCGCATCTTGCCGTCCAGCTTTACCGCCTCCATCGGCAGGACCGCTGCTGTGAACGCGCCCTCCATCGTGCGGCTCAGCGCGCCCAGCGCCTGCGCGAGCAGCTTCTCGCGCGGGTCCGCCTCCTTATCGTTGTTTGCCGCCACCACAAGGTTCTCAAACATCGCGCACATCCGCTCGCTTTCTGACGTCACGCTCGCGTGCAGAAACGCGTGCCGTTCCGACGGGGCGTTCTCGGTAGCGACCTCATTGATCGCGTCAAGAGCCGCCTGCATCTTGACGGCGAGTTCCGTTTCCGTTAGCGGCATTCCGGCCACCAGAGTCCGCATCTGCTCCTCCGCTTCCGCACCGACCGCTGCGATCGCTGCCGCGGCAATGACCAGGTCCCCCCGGTCCATCTCATCCGCGCCGTTCATCGCCACCGCCAGACCCGCGAACCGTCCCGCCAGCTCGTCCACGTCAGCACTGATCTGCTCATAGATCCACTCCGGTACGGCATCCGTCAGCAGGCGGTGGCACTCGTCGCTGACCGTGTCCGCCACGTGCTGCAGGCTGTGCCCCAGCGCGTGCTCCTGGAGCGGCATATGCCCCGCCAGGAGCGCCACCTCGTGGTACAGCACGCGGCCGGCCGTACCCAAAACCCGCTCCAAACCCTCCCACCAGCCGCGGTGCCCGCTGCTGCTGGGCGCGTTGTCGGAAGGAGACGTGGCACCGTCTCTGCCGTCCCGTTCTTCTGAAGCCGACTCCGAACCCTTGATGACCTCTTCGGGGTCCTCTGAGGGCTCGGGTGACCGTCGGAAGATCTTCGTCTCGTGATGCTCTCGCCACTGTACGTTTTTCCGGGGACTCATGGGGGGCGAAATCACGCTGTTGGCGGCCCCCTCTTTACTGATCTGCGTCTTGAGATTGCTGCGCCGCCGCTCGAGGCGGTTCTGGGAAGAAACGGACGACAAGTGGGGTAGCTTAAGAGGTGGAGGTTCTTCCTTTATCGTCTCCGTCTTGAGCTCTGCAGTCTCGAGCTTTGAAGTCGCCGGGAGAGCTTCTGAGGCTGACTCCAGCTCAGCACAAGGGGCGGGCAATGTGTCCGCCATTTTCAGGAGGTTCTCGGCGGCTCGAATGACGTGCTGGTTGGCAAGTTTTCGCATCAGGGGGGTCACTTTTGGCCCCGGGGAGAGGGGGCGCTGCCGAAGGGGGGGCTCTTTGGCCACGCTCATGCTGAGGACCTGCAGGAAGGTGAAGGAGAATTGGGCCCTGCTCACAAATGGCAAACGACTGCTTCTGCTTGTAGTGTTGCGTCCTGTTTTGGCCAGGACAACGCTTTAGGAAGCCGAAAACGAAGGCCTTCCACTCTCGTCCTCTCTGCGTTTGGGGATGCGTTGAATCCATCGACTTGACTGGACGTTCTTTTACTTCTGTGGTTGTCTGACGGCATGCCATGGGAATTGGTCAAAAGCTTAGGGGAAGATTAAGGTCAAAAACCATTTTGGGTCTCCTTCTACAACGACCGACGTTTCTTCCTACAGAATCTTTTCAGTTCCTTAAGGCTTGAGAATATACCTAAGAGAATATCATTAGCTGCACAAGCACCTGGTGGCTCGAAAGGGTCCCTCCTCTGGCATAAGCAAGTGATTACATGATTACACAAGCATGACCGATTACGCAAGAAGGTTGAAGAGTAAATGCGGCAATGACCATAGTTGGTACCCATCACTTGATCAAACAAGAGCTTGACAAACTGTCAGCATGTACAACCTGTGGTGGATTGCATAACCCACAAATGATTCTACAAACAGAGGTTGCCTGCTGTTTCCCCAGCTTGATTGTCACCGTCTTTCAAAAACTCTGTTTGCTATTTTTGCCCATGTCAGAAAGCGGGTGTTCAGTGTCGTAGTATGCTGGACAGTTGGACGCCTTCTCTTCCTCCTGTTCCTTCGTTCCAGTAAAACAAAGGAGGAAAATATCCTCGCTTTATCTTCTGCTCTACGATATCTCAGTCTTTGCCAAGGTTCATGTCATACATTGACGGATTCGCCCTTCTGTTTCGAAGCCGGTCAGCCTACCTGACTGGCCCACCTTACAGCCGACAGCAAAGCTCGAGCTGCCACTATACACATCTGTTCAATTTAGATTGCCAGAGGGTCCAGAGGATCCCTTACGGATGGCAGTAGGCCTACCTCAGTATCTCTGTTGCAGCGGCACAGTCAGAGCTCCTTTCTTTGTCCTTTGCATTTTCGGAGGTGATGAAGCGCTTCTTCGAAGTATGGAGATCTGCAAAACACAGTGTTGAATCATTTTTTGGAGTTTGAGCATCGTTGGAGGTCCATCTCTACCTTTCAAGTTGGACGTTACGTGGGCTCTTCCACTTCAATCTCAGGTCTTGTGTTGCTGCTTACGATGAGACAATGCTCAGCATTGGGACTGATTGACTGATGTTCAAAATTCGGAGGACTGTCTCCAACCACAAACGACCCGCTCATTAGCTCTTCCCCCAGAGTGTCTAGAGCTGCATCTGAGCCTGTCACAATGAGTTCACCAAACGTCGAGATATTGTGGAGCCTTACCTGTGCCTTCCTTGGAACCGGGGTCTTAAAGTGCTTGGGTTGAATTGGTTGGGTCAATGCTTATCAGCATTGTTAGTGCGTTCGGCGGGCAAACGGAAGTAAGTCCTCCCGCCAAGGATGCAAACATCAGATTGTGTCCAGTTTCGAACAGGAGGGTCGACTTTGATTAGTCAATCCATCCACTTTCAGGATGTCAACCTAGAACACCTTATGGTTCTTTCACAAAAGGCCATGAAGCAGCAATTGCACCACTCTTAATGAGCACGCATCCTAAATGTGCGCGTTCTTGAAGCATTGTTCAATCCCTGCGCACAAGATTCAACGGGAATACTGAGCGCCTTCCTACTCCCTAAAAGTGCTCTGAAACAATCTCTCTGGTTTAACGGCCCCGAGCAAGGATCTTTGATGCCTTTTTGAGTTCGAGGCGTTACTCTGGCACAGCATTCAACTTCAGCAGCCTGCTTTCCTGTTTGTACAGTAAATGATGACATGCAGAATGTCATCATTAACAATGCCTAACCTCGCATAATTGATGGCCAACGCCAGCAACGCCGCCGGCGCGCTTGCGTCACACTTGTGAGTCTTGTGGCACACTACAGAAAGCGCTCACAAAGACAACATCATTTTTGCAGCATACATAAATCCCAACCGTCGGCTGATTGGAGAACAGCCGCGCGCTGATATCGTGTAGACTACTCTTGCGACCCGCGTCTCTGTGTCTTTAGCGAACCGTCGATGCGTCAACTTCAAGCATCTACCATGGTCCAGTATGCTCAAACTCAAAGCTGCACCGTCGCTCTAGTTGCTTGAATCATCATCATCATGGTGTACGTGTCCAGCGCCAGCACTGGCGCAAGTAGTACAAAGAACTCAGTTGTAAAAGTGTTAACAAGCCAGTGTTACCTGGGCCAGCCTTCTGAGCCGCACGATTGATGTTCACCCTGTACCACACGCTCGACCGTGATTGCATTTCCGAAAACTTAGTGTTCAGATGCGGGCACCGGGGAGCCAAACATCTTCAACGCGGTACCTAAGGCTAGTGCCTACCATGCTGATCTAAATACGCTGCGCAAAGCCCGGGGCACGAAAATCCGTCTTCCGGTCAAAACCACCGGGGAAGGTATGCCTGCCGTGCGAAGGCGTTAGTAGTTTTGGCCAGGGTTAAGGGGCTAAAGACATTCCAACCAAGTCTAGTCATCTAAGCCAGGCACTCCTAGCATTTACCCGACTCTCATAGGAAGCTCGGTGACTTGGTTTGCGGTGGACCGGAGGTGTCAACAGCTGTGGCACCGAGCACTTTTACCGGTCAGAATGTTTAGACACAGAGGTTTTCAGGGTATTGGAACACTTGATGTTCACACTTTTACAACTGAGTTCTTTGACCTTTTTGCAGCACGGGCAGCAGCACCTGGAGAGGACGCAGCAGCAGGGGCGGTATGCTCCTCCACTTGCTCTCTAGCTGAGTCTAATAGTTCAACTTCAAGAGGTGAATTGGGTCACAGCCAGCGCTATCTGGCTGGAGGTCACCACTCTTTTGTCCTGTTTGTGGGGCGGGCTGCGATGGCGGGCTTGGAAGCAGCATTCTGCGGCTTCACGCAAGGGTGCGTAAGTCAGGCAGCATTCAGCAGGCACACCGACCTAGACGCCAACAAGCAACCCCTCTTCAAAACCTGGCTGACGCCTGCGACTGGGGCCAGAGCCACCCTCCCCTGTAGAGCTAGCCGCAGAAGTATAGGCATCAAGTCTAGAAAAACCCTCGGCGTGTCATCGCCGCCCTTCTCATCCTACTCCTTCCTTCCCCTAGCACCACTCCCTACCTTCCGGTCACCTCATCGGAGTCGACAAAGTGGTGCCCGGCGACGTGCTTCTTGTGTCCGAGCGTCCGGCTCGTCAGATCAGCTGGTCCCCACTTCTGCAGTGATGGATTCAGCAGATTATAAGGTGCAGCAGAGCCGGATAGACACAATACTGGCGCGCCTGCATGAGCTCGACCCAGGGATCCCCTCAGTGGAGGAGGCGGCCATCCGCGCAGATCTCAACACCCTGTCCGCAGAGCACCTCTCGCTCGTAGAAAACAGTACCGGCAAAAACCGCACCATCAGCAGCTGGTCCGCGCTGCTGAAGCGCCTGATTGCGCTGAAAGAGGGGGACGATGCGCAGCGTCTGGGGCGGCACGACCACCGGCGCGTCTGGCTGGCGGAGCAGCGCCTGCTCAAAACGCTGGGCTGGGCGGCGCGCCTGCGGGAGACGCTCGCACGGTTGTTTAGCTGGCAGGGCCTCGTGCTCTTTGGCGCCTTTCTCCTGGCTGCGGTGTCCATCAACCTTGCATGGAGGCCGCAGGCGAAGATCGTGACAAAGCCCGTGCAGTACAGCACGTTCCTGCAGGAGGTGAGGCACGGCTGCCAATGGCGTCGTTAGTCTAGGGACAGTAGTGAGATTCCAGTGCATCAACATCATGCATGGAGAGATGTCAGGATCTTGTGGAGCGTTGGGCCAAAGTAGAAATCCGATTGTTCAGAACAGAACTCAAAAGCCAAGATTGGGAAGTTAAGGGTTTGTGCAGGTGGCCATCAAAGGGTTGGGCAATTCATCAGTTTTTCCCCCTGTCTCGCAATCAGGCCCTCAGGCAAATGGCTTTGAGAAAGATCTGTTGACTTTGCATGATGCAGGTTAATTGTACAGCGATTGTCTTGTACAGCTCATGAACAGGTGAAAGTCGTTCTGAAGAGAAGTGCCTCATTCTACTCATGTTGGCTGAAAGAAGTTGACGTTTCTTGGCAGGTGGAGAAGAAGAACGTCAAGGTGGTCAATTTTGAGGAGCAGTCTCGGAAAATATACTTTGCACTGAGGGATGAGGACGAGGCATTCCGAGCGCAAAGGGAGGCGGGCCAAGAAAAGAAGGTGAGCAGGCAGTAGAACCCAACTGTCGATTCTCTCGGCCATGCTTGCAGAGCCACGTGCTTTACCCCCCTCTTATTAGAGACAGTCCTGCACCCATTTCAGCAAAGCCTCTTCTGTCGAACAGATCTCTTGTTCGTTGGGTGTCCGGCTGTGCCCTTTGTAATTATGGACAGAAGAACCAAATGCACCAGTGCTTGGCACTCCCAGCTCTGCGCGTTCGAGCGCCCATACGGGGAGTTCTCACTGGCTTACACATGCCTGGCAGGACATCATTGACAAGGGGTTCCTGAAAATCTCTGTGGAGAGGACTGTGGCCAGCCCTCCCCGCCCTGCCCGGTACCTGACGCGCCGGGTGGAAGGCGACATGAAACTCATCGAAAAGCTGCAGGTAAGAAGTAGATAACGTCATGGATGGCCTTCCTCGGACGTCTATAGAGAGCTGAGCCTTGAACACAGGCATGCACGTGTTGTACAGCCGGAAAACTGATCAGGAATGGAGATGGGCGTAAGTACAAGGTTGCCCAGTCTACTGCGACTTCTGTCAGGAATAGCCCTCAGGTCTTCCTGGGCAGAACCCTGTGTCCCTGTCTTCTTTGCAGGCCAGCGGCGCAGCATTCCGGTCGGTCCCCCCCTCGTCTCTGGACGGCATGCGCACGGCGCTCTTCACAATGGTGGCCATCTACGTGCCGCTCATCCCGCTTTTCATCTTTGCGCGGCGCCAGCTCATGGGGCGTGCCACCAAGAAGCGCGCACGCGCGCACGACTCGGCGGTCACTTTCCGGGATGTTGCGGGGGTGGACCAGGCGAAGCAGGAGCTCATGGAGGTGCGGTGGATAAGAGTTTGGCGCCTTGTGATATTGGTATCACGTTGTTTGCAGCGAGGACTTTCATGCGGTTGGTGCAGGTGCTCCATGGTGGATGCAAATGTCCAGCAACGTGGTTTTTTTGCAGCCCAGAAGGGGAACACTGCCTCAAGACGTTTTTCAAATGGCCGCGCTGAGATATATGGCTCGCTACTCTACGTGTCAGGATTTCGGAGTTGAAGACGTTCTCCGAAGATGCATCGGTGCTGAGTCGTGGCACACACTTATTTCCAGGAAAGTTGCGTCGTGTGCCACTTTTCTCTCCAGAAAGCCTTCCCTTGCCGTCATGCATTCAAGACGGCGAGAAGGGCCAAGTAGGAGCTATATCGTGCTTGACAACACCTGACCCTTGTAGCGTGGTCTCCAAGCAGTTGGTAAGGTCTGACGTATGGATGCATTAGCTCTCCTTCGAAGCCGTCTCGACTTGTTTTTGCTTTCTTACGTTCAGGTGGTCCAGTTCATGAAAAACAAGGGCAAGTATCGCAAGCTGGGGGCGAAGTTACCTAAGGGCGTTCTGTTGGTCGGGCCCCCGGGGACCGGCAAGACGCTGCTGGCGCGGGCCATGGCGGGGGAAGCGGGGGTGCCGTTCCTCTCGGTGTCCGCCAGTGAGTTCGTCGAAATGTTCGTGGGGAGGGGCGCTGCGCGCGTGCGCGAGCTGTTTGCGGAGGCGAGGTGAGGCGCAGCCGCCTTTGTGGGACACCGATTGAACCTTGCGACCCTTTCGATGGGGCACGGGAGAGCTTAGTCCAGGGACGGTTCATTTTCGACTTCAAAGCTGGATAGTGACGGTTCGAAATCATGGGGACCCCGGGACGGAAAGTCAGGTTGACATGGGCGGCTTACCGAGACGCTGTTGTTGGCGAGGGAACCCGCTGGCTTCGTGGAGCCCCCACGTTCGCTGGCTTCTTGGACTCGAAGGAGGAATCCCGCCAGAGTTGCAGAGCTAGAGGCTGCGAGTTCAGGAAGAGAGGTATGGGGATACGCACGTCCTGTATTTGTCGTTACTTGATTGACTTTGATTTCCCTGCCATGACCTTGATACGACTTGAGTTTGCCTGTTGGTCCAGGGCGGCCGCTGCCGAGAGTGCGGGGCGGCGAGGGGCGCGGCCGGGCGCCCCCCGGGAGGCGGGCACGTGTGTCGTCTTCATCGACGAGTTGGACGCGGTAGGGGGCAAGCGGGGGCTCAGCTCGAACGAGGAGCGAGATCAGACGCTCAATCAGGTGAGGCTTTCTGAAAAGGTCCTCAAAACGTCGGTGTGGCAGGGTTGCGGGGAGCAGACCAGACCTACGTAAGCTTTGGAGGTTGCTTTTCAGATCGGGCATCTTTTCGGCAAAGGCGTAAGAGCGGCCCGTCTTTGTATAGACGTCTCGATCTTCCGACGATAGCCTCTGCGTGCCTTGCTTGAAACAGAGCTGCGAACGGCTTTGGTTTACAACTCTGAACGGCGGTGTTCCGAAGTAATGATGTTTATCATCTCATTACGCTCTCGACAAGCGACGTTTATGGCAGTTTGTTGCAAAGCATCTGACACGTGCATTGCGATTCCCCAAGCATCCACGCAAGCTCTGCTTGAAATCCGTCGACGAGGAGTGTCCTGCATCAGGTTGCCCATGGTGATCTGCTTTTGTTGCGTACTCCTAATCCTTGAGTTTGCTGTGCGCAGCTCTTGACGGAAATGGACGGCTTCGATGCGGAAGAGGGGGTTCTTGTACTGGCGGCCACCAACCGTGCGGAGGTAAACTTGCCTGCCTCACGGTTTGAAGAACTTCCTCTGAGCTTGCCTTTGTCCATTGCAAGCACTGCTTTCGGCAACCATTGCTTGCTTGCTGGTCTTGATCGTTGAGAAACGCGCATGCTGTTGGGACGTATTAGCGCCTCTCGACCCTGCATCTATTGGACTATTCTGCTTCGGAGCTGTTCAATAACGAGTCCAAAAGTGCGAGTCTGGTGATTCCGACCCCCAAACCTTTTGCCCTTGCGCTCCCCCAGGTTCTGGACGCGGGCCTGCTCCGGCCGGGCCGCTTCGACCGCAAGGTGTTTGTGGGCGCACCCGACGCGGAGGGGCGGCAGGCGATCTTGGCGGTGCACATGCGCACCACGCCGGTGGTGGGCGACAAGGGGGCCATCCAGCGCGCAGTGGCGCGGGTGACGCCGGGCTTCGTCGGGGCGGACCTCGCCAACGTGGTCAACGAGGCGACGCTGCTGGCCATCCGCGATGGCAGGTGAGGCCGGGGGGCCGGGAACAGGGTGGGGGGATTGGGTGTGCGATCCGGGCCGTTGTTGTTTTTTATCAGTCTTGCCCTTGCTTGTCTTCTGGAATGTTGTGCTATTTCATGGGAGAGGTTTTGCATTGAGTCGGTCCGGGTCAGGTCGTCTGTGGGAGTGCTCTCGAGAGGTCGAGCAGAAGCGCGAGAGAATTTTGCATTTTGCGCTCTTTGTATCCAACTCGGAGCGCTCTCGCTGATTCCGCACCTGCCATTTGTGAGTTTGAGCCTTACAGTCCCGGCCTCACCGATGGAGCTCCATGCAGACTTTTGTAGCGAGCTCTTAATGATGAAGGGAGTAACAAGGTTATTTTTCGTGTGCAGAGAGGTGGTTCAACTAGATGATTTTCTGGAAGCCGTGGATCGCTCTCGGTTCGGTATTGGGCGGCGAAAGGGCCCCATCCAAAATTTGCAGCAGGGCTTTGGCAGATGGTTGCGAAAGTTGGGCGGGGAGCTGTCTGAAGGTACTGAGCTTGCTGGGGGAGGGGGAGATGGAGGACCTATTGTCCCCAAGGCTGTAACCATGAATTAGGGCTTCTCAGCTGTCGCTAAGTCAGAAATGACTTGCATCTAGGTAGAAGATCGGCGCATGCGTTCACAGAGGTCACCCCATTGGTGAATTGAAGCTTTATTGGTTCGACGAATATTGTAGGTTCACGAGGTATATAGATAATTCGTCAACTCGCCACAGCGTACATGTGTGGTTGCTAAATGCAGGGTTGTTTGCAGCTCGAGAACTTAGGAATTAAATTCCCTGATGTGGAAGTGTGGTGGTGGATCAAGCGCCAGGCTCAAGTTTTCGATGGTAAGGACGCGGTTACTTAAGCACCGCTGTTTCAATGCACATGTCAATCACATCTTTCTTCGAAATTGCATGCCGGGCCCGCATGCCTGGCTAAACATGTCCAACTTGATTTTGAGCCAATGCTAAGTTAGCTACACTTGTTAATTGTTTTAATGTCGTTTTATAATTGTCGTTTTAACGTCGCTGTTATAACGTATGTTTTGCCGGAGCATCCACAACATGCTTGTGCGTGCATACAACGTCTGCTGCGTGGAGGTTCAATGCGCTAGCGGTGCATGATATATCTGGGGCTGCATGCGAAATAGCTAAACACTGAAGCTCATGATTTGGAATAACCCAATGCTTGATGCAAGCCTAGGTACGTTTGCCTAGTTGGAGGCAAGCTCACAAACCATTCATTGAATGATTGAACGTATCATTTTCATGTCAGGCTATAACCCACACCGATCAGATCAAGACCTGCAGTTGATCCAACTGCTGGCGGTCCGAACCCCGGCATGCACTTGAACCAAAGAACTGCGGACGTTTGCTGTGGTGCCTTTGATTTGCAAACGAAGCCTTGCAACCGCCCCGTGTTGCCATCATGAACGCATAAAGATACGCTGCAATTAATCTGCATTTCGCTTGAGTGCATGGCAAAACTTCGCTGAGACGGATAGGCTGCTGCAACCGTTGCGTGTTCTGCACCCGCTGGTGCCCTTACAGAGATTAGTGTCACAATTCCGAAGTACTCCTTCAAGTTGTCAGAGCTGCTTATAACGGCAACCCACGTCACAGCTACTTAAGCACACAGCATACGGTGGTGCCCCTGGCCGCTACCATATGAAAGCTGTGTCTAAGCATCGTACGTAGATCAACTGAAACCTCCCCTTTCTCGCCGACAGAGTACCCTGGCGAGCTACCTGACTGTGGCCGACTTTCCAAAGTATTGGGCGAGCCCTTCCGCGGCGACCACCCCGCTCCCCACAGCGCGCGGGCCAGTGCCAGAAGCGATGTGCAACTGGTGCTGCACAAAACGCTGCGCAGAAACACGAACCGTTCAACAAATATGGACAACACAAATGACGTGCCCTTCGAAGAATCTGCCCAATGTTGCTCTCAAAGCCGTTCTGAGATGCTCATACTTTACTGAATGATTTGAATGACAAATCCAGTTAGCTTGAACCATGTGGCTGCTGCCATTCCATTCTGGAAAACGACTACACGGAGGACTTGATTCTATTGCACTTTTACGCATCCCCCACAAATACGGCCGTCTTCCCAGCTCTCTCCATAAGTAGACAACCACTCTAACTCAACGCAACTAGTGTCCTATGCTTTTCTGAAACCTTTGAGAGGCCTTTCCAAATCATTCTCCTTAGTGCCGGTCAGGTTCAAGGAACTTGGCTCAAGCACACACCGACACGTTACCCCCCGCTTGACAGCTTGTCAATCAGCGAACTTCAAAAGATGACCTCTACGGCTCCTCTTTGTAAGCACTCCTTTTGCTGAACCCAAATACCTAGCCGGGTTATCAGACATGAAGTTGCAAACAATGTGTTCATGCAAGAGAAGGGCCAACATACCGCAAGCTGCTTGATGATGTCTGCAGATGTGTCTACGTGCCAGTCTGGTTCAAGTTGCCGAACAAATGAAGCTCGGCCCTGAGGTGTACTGCAAAACAGAACCTGCAGCATAGAAGCAGCACGTCTTTGACAGAGTACAAGATCTAGTCGTAACAAATACGAACCTTGAACCATCCCGTGCGAACGGGTTGTAAGAGCAGAATATGTGAGGCTTTGTAAACGGGCAAAAACCAGGGGAGCAGACTCCCAGAAGCTGTCCTCAAGTATGAAGTCACGAACAATGGTGAAGCAGGATTCTTGAATTGTCAGGGTCATCGACCCCCTTGTCCGATGTGCTTGCTGTTCACGTTGGGTGCTCAAGTGAGTTCCTCAACATATCTACTGAACATGTTCCTGACCTTGTCTTTGTTCACGGCCCCATGAGCAAACAGCCCCGCAGACTCGAGCGCCGACATCACTGCAATCTCGCTGGTGTCATCGAGGCACTGCGTGACAAGGTACAGGTCGCATGCCTTGCTCAACTCCTTCACCACCTCTGCAGCCCCCGGGCGCAAGGTGGCTCCGTTTTCCTGCACCAGAGCACTGTGCTGAGCCACCAGCACCGATATTTGGGCCCCTAGTCCAGAAGGCTGCAAGCTTCTCGACACTAAGCTCAGGACTTCGGTTCGGGCTAATCTGCCTGATTGGAGTGCGGCAATAACCGCCAAAGCTTCGCCCTGAGCCCCATTTTGCCAGCCCGATGTCAGTCAAAACTACGCAAGCATAAAAGGATAGACTCAGACGCAAAGGCACACCCAAGTGAGCAACTGTCAAGAGTCGCGGGCAGCATTGATACCACTGATCAAGCCTGATTGGCGGGTTGAGCACCATTGAACTATGCCCTTCCAGAACTTTCGTAGGGAAGGGCTGCATCAATCCAATCGAGCCTAATTGCACCAGTTCGTGCATCCTGATCTGGGTTAGTGCATCCTCAGCGGGTTCTGAAGTTCGCAATGATTCATATGGCTTCAGTGTCGATGTTTAGCCCTCAGGAGCCGAAAAAAAAATCCCAAAAGGCTGTGAACATCGTAAACCTGCTTGTCAGCATTCAATGATCAATCTGAACAACCACCTCGAAGATTGATTAACAGAAAAACCATAAAGAAGCCAGCCATTCGTCTGGATGAAAGGCAAATGATGCGCTTGACCTTCCGGCAGGGCACAGCTATTTGCTCATCCACTCACCTGCACTTCTTCTGGGGATGTTTCCGTGAAGAGCACTCCTAGGGTGGTTAGAGTCATCCGCCGGCTCCCTTGCAGACGATGGTGAACCGACTGTGCCAATGTCATCTGCATCAGGGCAGCTTCTGTTGACACTAAAACACGGGCATCCTCTGTTCCCCAAATGATGCAACCAGTCTGACTTGCAATTCTGTTGTTGAGACTTGTGCTTTGAAAACCTCGACCGTTTGGGCACTACTTGATAGCACGTTACGCAGCTCAGCACATGAGCGAATCGCCCAGGCCGCCAACCTTTCATAATGGGGAGCAAAATTAGGCAGTATACTATCACCCTAACGAGCCTATACATCAAGTGGTGCACCAGGGTTTCGGCAAGTAGCTCAAACCACAAAGATGACCCCTGTCCTTAGACCCTAAATCCGCCCCCAAGGTGCCAGTGTAGGTGGCAGGATTGCAGCCCTCAGACCTCAGCCATCAGACTCAACGCACACTTACTTGCGCAGGTTGGGTTTGCACAGTCTGCTCTACGCCCTTGCCCCGGTGCGTTGCTTGTGTTGCTGAATGAGAGACCCCAGATGCACGTGCAAAGTGAGATTCAGCTTCGGGAGGGAGCCTGGACACGCCCTCATGCTTTCGCAAACGTGGCGAGTCTCGACCCTTGCCAATGTATCTCCAGGCGCAGATAATAGCAAGTGCTAGACCAGCCACAGCTCCCCAAGAACTTGCATTCTGCACATGACAAGATAGAACAGGGTTAGCAATCACCGACGTCCACCACGCAGGCAGCTGACATGCGCATAAAATGCAAAGAGCACCTCGAGCAAGGAATATTCAAGACTTGTTCAAGAACAGGCTTGTGAATTGACAGACAATCCTGTCGTGCAATTGGCTAGGAGCTTTTAAGCACAATCTCAACCACCGACCCTGTCAGCAAGGACTTCGCCGATAGTAGCCGGATGCCGGAGATTATTTGCGGACCACAACAAAAGGCGGAGCTCAAGCAGATTCACCTTGTTTTGGGAGAGTACTGCAAGGAGCTTAGAAACCCTGGCAGCTATTACGCCCCCTAGGTCTGCAAGAGCGTTTATCAGATCGTCCATTGACTCCAGATGAATTCAGAATTGCAGAATTTCGGAGCATGTACACGCTTGATGGCGCAGGATGGCGCAGGTTTGAAGAGTTGCTCAAACTTCCTAGGGACCTCAAGACCCCGCCAAAGTTACTTGCACTTCCAAACGCTCCAGGTCCTATTCTGTCCACTTTTCTGCAATCAGCCAAGTTTATCCAGCTCTTTGCAGTGGCACAATATCTACACTCTCAGATCAACAGAGTTTTAACCAGTTTCGAAGCACCACCTCCGCAGGACCAGAAGTCTGGACAACCCGACAGTCGCTCCCCCTTTTCTCCCAACGTGAAACTGATGAATCAAATCTTGTTGTGATTGATAGGGATGAATGACATGTACCTATGATCAAAGTAGCTGAAGCCACCCATGAAATCTGAAAGTCGGACACCCTGCTGCAGCCTCAGCCTTCAGGCCTTCAAGTTCTTCTGCGAACATTTGGCCGGTCTGCGGGTACGTACCAGGAGGGCCGTCGGCGTCAGGCGGCAGGCTCCGTACGACACAAACTGAAACAGACCCAAGCAGACCTTACGATGTGAATTCGAAAGCAGATCAACTCTTCGCGAGTACGCTATGTGGCAACTCCCGGAATTGTCTCGTGAGGGCTTCTAAGGTGCACACTGTAAAGCCCGGGGGATGGGTTGGTTTGATGGGTTTAGGGTGGCTTGGGGTACGGAGTGCGTATTAACATTGGGTTTAAGGGTTTTAAGCTGAAATGCCCGGGGCTTCTGAATCTTAGGAGGCAAGCCCCTCAGGAGACAAGGGAGCTGCCACCGTGGCCATGCACACCACGCCTCCTGTAGGCTGTGACAGAAGGCGTTTGAGACTACCTACCAAAACATATGGGAATGGTGCTGTAGGTACCGTACCTACTTACATGCTAGGTACGGTCGTCGGTATGTGTAGACCGTAGGTACCCGCGCTACGCGACAAAAATAGAGCAGCAAATCCGGGCCGGGATAATATCGTGATGAATGAGCAGGATCCCAGATCAAGTGGATTGAAATCGACGGCTCTACAGGTGTAACATGTGTATATTGCAAGATGTTAACGGAAAGGATTGCTCCAGAGTCCGAAGTGCCCCTTTCTCTTTTCCCGGCGGAAGTTTTGTCCGCCCCCACACCATCACGGTGCGGCACACGTTCTTGGAACGATGGTCTGCAGACCGTCCCCCTGGTCCTAGCCTGAATTGCCGGAGTCTCTCTCTGGACTGTACAGACTCCAAACTCGAGAATGTGATGCCATGATGACATAGTGGTCATACGCTCCGAATTTGATCGCAACCGTGGATGCTTTCAAGATGATCGATCGAACGAATAAAAAAATGAAACTCAAAAGGAGGAATCCTAACCGGAGACCTTGAACCTGCCCCTTTTTGCCGTCACAGATTTCAACCTTTTGTGTTAACCCGCTCGCTAACCGCAGCTGTGTCCAGTGCATATTCCCACTAAAACGACAGAGACCATCCGCTTCGATTGAAACGGGTACGGTATTGACTCTGTGTTCGGCACACTGCACAGGACAGGGCTGGGGGAGTGGTTCCGAGTCCAGTGCATGGCGGTGTCGCCTGCAGCTGCGGTAGACGGCCTCTGGACCTCATGCCAGGGCTGGAATCAACTTGCAAGTTCTGGGAGCAACGAAGTCGTTCCATGCGGGGCGTAGTACGCTGTGAAGCTGGTCGACTGGGTTGTGACGACATGTGTAGGGAAGGACGTTTGTGTTCATCAACAAGGTAGTTCATGATTACCGACTTGGCACCAGGTATGTGATGCCCCTGGTGCATCTATCTTATATGGGAATTTTGAGGCAGTAACACAATGGTAGTCCTTGCCAAAGACTTCTATCGAGTCGCAGCCCCCTCGACTTTGGCAGAAGTCCCGGGAAGAAAATGGTTGAGAGACAATGATGAACAACATCTGCAGCCGGCTTATGGCGGTTTCAACCACCGGGCGCGGCATGAAGTTGAAATGCAGGCAGAAGCTTTGGAGATCGAACCCAGGTAAGAGGTGCCATGGACACAACCATCTGTCCCTGCTGAAGAATATTTTTGGTGTCCATGGTTTACCGCATTAAATCACTTTCTTCTACCATGTATGGCATGCAATAACCCCAATTCGAATTGCAAATAGCCTGTTGCTTGTGAATAGCTGGGGACTTTAAGGTCTGGACACTAGTCATCTTTCCTCAGTTTGTTTGTGGTCAAGCTCAGGTGTACCTCTGCTCAAGCCTATGGGTACAAGTAGAGTGCCTGCAGCATTGCTCGTAAGCTTAATACATGTGCAGACATTTTTGTCAGAGTGGACAAAGAGTAACCTGGCTGGTTTTGATTGACTTTTTCTGGTGCAGGTGGGGCAAGCATGGTCAATCGAGGAGTTTGAACATTACTCCTCAGTTTGCGGATTCAAATAGCAGTGCCCCAAGCACTCCCCATGAAGAGGGCGGCAGCGAGGAGAATGCCGACATGGGTCAGGACGGCGACTGGCACGATGCGGAGGATGAGCTGGAGGGACCCAGCCCCAAGGCATGGAGGTCCAGCACGGTCAGTGTCCGTGGCCCATGTCAAAAGTGGCAGTGGCCTCAGATCCAGGGCTCTCCCAACATTGTCTGTGCAATTTGTTCAGTTCACACTTCTCGTCTTGCCTGCATCCTGGATCCTGGTGTCTACGAAGCCTGGCTTGTTGCATTTCAACGTAGTACTGGAGGCTTATCTTTTGTGCTGGAGGTGAGGTTGGCAGACATTAGACACAGTCTTACGATCTTAAATTTCCTTTTTTCTGCCCGGCAGGTATATGCCACTCAGGATGGTGCACTTGTGGGAGGCCGGGGGGAATTTTCTTTCCCTCAGAGCAGCGGGCATTCTGTTGCATCGGGATCAACGGAAGGGGAGGAGGTGCGGGATGCATTGCGGTGGCACTCTGAGTCTTCTGAGAGCACTGACTCCAAGTTCCTGAAGGGAGGCCCGCCCGAGGCAGCAGTGCAGGATGCAAACGAGAAAGTCAGAAAGTGGCGGGGGGAGCACCTCCCGGTGCCAAGTGAGGGGCAAGACACCTTGGGCGCTGCGGGGGGCTCCATTTTGGAGGACGATCCTCAGTCTGTTCTGGAGGTCGATGCTGAGCAGGCAGTTGAGGGGGAAAGCCGAGAGGACAACGCTGCGGAGGCAGTGCGCTGCACAGGCAGGGAGGAGGGGGGAAGTCCTGAGGCTGCATCTCTTCCAGGCAAGGGTTCTCAAGGCCTGGGGGAGGATGCACTGGAGAGCACGGGAGGGGAGGCAGAGGAAGCCGTGGAAGAGCTTCTACCGGATGGCGAAAGAGCGGGTCTGCCGGACTTGGATCGGCGAAGAAGTGCGGAGAGGCTTAGTAAGCCCTTCGGAAGTTTCATCGAGAGGCCGGTGCTGGTGGAAGAAATGGGGGAAAGAGACATGGAGGAACGGGTCAAGCACGAGAGAGGCAAGAAAGAAGCACGGTCAGTAAAAGATGGGGAGAGGGAGAGAAAGGATGCAAAGCTGGAGAAGAAGGCGAGCTGGAAGAAGAAGGCGTCGGCGCTGTTCCGTAGCGACACGATTCAGAGGATACGCAGTCACCGGCAGCAGGAGAAAGCTAAGGCGCAGCAGGAGAGTGTCGCTGAGGATGCAGCGGAAGGAGTGCCAGATCCAGGGCGGCCGGTCATTTTGGAACTGTCGGCAGACGGGCAAGTAGAGCTGGGCCCCGTGGAACCGGTGCAGATGGCAGAGCCGCCTCCTAAGGTTGGGGAAACCATAGGTGAGAAGGAAGGACTCCCCCCCCTGGCGGCAGAACCAGACAGCGCAGACGGACCCCAGGTCGGGGGCGTGACAATCAAAGTCAAGCATGTAAAGGTGCACCGCTCTGGGGAAGAGGACAAGAAGCCGCACCATGATCATGCGAGCGCGGTCAAATCTGAGGCGCCCTTGGTCGAGGAGCAGGGACGGCCCGCCCCAAAAGCAGGGTTTGATTTTGAGAAGCGGTCGCGGTCTGTGGAGCGGAGTCTGCGGAGCAAGTATGCTACGGGAGAGGCTTTTCCCCGGCGGGCGAGCAGCCGCGAGCGGACGCCAGAGAAAGTTCATCGGGGCAGCAGGCGGCATCACCGAGGGGAGGAGGACCCTTTCAAGAGCCCGCACTTGCGGTATGAGCGGGCAAACGGGGGGGCTGATGTGAGTAGGAGCACGGGGGAGACCGACTTGCGGCAGGTGCGAGCGAACGGGCTTGTAAAAGAGGATAGCGTGGACTTCCAAGCAATCATCCGCACGCAGCGGGCGGCCTGGGAGAGGGAGAGGGAGAAGTGGCGCGCAGAGATTGCGGGGCTGCAGGCGCAGCTGGAGCAGGTAAAAGCGGATGGTGCGGGGAGGCAAAATGCATCCGACGGAACAGGGGATGGTCTGGCTGCGCCGGAGCAGTCAGATTCACCACGGATTCATTCCTTTTCCAGCCCAAAAGTCAACGGGATTGAACAGTCCGTTGATTCAGCCACCTCATCCGAGCTGCCTGCTCGCTCAAGGGGCAGCCTGGGGAGGTCCGCTGAGGGCCTGCGCGTCTCAGGGGGTTCATTGCACAGCCAGACAGACCCCCTGAGGAGGAGCACGGAAGCGCAAACAGCCGATCACATGCGTCGCTCGGCTGACCTGCCCCCTTTGGTGGCGTCCACAGAGAGCAGCTCTCTCGCCAGGGGGGTGGAGGCTCTGCAAAGGTCTGTGAGCGAGCAGTTTAGCCGGCGGTCAACGGACAAGCTGCGGGGGCTGTCGGAGCCGCTGAGGAAGTCCAGCGATGGGGAGGAGAGCAGCAGCGTGGTGCTGACTGTAGAGAAGGCGGTTCAGACTGGGCCCGTGGAGGGCGGGGAGGCGTCGTACCTGGCAGAGGAGAACGAGCGCCTGAGGGCGGAGGTTGCAAGGCTGAGGGACGAGAACAGCGCTGTCTCGCGGCAGATGGAAGCCAAAAAGTTCAATTCTTATGGTGAGCGGGATAGCTGCGCATCACATTCAGGGGGAAGATTGGAAGCTCATGGCACAGTCCGTTGTTTCCAGGAGGTGATGAGGCTGCGATTGTCCACTCTTTCTAATCCCTGTGTTCTTGTGATCATCCGCTTCTGTTCTCTGCATTTACGCTGGCAGCCCTTGTCCCTCTTGTGTGCTCTAAGGCCACCAGAGGGTCAGCGTTGTATAGGGGATCTGAAGAGGACCTGAAAGAAATACAGGACAGAGTCTGAATGGCATCCTAAAGGACCAAACGCTTGGACTGGGGGCGCCAACTGACTTGTGAGCTTGCTTTAGATAATTGTAAGAGGGTCAGCTATGAGAAGACCCATGCGGGCAGCTTGTGGAACGCACTCACTTTCTTCCCCTTCTGCAGGCAACGCGGCCTTCAACGGTCAGAAATACGACGAAGCTGTGCAACACTACTCTCTCGCGTTAGACGCTAGAGCGAACGACGTCGAGTTCAACGCAGTCCTCTACTGCAATCGAGCAACGGTGCAATCGGCACTGGCCAAGTGAGGAAGGCACCGTTGCTGCATATTGCTGGACGACAGGGCAGGATGACGCATTAGCTGGCCCCTTCTTGCTTTGCAGTAGGGCACTATGCATCCCAGTGCATACGAGTGCAAAGATGTGGAAGATAGCATCACGATGACGAAACGAAGTTTACACATTCTTGCTCAATGTCAAAGCCACTTGCAGGAGGTCAATGGGAAGTCGCCCTATCGTTGCTGCTATTCGCTTCTTATGCGAAGCGTCTTCCAGAACCTGAAGGATTGCAAGCAAGCCTTTTGAAGCCTCTTCCAGAATCTGAAAGACTGCAAGCAAGCCTTTTAACTGCATATTTTGAGCTCACTGATTCCTTGATCCAAGGGCTATAGAAAGCTTCAGAGCAGATCCTCTCCTCCTCTATTTTCAAGAGATGGTTGTGAACAACAGAACAGTGCACCTGAGTTGATTGAGTTGTGCTTGCAGGCACATGGACGCGCTGTCCGACTGCTTGGCTGCACTGGAGACAGACCCCCGCTACACGCGGGCCTACATGAAGAAAGCGGACGTCCTGACTGCAGTGGGCGACTATGAGGGGTATGTTGCTACTCATTGTTCTTGTTATCTATCCTGTTATCTATCCCCGCAAGACGAAGTGTTATCTGCAACAAGTTGTTGAGTGTCGTCAAACTGTGCATTGTGGCAATGACCTCATGTGGCCGCGTCCAAGTGCAGGTCGTAATGTAGCCCCAGGCGGACTTTGACAGACGACAAGCAGGCTCGTAGACCAAGCCTTTGACAAGCTCCTCTTATCCCTTGAGTCCTGTTTTCTCCCTGGTGATCGCTGACAACCGGTTTGTATGCTTATTGAAGCCACCTTCAGGCTCTCGAGCAATATGATGTACGTGTTTGGGGGTTGATGGAGCTCAGCTTATGCCACTTCGTGCAGTGAAGCCAGGCGCCCTACCTTTTTGAATAACCAATCACCCTGTTAAACCTCGGTACCTCGCAGGGCTTTGGAGGACCTGAGCAAGCTGGAGCCCAGCGACGAGGTTGCGGGCCGTGTGAAGGACCTGCGGCGGCGGATGAAGCGCGCGGTGGCGCCCATGGACTACTATGCGGTGCTGGGCGTGGCCGCCAGCAGCAGCATGGCGGACATCAAGGCCGCGTACCGCAAGCTGGCCATGCGCTACCACCCCGACCGCCCCGGGTGCAACCAGGGCGTCATCTTTCAGTACATCTCGCAGGCAAGTTCGCCACACCACAGGGCTTTTTCCTGCTTCGTTTTCAGGGAGCGATTCGTTGTACGGTCACAGCAAGTAACAATTGGTGCAACTCATTCCGCCAAGGTGCTGCCGGACTTACTCTTCACACTGTGCTTCGATCTTATATCTCGACGTACGAGCGATGTCAATACTTACACTCCCCCTAAGAGGGTGCGGCAGGGCTCCACAAGTGTTCCGTACATGCCTTCTGGAAAGCTTGTCAACGGTCTTTCTGGAAGCACTGTGGCTTCACCGTTTGCAGCCTGCAGAAGCTTGCAATTGTGGAGCTTCGACTGTTAGCAGCATTGGGATTGCCGACTTATAAGTCCATATCGGAAAGTGGACCTCGCAACCATGCGAAGCTTGATGCAAAACATGTTTGTAAAGAACACGGCATTGGATTATGCAGGCATATCAGATTCTCTCTGATGCTGAAGCAAGGCTTCGATTCGACCAATTGCTGGAGAAAAGTGGGGGACCTTCGCGGAAGTGATCATGGCGTCAAGAAGTGAGTGAAGGATTGAAAGCAAGAGCGAATGTAGATTATCATAACCCATTGTATCCGTATTTATTCGCTGTAGACGCGTAGTGGTCTGATGGTCAAGATGTGTTGCTCCTAGTAGGTGGGTAACTCCTGGTGAAATCTATGTAGGAACATTGGTTTCATTTGACCAGTGCTTTGTTGCTTAATGTGACCGCTGGTCACTGTAAGAGGTGTAGAAAGTTTTGAGGGTGTGTAGACCCCCATCTTTGAATATCCTCGATCGTAACTATAGGCTAGAACTCGTTTCGCTTTACAAGCTGCTGTTTGTTGTTAGAGTTCGGAATTCTTGGCTAAGTAAGAGAATTATAGTACCCCAACTTGCAAGGGCAAAAACAAGGTTTTCCAACATCTTGAGATGTTGTGATGGGCATTGGCATGCGACCATGCGTTGGGTACGTTGGCCAACACATAACATGGTTTCCCCCACAGCCTTACATTTCTGAAGCAAAGTATTATTGTTCCAACCCGCTCATTGAGCTTTGCTAAAATCTAGTAGGCCACCGTGGGCTTCTCATCAAATCACAGGTGTGATACACCTCCACGTGTATATGCGTAGGTATGTGCATCCATATTGAGCTCTGACACAATGTCTCTAAGGACTGATAGTATACGCGATAAGAAGCCCTTAAAACAAGGTAAGTTGGTGCATATCTGGACGGTATCTATCGATCACATGGTGCATGGAGCTAGACGTACGTACGATGATGCACACCAGAATTACAATGCATGCGAGTTGTGTCCTGAAGAAGAGCAAATTTAGCTGGCCAGTGTGTGCGCGGCTAGAAACATTGTTCGAGATGTTGTCGCCTTTTTACAACTAATATCATGCACACAATGATATAGGATTTTCTGCGTTCAATGTCCTTTAGGCACCATATCATGAGCAAAGATAGAGACCTTCGCGGCAAATGTATGCCCATTGAGAAGCCTATGGCCCTACTAGAAAAGAGACCATGATAGAATATGGATACCTCCATGTGAAAGATGCCGTAGCCACCAGACTCCAGAGTTCAGAAACTTCAGACTGGAGGTCGCATGGTGGGGTTTCGCCTTTCCAAAGATGGTCTGCCAGCCAGGCAAGAGGCACATTGTAGCCGAACTTTTTCCGAACTGATGAAACGTCGGCGCAAGCGGTAGGTACCGCTGGAGTCTTTGCAGGCTCAACGCGATAGAAGGTACCACACTCCACGGTACGTATATTCCCCGAGGCAATTCAGCTCCCGGGAATGCCAACAAACACTAAACCTAAGCTACACTGAGGCGAGACCGTTAAACCCACACCCTAAGGCGTTCCGCCGGCAAGCTACCCCCACCCACCCTAACCCCCCGACCTAACCCCACCAAAGTCACTCGGTTGCTACGATTGCTGGTGGCTCAGGCGTCGACATTCATACGGTTCGGAAAAAGTTCGGCTACTTTGTCCATTTTGCGCCAGGGCCCCCGAATGATACGCAATTTTCTGCATGCATCTCAACTTGCATGCAAACCGTGACCAACCTCTGGGGTGGTGCAGTGCATAGAATATGGAAAATGTGCCACAATACATTTTCACGTAGGTATAGGACCGATACCGGTACACTCGGACTCCGCCATCGGGCATATCTCGCGTATGCCCTCCCCCTCGGTCAATAAGAAATACTTACCCCCGGGGGCCGGCAGGGGCCGCCATGCCGGCCCTGGGCCCTCGAACGGCGAACCCGAGTGGTCGGGCACAGGCTACCAGTATCTGACTAGAGCCCCCGGGTCAGCCCAGTCGTACGTACCGGTATGTGATTGCGGGTATAGGTATTGGGTACCGGCGGCCTATTACAATTTTCTCAAATTCTTGGCGCTATGCCGACGAGTTCTTTCCACCCCGCACAAGGGGTAGGTGCCACATGGCATGAGACTATTCGCCGAGGCGGGATACGGCCCAACGGCTACTTGGTTGACGGTATGTTGACTCTGAAGTCTGGGAGACTGGATCGAACAACTTCGACATGGTCATGGTCCATGGTCGTCGCGAGTCCAAGACTGTACTAGTGTCACGGTTCGCATTAGCTAGGCTGGCATCACCCCCGGTGCACGTGCACATGTAATTTGTAAACACCATGGCTGCTTTCCAGGAGCTTCCACTTCTCGCACAACACTACCTACCTAGCTGCCCCGACTCTTTTGCGAAGCGAATGCAGATCATGTACCCATCCTTCAGCACCAAAGCGCACGTTCTGCATTCTTCAACAGGGTAGGCGGTTGCATGAGCATTGAGGCCCTCCTCCGGAAGAGCGAGCTGTGGGGGCTATCAGTCAGGTTGCCTGTCAGAGAGAATCCAGGAAGGCCCAGTGCTGCTCTCAGGAGCTTGCCAGCTTCTAGTGCATCTACTTGGCTAACTTACTTTTGCGAAGGTGTTTGAGAAACGTGTTGGGGAGTGGCTTCAGCAAGCAACGAGTGAGCTCAGCGTTGTTGTGCTGAGGAGAGGAGTTGTGCGAGCTTGAGCACTATGGGGCACTCATCCAGAGGGTGGGGGGCAGCTCTGCTGGGGTTGCTGGCAGTGGTGCAGGTGAGTGGGGCTCGTTGGAGCTGAGGAGTGCCCTTGGGAGTCTGCCACAAATGTTGATAAACCAGGGAGACACCACCACAAAGAAATGGCCGAAGTACTTGCTGGTCATATTCCACCCCCTTCTGCACAGCTTGTCTTTTCCAGGTGGCACACGAGACCTTCCTGATATCAACCTCAAAGCTGTCTATTGTTCCTTACTCAGTAGGCTTGTCTATTGTACCATGTTTTGATATAAAGGGGTTTAAGGCTGTCCCAAGTTTTAATTTTCCCACTAACTTGCAAGTGTGCCAATCTCTTTCTTTGCTTACTTCAACTCCTCCTTCACTACTTCAACTCCTCCCTCTACTGCCAAAACGGCTGGTTTGCAGATTCCTTTTTCAGCTAGTGTTTGAACCTAATCAGCTCGAAGCCTGTGCCTATCTTGACCCCCCTCAACTGATCCAGAGCGAGGACAAGGCTGGCTGGGGGTGTTTGCTCCATAAGTCGTCTTGAAAGCATGCCACTGGAGATTTGATGTCCGGATAGCACTTGGGATTGCTTTCATCCTGACCAGGTCACATCAGGAGTACCCCCCCAGCAGGGCCAGTGCCCTCACCCTCCCTGCCCCCCTTCCAGCCTGGAGTGTGCCCCAAACGTTGCCTTTGTGCCTCCTTGTGCAGATTGTAAGTATAAGCGCGCAGACCCTGAGCACAGGCAGTCTGTCTGTCTCCTGGGACGTGGTCAAGTCTAGCATAAAAGAGTACACAGTGGTCGTGAGGTTAAGGAACAACCAGCTGATTAACCCGGTTCCTGCGCCGGGGTGGGCACTGAGCTGGACGTGGCAGCAGAATGAGATGGTGGAGACTGTGGATGGGGCACAAGTGTTGAACCTCGCAGGTGAGGGCCGCTGGTCCTGTGCATGCTGGCAGGGGTTTGAAAAGGCGCAGGCTTGCAATGTGCTTTCAGGGGATGCGCGCACAGGCCTGATCAAGTGCAGGTCTCTTGACGAATTTTTTTCAATCCTGTACCACTGTCTAGAGACATACTATACTGTTCCTGGGTAGTAGAAAAATGGGGTAGGGGAGGGGGGCGGAATGGGCAATTCTTATGACCAGCTCTTCCAATGTTCGCTGGAGGATTGTTCCTGTCTCCAAGAATTGGTTTCAGACTGCCCTCTTTACTCAAGAAGAATTTGTGGAGTTTCCATCGACTTTAGACTTGATGAGGTCCGTTTGAGCATGTTCTGTTGGTCAAGACTCCTCGTTCCCCTCGTGCAGATTGCAGCGGCACATCTGCAGCGGATGACTTCCCGGACAAGGTGTGGTACGCAGTCACGTGCGCAGCGCGCCCCATTTTTGTGAGCACATACAATCAGGGGTACCTGCCGGCAGCGTCGGTTGACAACGTCAACAACACGGCGCAATTCACAATTGTGTTGGTAAGTTACACCAGCTCTGGGGCCTCTGCTAGAATCAGGTGCACCTATGAAGGACTCTGTCTTCTGCAAGGCGTGAGATCAGTACAATTTAACTTTCATGACCGGATTATCACCCCCTATCAAGCACCTTCCTTATTCATTTTTCCAGAGCACAATCCTTCTGGCAAAATTGGCCAGCCACATCTCATTGGCAGTCCTCTACATCCCTGTTTCACATTTTTGCCACTACCTTTGACGTTTCCATTTCCATCTTGCCAGGGCAAGGGCTCTGACTACTGGGGCGTGGGTAACTTGACTCTTCCCTCCGACTTTGACATCGGCCTCCCCGGGTATCAGTGCACGCTGCCCGCCCCGGTGGCAGCCGGCCGCAGCGTGCCTGTGTCCATTGGGGGCAGGCAGTATTACACTGCCATCAGGTCGTACGACTTCACGTGCTTTCTCTCACCGCAGTTTGTGGCCAAGCCCACCTGCTGTGTCTCCTTCTCAGGTGAGCCCAAGTGGAAATCATTCGGAACAATACTAGCACAAGTTGTGGGCTGCGGCAAAATGCTCAAATGCTACCTGTGGCGAGACAATCCGGAATCCTGAGCCAGTCGTGGTTCTTGCTTGTAAATGCGTTTACTTCATAGCACATGCACGCCAACGAGGTCAAAGACCAGAGGGGGTTGTGTTCACTCCGAAGGTTACTTCGAAGTCACTCTTAATCCATTTTGAGGCCCTTGAAATATAGGTTTCAAGGCTTCAATCTGCATTAAGTCCTTGCCAAAGTCTGTTGCAATGGAAAAGCGGCAGCCTTCAGCTTGTATCTTCTGGTACCGTTTTTCATTTTCGAAGCTCGTTGAGCTGCTTCAATCCAATGCACTCTGTACAAAGCACATTTGTCCAACAACGTGTGCCCCAACTTCACAAGGACAGAAAGGAGGAGGATCAATCATGCTTTGAAAAGCGTATTTTCTAGATACTCACGCTTTTATTGCTACGAAGTGCGGTTGGTTTGTCGCAGTGACAAAGTAAAGAAGACGTCCATTGGTCTCAACCTTATTGCTCGCCTGCCACAAAAGAGAGGCTGGTCGACGGTTTCTGCGTCTTTCCCGCTTTTCTATGTCCCCTTCGGGAGGCGTCCATCTTTTGACCCTCCTTTTCTTCTTTTGACGCGCTTCTTCTTCTTCTGCAGGTTTTTTCAACAACACCGTTGCAACATGCCCCGCCTGTGCCTGCGGCTGCAATGCCACTCTTGGCTCCAATGCCACTCTTGGCTCCAATGCAACCGCGTGTGCCTCCCGCCAGTCGGGGCCCAACGCTGCCACGCAGCTGCTGTTCGGCCCTGCCGTTCCTACCACGTCCTCACAGCAAATCAGCTCCAAGGTGAGGGGAAACACAAACGCAAACAGTATGCTGCTCTGTTTCATGTGAATGAAATGCAATGTGACATGTCCAACATCTTGCAGCCCCGTTTGATTTTCAATAAGCTCGATTGAGCTTTGTCTACTTCGTCAAGCTTGGACTGGCTTGTCGTGGTTCGACCCCTCCATCCCGTCAGTGTCAAAGCAGAAGCATCGCTTGGATCAAGACCTGATCGACCTTTCTGTGTCGATTAGAAGAGGTATAGCCTTTTTTGAAGCCGGTGTCACTCGCTATTACTTTCCACTTCCTCTTCGTGCTGGAGTCAAATCTCGCTTCGAACCGAGATAACTGCACCCCGTTGGCACAGAACGCATCTGTGCTCGTTTCTGTGAATTCCGGTCCGTTTCGCAGACTAACCCCCTTTTTCTTCCGTGTGCAGCAAACCCTGGATACTGCCCCGCGGCCGTGCAGCAGCGGGTGCATGACGGACATCCACTTTGCGGTGAGCCAGGAGTTTGGCGGGGGGTGGCAGGTGCAGGTGGCGATTGCCAACACGCGCGCCACGCCCATCGCGGACTGGCTGCTCGCCATGGACCTGCCGCTCGCCAATTACCTGGAGGCCGTATACACCGTGCAGCACGACGCCGCGCGTCAGCTGCGTGAGTGCCTGCCGCCTGCCTCCACCGAAACTCCTCTGGATCGGAGGCTTCGTTGTCGTGAATATTCAGGCAGAAGCTAGCCGCAGATGGGGGACACAAAGCCCTGGCGTCTAGGGACTGCGGCTGCATATCTGTGAAAGAGTTGGGATCGCTTTGGTGCTGATGGTCGAGAGGAAACGAAACGCTTAGTGTGCACTTCGAAAGTTGGACTGCCATTTTTTTGCCGCCGTCCGCCAGTGCCCAAGTCTCAGACTCATTGCCCCGGTCAGTCAGCCGTTGTCATCCATGCGCTTTCTGAAAGATTGCACTTGTTTGCAATCATGAAGGAGCAACGAATACGCAGTGTTACGGGTTACTCAACTGCCCATTTCTTGCTTAATGTCTCTAGTCCCTGGCACCGCAGCGGCTGCTCGCGCATTGCTCTCACTCCGCTTCTTTCTCTCGCCTGCAGCCAACTTCGCCATCTTCTCGGGCCAGCCGTACTACAATGACGTCATCCCGTCCGCACCCGGCAACGTGCAGTGGATCATGAATTTCAACAAGACGGCCGTGGCCCCCGCGACGGGTCCCAAGATCAAGATCATCGACCAGAACGCTTTCCCGACGGCCGTCTACTTCATGGGCCAGCAGTGCGCGCTTCCACCGTTTGACGCCATCCCGAGCAACATGTTGGGGCAGACCTCAGGAGCGGCCAGCGGGCGCCGGATAAGCGCCGCACTGGTGATCGCGGCCTTGGTAGCGCTTTCGACAGTGCTGTTGTAATATGGAGCTGACGTCACGACGCTAACCACTACCACCTCAGCCGAAAAGGGGTTTGGGCAGGGACTCGGCGATACTACTGACACAGTGCAACCCTTTTCCGGTGCACAGGCGGGACTAAGTTAGGATGTATCCGGTGGAGGAGCTTCGCTTACCACGTGCCTTGCTGTTTCTGTATACCGTTGCGTGTCGCCCACAACGTGAGAAGGTATGGTGGGCGGCTGGGGAGGAGTGAATCAGAGTCTATCAAAGTATTCTTTGTAGTTAGTAGCATATAGGAAAGGTTGTCGGGTTGATGCTTGATCCATTCTCAGGACCACGCCACTCGCAGAACGTTCTGACCATCGACATAGAGGTACGGTAGCACATGGAGACGTGGGGCTTGTGATCAAGCAGGTAACTGAACATGCGAGGACACGTAGTAGGCTATAGATGGATGATGCATGTAAATTATACTTTTGAATCTGATGTTTGGTGTCCAAAGCAGGGTGCATGGGCCATCGCTTGAGGATCAGGACTTCATTCGATTAGAGATCGTACCTATAATTGCGAGCTCTTCTCCATGCATGCTAGCACATGTACGGCGCCGGCATGGGGCCGGCTATATCTGTATGAGTCCATCTTGAAGGTCGAAGTTTTCCGATTTCGAGCTAGCTATAACTATTTATATGCAACCTGTAATCTGCCGGAGCGCGCACTGCAGGCCCTCTTGGCGCGGCCGGATGCAACGTATATACAAGCTCTCAATACCTATCTTAGTATCAATTGCGATCCCCCTTGTACAGCCATATGGAACTGATGCACCTGGGGTCATGATCTGCTGGATCGTCGTGCACTCGGGGTTCTGCTGGAGTTGGAGAATTCACGGTCGGCCCATGATCGCGTCCACATCGTTAATTGCATATACAAGCAGATCGACTTTATGGAGTCATGCATGCATACAAGCAGATCGACTTCATGTTGCGTACAGGATTTCTAGCTTGCACTAAGGTGCGAGTACGCGATCATGGTTATGATATATGGTGTTTAATTAATTCCTAGCTCTGTCACAATGCAATGTGCAGCTGCCTAGCTAAGCCTGCAGTGCGCGGCAAACTGTTCTCCGATTAGTATGATCGACATGGTGGCCGCCACCACGCCGGGCGGCATGCACCAGGGCAGTCACTATGGGCATATATGGACCAGCACGTCTAGAAAACGCTTTCTAGCGCCACTGCACCATGCGCACTTGTAGCGAGTTACTAAGTAGCCAATCCATGCACTGTTGTGCAAATAACAACAGGCAGCAGTGACTCGCACATGGACTCTCGTGGGCGTCCAACTGAGTACATGGCTCTTCGAAGTACAAACAATAGGAGCGGGTTCACACACGAGAAGTAACCATCATACGAGTTATCGACAAGCAGCCAAAAAAATCTCAACGAGTAAGCCTCGAGATTCCGCAGGGACCCCGGCGAGCCCCAGTGTTCGGCCCGCCCCGTAACCATATAACGCATAAATCACTCTTTGTTGGGCAGCCGTCTTGCGACTAGATCAAGTGATCGCCACCGGAGGCCTGGTCACGGCACGAAGTAGCTCCGATTCACACGTTATCAAGATCAGCTGCGGTGAAAGCTGACGTGCCACTGTATCTGACTTCATAGCGCGTCAGTAACACTAAAGGCTCTTGAGCTCGCACACGCAATGGTGGTTCATTCTTTAACGGGCTGTGAACGGGTCGGCTCTGGGTGTCCAGCAGACCGCAATGCGAGTCGGATACCTTTGAAGAGACTCCTGTCCGAACACCTATAGATTGCCTGAAGCTGAGCCTTGAAGACCAAACGTTTGAAGATTGTGCACATGCTTTTAGCGGAGGTATTTCCATCATTCCCGTCAACAGAAGTTGCGGGCTTCTTTCTGACGTACACGATCTCCGGCCAACGGAATTGAGCTTCGAGTGGGCCCGTTGTGCGCCCTTCAGTGGACTGGTGTCACCGGGCTGGCCCTCTCTGCCGCAGGCTGACGCTCGGCCACCGGGGGGGTCCCCTGCGCGGTGGGGTCGTCCCCTTCTCTGCTCTGCAGCAGAAACAGGGCGCCTGCTGTCAAGGCGCCGACGCCGGTGGGCAAGGCGTCCGGACAATCCCGTCTCATGCGCTTGCCGGCGGCGCGCGCTAACCATTGGACGGAAAAACGGAATCTTAAGAGTCGGCGAGACAGCAAAGCCGTCCAGATCAAGTAGAGAGCAGCGGGCAGGCGTCATTCCGTGGACATTGAAAGAACGAAACGGTGAGCGTATGTAATGGTGGGCGGTTGAGCTCACCGCGGCCCGCTTCCTGCTCTCGTCGAAGTACTGGTTGGGGTGGTTGATGCCCGACTCGCACGGCGCGCCGTGCACGCCCTCGAACGTCGCCGCGCACGCCAACTGCGATCACAGCGCCCACAACCCAGTCACCACACCGGTCGCCAGTATGAAAATTGAGCTCGGGCGGAGCGAATGATCTATGATAACGGCGAAAGCACAGGGGCGTTCTCGAAGGCTGCCAGGTGATCGTTTGCTGAGGCTCATAAGTGTCAAGATGCTTGAAAGACGAATGGATACAAGCAAGTTGACTGGCCACTCAAATTGATGGGTGCGTACCTGGTAGTGGTGATTCTTCACTTTGGTCATGACGTCATCGATCGTTTTCCGGTTTAGCCGCATCCGCCCCAGCGCGGCCGAGAGGTTGTCCTGGCTGCAGACATCAAACGAACAGTCAGAATGGCAAACAGACCTGAAAGTCAGTTTATGCAAGACCAGCAGACTAGATTAGTTCCTCCGCGTGTCCGCCCCGCCCTGCCTGCCAGCGCCACGGCAAATACTGGCGGCTTTTTACTTAGCGGACAAACTTCACGTTCTTCTGTACTGCGGTGTTTTTGGTGTTTTAACCGGGTTGGCAAACGGCAGTCACTAGACAGAACAGGAGCGGGGAAGACTATTCCGCGAGCACAGTCCTATGGACTGCCCCCCAAGTGGTGCGCGGCGCACCTGAAGTGGCGGTACGGGCAGCCGTGGTGGTCGCCCACTCCGGGCGTGGAGCTGATGATCTTGATGCAGCTGTACGGCGTGTAGTCCTGCACCACGCGCGCGCACGACACCTTAGCGACAAGGCGGGCATGATGCGAACGCGCTAGCCCAGGGCGGGACCACGCCAGAACCAAGTCCCTTTTTCGAGCTTGCCAAAGCTTCCTCCAAAACTAGCAGTTGGTAGGCTCATCAAGTACTCTATTCGACCATTTCGGGGAATTTGCACATGACTGTCGATTTAAAGAATCGGCCTGTACACATGAGCAGGCTTCAGTTCATGTTGCAAAGAAAACGAGCTGTTCGCTTGAGGGTCCAGAAGCAAGCGACTTCGTCTCTGGCCTCAGGTAGAAGACCTGATAAACCTGTAGCACAATAGCCACCGCAGAGCGGGTCGATCCTCCTCCACCGGAGACAAGGCGGCGAAACCTGCCCGGCTGCCGTCAGCTCACCGTGCGCTTGCCCTCCTTGCCGTAGTTGTGCCGCACGTTGTAGGCGTACTCCTTGTCGAACTTGTCCACGCCGAACTGCGGCGCACAGCGGCACAGCCGGTCAGCCGGGAACGGGAAGAGAGAGAGCGGCCAGGCGGAGGCAGGGAAGCCGTGGTGGGCAGGCAGAACAAGAAGGGGTCGAGACAAAAGACATGTCGAGAAGGAGGGAGGAAGGCAAGGCGGCTCTACACAACGGTCGAAAGATACAGGCCAGATCCCGAGCAGTTTGAAGACAAGGAAGGCAAGTGCCCTTACCTTCTGTGCAAACTCGGTCCTCCAGAAGGTGAGAGCGTCCTCTAGAGTCAAACCGATGCCCTGTGAGACATGGAACAGCGCACCGTCATACCACCGCAGAGTCGGACGATCGTCCTCCACGTTTCTACCACTGGTTTCGCTCATGGACAATGTATCTGCCGCGCAGCCACTGCGTTGCATGTGCTTCAATTACAGACACAGAATCGTAGCTCCGAAAACGTTACGGTTAACTCAATCATGCGAAGTGCTTCCGAATCCAGATAAAGAAGTCGGATCTCGTCGCAACACCGCTGCTGCATATGTAGTCCAAGCCTGGTGCGATGAGGCAGCCAGACGACCGCATCTTGCTTTAAAAGCCTGTGGCTCTGCATATCCAGAGGCAGGCAGAGTTGCGTGGCGCTGACCTTGAGGAAGAGGCCGAGCTGCTGCCGTCCCCCGTGCTTGAGGTGGTGGTCGTCGCGCACTTTGTGCAGCAGGTGCTGCATACACAGCGGGAACGACGCGGCCGCGAGCGCGTCCACGTCGGCCACGCGCACGCCTGCCTTGGTGGACGGCGTCGAGTAGTCGGGGCCCAGGTACCGGGACGACAACGCCTCCACCACCTGGCAGCGCGGGAAAGGGGGTGAGCCGGGGTGGGGCAACAGCAGGTACTCATTAAGCGGTTGTCTGGCTAGTTCTATAGCAAGTATTCAAGAAACACAATTCAAACAGCCACATCCGGGGAGAACTTTGGTTCGAGAACTCAGCGGACCTCTTCCTGAGTAGGTTCTTTGTTGTTGGCGGACTGAGTTCACTGACGAGCTCCGGCTTACGGGTAGCCAGGGATTCTGAGGGCAGCAGCCCGCATGAATTCCGATTGATACAGAACAAACTTTCTCACGAGTGCCCGGCCACAAAGAGCGGCTGTTGACGTAGCTCTATATGGCAACTCACTGAACCCCTCTGAGCACGGCGCCAGACAAGATTGACGATCGAGGATTCTTACCGGAGTAAGCCGATCCTTTTCTTGCGCTTCGATCTTGGCGTTCCATTGACTGCAACGAGCCCAACAAGGACATTTCAGGTCTGATAGGACAGTGCCCCTGCGGCAGATTCGCTGATCCAGCTTTGGTTTCGCTGACGGATGGGACGTTAACAACTCTCGAGCTTCAGCCCTTCCCGGAAGCATCGACCTAATGTGTCGAGTTTGCGTCAGTCATCGGCAGTCCGACGCCGGCTGCAGCGGTCGAATCAGCAACATCGACTTGACGGCCGGTCACGAGCCTCCACGTCATCTGGAAATGGTGCTATGGGCGGCTTCGGAAGGAGCACTTGCCTGCGCGTCAGCGTGAGGGACTTGGACAGCCGGGTGCGGAAGTGACCCACCACCAGCGCAGCCAGCTGCACACAGGAAAGCGTTGTGTAGTCGGAAGGAGATTGCGTTGGAATTGTCTATGGTCCTTCGCCCTTCTTTGCACGCACCAGTGTTCGAACCCAGGGAGCCTGTCAGCTCGAAGAAGAAACCCAAAACGCCGATCTGAGAGACTGGTTTTTCGTCACAATGCAAGCCAAAAGTGGAACACTTTGTAACTTCAACAGCAGGCCCAACCAGGCTCGATCGGTTTTGACCGACAAGGGAATGAGTATAAGTGAGCCTTTGTTTGAAAAACGACGACCATCCTAAAGCACGGCCGTACCTGGTCGCGTGGCACGTAGGCCCAGCCTTTGCTGAGCAGGACTTTGCGTCCGGCCACCAGCTCAGGGACGTCCTCAAAAGGCACCTTGTAGTACACGCTCTCAGCTGCACAAAGACGTACTTCCAAGAATGTTGTACTGGCAAGGTCACTCTCCCAACACCCTTCCAGAAGGTCGACTTTTCAGATTACAAAGCCAAGGAGAACAGCTACTCAGTCGAGGTGCTGCAACAGCCTTCAGCCAAGTGACACTTCCTCTTTCAGGCACGGGGCTAGACTATGCGTGGTGCCCCCTTCCAGCAGCTTAGTGGACTTCCAACGAGAAGCCGGTCATCCACCTGATGAAGATAGATCAAACGTACCTGTTGCCCCGGCCCCCGCTACTGAACGAGCCACCTGCAGCAGCTTGTCCTTGTGCGCCTGCATGGCAAGGGCAAGCAGCTTCGAATCTGCCGTCGTTGCTGGCAACACGGACTTGAACTGTGACTAAGGCGGGCTCTATTGGACCTAACCTTCCACCCCAGGACCTCGGAACCATAGCTATCCTTCCAAAGCAAGCATAACCGGTGAATGCTCAAGAAGGAGTCGGCTCTGTATGAGGGTGTTTAATGTGTTGACGGACAGATGCGCGGTCCATTTCCGAAGCAGCTCCCAATGATCCACCATGCCCTGGCTTTTCTGCCTGTCGTTCATGATGTTGCCGCCCTGCCAGAGGTAGTCTACCCAGAAACGGCTGTTTCGTGGCTCACCTCCAGCTCTGCATTGGCCACTGGGTTGTAGGGCAGGCCGCTCTCAGTGAGGAAGCGGCGCTGCGCATCGGGGCTCTCCATCCGGAAGCGGTACCGGAAGAGAGCGCTCTCCTGGCTCAGCAGCCACTTGCGCAGGTCCTCTCTGGAAACGTGACGGGCATTGTTCAAACACGCAAAAACATCACACAAAGAAGACATTCTCATGAGATGAGGGGACTCTGACCAACCCAAGGAGCAAGACCGCAAAAAGATCACTTGCAAGAGCGCACCGCTGTATCAGTGGTATCCAACAACCAGACCAACTGATTCACATTTTGTGACTTAGCGAGGTACATGGCAAAAAGGACTTTGCTTCTTGCAGATGTGGTGAGAGCAACGAGGGCCTCACGTTCGACAATACGCTAGCCGCAACACATAGTGTGAGATGATGTCCTTCCGGGTAGTCTCTGCAGCGTCGCCCATGCGCATGTGCTTCCTCCAAAGATCATTCACCTGCACGTCACAGCAGATTGACATTATTGACACAGATGCTCCTGCTTTCCTTCTTTTCGCCTCTTCTCTTTTTCTCTCTGCGCACAATTGCCAAGAATCTGACATTCCACCTCTTTCCTTGGAAGACCCAAGTTTGTCTACTTCAACCTGTTCACACTCATGCATGGTGGGCATTTTCAGTGGCCACCAGAGCACTTCCGTGTGGGTTTCTGAAAGTGGAGGTGCTCACCACTGACTCAAGTTCGTCAGGCTTCCGACCACGCGAACGAGCCTCCTCAACACCCTTCAGCACTGCATCAGGAGTACGGTTTCAAACTCGTGAAGTGAAAGGGACTTTCTTTTCATGGTGGGCAGGTTGATATGACTGATTGGCAGACCAATCAGCAGATAACAAAAGCCTCCCATGCACCAAACATATATATTCATGCAATGGCAAAGCTTTTAAGTCCTTCTTGAGTCGAAGCACGGGACGGTCAGAGAACAGCCGAATCTTTCCGGTGGGGTCGTACCTCTGAGCCTGTCAAGCGCAAACTGCTCAAACTCCTCCAGAGCCACGTCTTCGATTGGTGGCACCTGGTACATGGTCAGCTGCGCCCCGCTGGCCGTGTAGTCTCCATGGAGAGGAGACGCAGCCCCGCTCTTCCGCTTGTTGGGCACGTTGGAGAAGTTCATCCTGGCCCCCGCTGGTCTGTCACACCTTTTGAAACCTGCCTACCCCCCAATCAAGTGCAGTGCGCGTCTTCAAGTCCGCCACCGGGCAGGATGTGCTTCATTGCGGATGTGCACCGCAGATTTGAGTGCAATCACTAGCACGGGCTGCTGGTTTTTGGTGTCCCCAATCCGAAAGGTTTGCGACGCATCACTTCCCATACACGTTGGAAGTGCTAGTGATTGTGTCCGCAGTCCACCCAGCCCTCTTGCTGCTTATTGAGTCAGATTTACCAGATTGCGAGCTCAGCTGAGCCACAATTTGAAGTTTTTACAGGTTCTAATATATACTACACTACCTAATAAGAATGAGCCGCAGCTTTCAAAAGTTCATGTGGCGCATTGGAATTGTGATTCTGCTTTTATGGCGGATTTCCAAGTCAATCAACGCTCGTGCTGTATCACCACTGCGTAGCCAACCCAATCCTGAGCTCACTCGAAGTCTGCTGAGAACATTTTAGGTGCCAATTTGCTACCACATGAACACTGTCTGGAGAAACCCACCGCCTGCCCTCCTTCACTCCCGAAGGCCTTCACTACCGGCACCCTTACGAGATTGAGAGTCTCACATTCAGAACATTCGGTCTTGATTTACCGTTTTTCAAGACCCTGCAGGAGGAGCGTGCGCCCTTCAACAATCTGCTGCACCAGCCCTTTCAAGTTGCAATTGAGCATCACCTGCTCTCACTGTCAGGCTGTGGAAAAGCAGCAGTGCTGCAAAGGCTGACGCCTGCCCAGCAGGGTTTCCCACGGACTTTTGTCCCGGCCGGCCAGCTGCCGGCACCCCCCGGCCCCGTTCAGCCGGCTCGATAGTCGGTCTTTGGCTGTACCGGCCGGTTGAGCTCAGCGAGTGCCTGCGTGTTCTGCCGGCTAGCAGCCGGCGGGGTGCCTTCGGCACCGGCCGGGGTCCCATCTCGGCCGGCCAGGTCCAGGTTCTCTTGCCGGCTGTGGGAAACCCTGCTGCCTAGTGCCGTGGCCCGTGATGGGGGTCATGTTCAGATTTTTGGCGGGAGGCTGACTCGACTCAATGACTGCCACATGTCAAGGACCAAGCCCACGATGAAGTGTTCGAGCTTCTTTATAGCCGTCGATGTTTTCTGCGCGCGTGAGTTTGTGTGAGGTTGAACCGGTAATACACGACCAGTGGCAGAACTTAGAAGAACCTGGGTAGTCCTGACCAACACTACGGGGAGCGCATCAGGGATGCAGGGTAGCCTTTCAGGTAGAAGCCTAGGACAGCTTGAAAACCAATCAAGGGACTCGACCGGCTTGAAAGTGAAGAGTACCGTATCTTTATGCATCTCTTTTGATAGTGCATAATGCATGCATAGAGTCAACGAACCACACTAGATTGCGTACATATAACCGCTAATATACCTGCCCTCTTGTATTGGCGGACTTCTGCTGATTGGCTGGCATACCGACATCACCTGCCTTCTTGAATGAGAATGCTGTGGGCTTTTCTGACCTCTAGTATCTTTTTGAACCACTACCACCCGCCAATTATTCTTACGATCGTGCTCATACCTGTCATACAGGCCATTTTTGTGCGGTGCTGAAGATTGCTAGCCGGCTGCGGTGACTAGTGGCAACTTATGAGTCGGGGTTCTCATAAGCTCTGAATGCAGCACGTCGGTTCATACAGTGGCTACCTACACGACTGAACATCAGAAAACGCCATGGCCGTCGAACCCGAGAGATGGACCCGGGGTTCTGGCAACGGCATTGGCCCCTCCAGCCATCGCAACCAATACCGGTATGATGGGCATGCGCAATGCTGTAGTGCATCCGTCAGAGAATGGACAAGCAACTGCGGTTGTCGAGGTTGAAGAACAGTCACTATGTTGAATTTGTAGCATTGCTGATACTCTCCGATCAAGACCAAAGCCTCTTTTCAGGATGCGAGCTTGTCTTATGGTAGAAGATTGTGACAATAGCTAGCCAGGCTAGGGGTAGCAGGTTGCTGTTCCATGCTTCGTCAAGCAACAACAAGACGAATGCTGCAGAGGTCAACTCTATGTAAGAAGGCTACTTTGGAGCCCATGAAAGTTGCGTCCTCAACGAGCCGGAAGTCCATCATTCGGACAGCAACTGACGCAGCTGAGCCGTGTCCTCCGCCGTGCAGGCTGGGCGTGTGCATTGACAACTGGCAGGAAGAGGCAGCCCTGCAGCAGACGTTCCTCGAGACGGGCTCCATTCGGGGGGCGCCGGGCAAAGTGAGGCAGGCCGTTTTACAAACGTCGATGGACAAGCTTGCAAACAGCTTCCTTATGGACGTTGTAGGAAGCGGCCAGGAGTAGGAGCACTGTTGGCATTCCTTCGAGAGCTCCCGGGCGGGCTCGGCCAGTGCAGCTCTGCAGAGTTCGTGTGGCCTGTGGCTGAAGCTTGCATGCCTGTTGTGTGCAGTTCGATGGCACCACGCTTCAAAAGGCAACGTACACGGCAGAGGGCAAGTACGGGCCGGGCATCGTACCCTCCCGAATAGACAAGGAGCCTATTCACAACGGTATGTGGCACGGCTGGAAAGAGACCTCCTGATACTGCACACGACAAGCTCAGTAGCCCCAGGATTTCAATGAAGAACGGGATTGATGTCTTCACAGACGACTAGAACGGACCCGGTTCAAGGATACCTTCATACTTTTTGGGACACGAGGAAGAAGCATGGACAATCGTCCTCGCGCCTGCTTCCAAATTTCTCGTTGGGGTACCCAAAGCGGCTGTCCTCGGCTGGACAAGAGGTGCGGACGCTGCAAATTTTTAACGGGGTGCGCGTTGGCTGTGTGCAGGGCTGCATGCGGATCAGCTGTTCAGCCACTCCCGCGACCCGCGCGAGGCGTCCCTGGTCAGCCTGTCGCAGCTCACCCTGGGGCGGCCCTCCGTGGGGGATCCCCGTGTGAGCCAGCTGCTGTGGACGGGGTCCAAGCACGTCGACAGCCGAGTGCCCAACGGGCCGCCTACCGGAACGACTGCACCACGCAGTGCCGCATACCAGGTCCGCTCCAAATGACACGACGAAGTTTGTCTATTGCTCAGCGATCCGATTTGAAGAGCCATTACAGTTCGTAACAGAAACATAGGCGTCAGAAAAAGCTGACGGACGGCAGTGGGATTGGAAGGCCTGGCATCGTCCGAGCATCCAATCGAGGGCTCCCGAGTTTCCTCTACTGAAGGCGTTGTCCTCTTTTCCCGTTCAGGAGAAGCTGCGGAAGGAAGCGACATACGACATGTACACATCTACTGCCAGGGTAAGCGACGTCATTCATTGTGTAATAGACGGAGCATGACGAAGTTTCGAATCTTGATGGAGAGTACTCCAACGTTGAAGCACTACTGATAATGCTCGGAGTCGATCGAAGTCTTGCTAAGGGTGCGCGTCGACCGAAAAGCTGCAAAACGCTTTCCAGATTTCTTAGCCAATCGGATGGTTTTCAGATCCACGTGGTAGACCAAGGTACATACCCAGAAGAGAAATATGGCTTGAAGAGCACCGTACCTCCTAC